AACCCTAACCCTAACCCTAACCCTAACCCTAACCCTAACCCTAACCCTAACCCTAACCCTAACCCTAACCCTAACCCTAACCCTAACCCTAACCCACCCACTATTTTAATTATTTTGTTTATTATTTTATTATATATACGTATTTATTAATAATTATTATTATAATTAATATTATAATTATTATAATTATTTTTAATATTTTAAAAAATTTAATAATAAAATTAATATAATTATATAATTAATAATTATTTATTATAATAACGCGTTAATATTGTTATTATTAATAATTTTATTAATTAAATAATATTAATATTATTTTTTAAAATTTTATTAATAAATAATTATAAATTTTTAATTTATTTTAAAATTTTATTATAAAAAGTAAAAGTTAAAAAAAAAAAAGAAAAAATTTTCCGTTAAAATTTTCCGAAAAAACCGCTTAAACTTTTAAGTTTTAAAAGCGGTTATTTTATAAAAAAAAAAAAAAATTATTTTTTTTATTTTTTTAATAATATTTATTTTTTATTATTTTTTATTATTAATTTTTATAATTATTTTTCATTATTATTTTTATTTATTTTTTATTATTTTTTTTATTTTTAAATATCGGTTATTTTTTAAATTAACCATTTATAAAATTATTATCATTTTAATTAATTATGTAAACATTTATTTTAATAAATTTAAATTATAAATTTAAAATTGTTTATACGGTTATACTTTTTTTAACCATATAACTTTTTAATTAATTATAACTTTAACATAATTTTAAAAATAATCTCGAATTTATAGTTTAAAATAATTCGGGTAATTTTTATTATATTAAATTATTTAATATTAAAAACAATATTAAAATACCATTAAAAATAATAATATTAACGCGTTTAAAATAAGTTTTAATTAATTTAAAATATATATTAACTTTATTATTAATAAATATACACGTTTTAAAACTTTTCGAAATGTTAAAATTAATTATAATATTAATTATAACATTATAACTTTAATTATAATATTGGTTATAACACCGATTATAACATCGGTTATAACATTTTAAAAATATATTATGTTAAAACTTATAATATTATAACGTAATATTATATAAATATGTAAAATTATTAAAAAATTTAAACAATTAAATTAAAAACTTTAAATTATAAAAATAAAAAGTATTTTAAACGTGGTTATAAATGTAAACGCGTAAATGTAAATATTAATATAATATTTTTAATATTATTATATATTTTTAAACGTTAAAACTTGCGATATTATAACGTAATACCGTATAAATATATAAAAAAAATAAAAAGGTAAAAAAAGTAATATATTAACTTTAAATTATAAAAATAAAAACTATTTTATACGTTATTATTAAATATTAAATCATTATAAATATAAAGTTTAATTTTTAAAAAAACTTATTTTAATGTAATTAAAAACGCTTAAATTATTTTAAATTAAAATTCGTTAAAACTTAAACTTTATATTACTTTTTTAAACTTTAAACCCATAAATATAATAACACGGGTTAAACGTTTATATGGCGTTTATAACGTTACCGGATATTAATAAACGTAATTTATTAATTTAACAAATTTTAATTTAAGTTTATTAAAATAAATAAACATATAATTATAAAATTAAAAGTTATAAAATTAAAAGTTAAAAACGTTAAATAAATGCATTTAATTAAAACATATTACCGGTATAAAAGTTAAAAAAAAATACATTTAATTAATTATTTTTAAAATGTAAAAGTTAAAAAAATACATTTAATAAAAACATTTAAATAATGTATAAACGATGTAAAATATAATTAATTAAATTTATAAATGTTAAATTTTATTAATTTATTAAAATTTTATTAATGGTTTTATTAATTTTTAAATATTTTTTACGTAAATATATATAATTTTTCATTAATTATTTTATCATTTATTTATCATTTATTTTATTAATTATTTTATTAATTACTTTATTAATTAAAAAAGTTTAAACGTAATATTTTTTTAAAAAATGTGTTTAAAATAATTTTAAATTAAATTTTTAATATTTTTTTTAAAAAAGTTATATAAATTATAATTAATTAAAAAATAATATAATTATAAAAAATAAATTTTTTTAAATTAAATATCGAAATTTTAATTTAAAATTATTTAAAATAAATTATAATATACGTTATAAAATTTATATAAAAAAATAATGTTATATAAATATAAAAAAACGGGAAAATTTAAATAATAATATTATAAAATTATAAATAATTAAAATAAAAAACATTATTTTATATATATAATATTAATTATAATGTTTTAAAAATTAAATTTTTATAACGTTTTAATTTAATATATAAAAACGTAACGTTATATATATATGTAAAAAAATAAAAAAAATAAATTAAATATATTATTAATTTTAAATCATTTTAATTAAAATTATTTTATATATTTTCGTAATATATTAAATTATTTTAAATTAAATCTTTTATTATTTATTATTAAAATTAAAAAATAAATAATGTTTAAATTTAAACGACTTTTAAATTAAAATTCGTTAAAATTTACGCACGTGTTTTATAAATACAAACACACGGGCCATGCGTTTTATGGCGTAAACGGGCGTAACCCGCTTTAATGAATTTTAGTTTAAAAACTAAAATAAAGTTTAAAGTCACTTGAAATAAGTTTAAGGTCACTTAAAATAATATTACAGTTACAAATATCAGCGCTTAATTCTATGATATTAGTACGACGTGTGTTTTAACAATAATCGTTACTTGTGAATAATTGCCGTTCTTGCGCCGTCTTGCATCCGCCCATGTAAAAAGAGCCGCCCGCGCCTTAGCGACGTTATTAAATGCTTTCGTCATGTCCATTTGCATACATTCGCAAGTGGTCGAAATACTGCTTAATCCCGGTTCAGTCGAGCCAATATCTCTCTATGAAGTGATATATGCTACGAGGTTATGTCTGGACTGGTCAGTAAGACAGCTCATCACCAGGCCCAGCGGCCTTAGGAGCAAACGGTATACTCTCCAACGCCTTCGGTCGCAATGTATCTAGTAATTTGTACATCTAGCGGAATATTTTGACCGGGAGCCAAGCCCTCTCCATTCTTTGTTAGGGTTCAGGCAGATATTGGGACAACTCAAGATAGTTAGTGGTGTTCTTCTGAATTTGACTAAGGAGTCGTAGCGCAGGCGTGGACTGGGAAGTTTCCATGACTAGGTAGTTATTATATGGCAAAGGATAGCTGTGGCATCCAAACGTAATCTAAAGGTCCCACGAACTGACTGTTATATATTGAACAGCCGACTTTACGATCCGCAAGTATTTTGTGATAATCTAAGCAAACCTCCCGGCTTGATAGGCACTACTGTAATTATTCGTCGGATCCAAGCCTTCTCACACTATAATAACCATAAAGTTACATGTGTGAACAATGAACTCTCCGTATTATATCTATGGATACGGCCCAAGGCATGCTAACTATTATGATAATTTTTTACAACGGATTAATTGGCAAATTTTATATCACAACCACGGGTAGTTATAAGCAAAAAGGGGCATAAATTTACGGGCGTGAGAGGACTTTCAGTAAAGCGCAACCAGCTTCAGCTGCTACGTAGATGTATTGAAATATATGTACTAAAATGAATGTGAATATAGGAGGTACCTATGTATAATCAAGTCTATAGCGCACCTTAAGAACGCGAAACCATGAAATTTAGCATCTCTCCGCGCCAAAGTCCGTCAGTCAGCCCCTAGGAATCTTCATTAAATTATGCCGAGGTCGAAGCAGGCGAGACTGATGTACCGCTGGGAATTCCGCTCGGCACGCCGCTTGGAGGAGGACCGCCAGCACCACCGGCACCGCCGGCACCGGAGTCAGAGTTTGCGATACCACCTTCCTTGTAGTAGAAAGCAGCCGGAGTAACCGACTGAGACGCAGTGGCATTGATACCGAAAGCGACCCAGGCGAAGAGACCATCAGTGATGCTTTCGCCGAGAAGCGTGTATTCAAAGAACGGGTCGACACCGTCGGTAGCCGTCTCCTGGCTCAGGATACTGTCATCAGCATTCGAGGTGAGCTCTTGGGTATTAGTAGAGTAAGGCGCAGTAAGCTCAACAGCAGTGATCAGATCTTGGTCGAAGAAAGCTTGACCAACATGGCTGGCGCTCACGTTGTTACCAAGGGTCGAGTTGTCGAAGAGCACAGCATTCTGGTGGATCATGATATGGATGTGAGTGGCGCGGCTCGTATAGTGTCCAGGGAATATGGACTCGAACTGAGCGACGCCGTCGGAATCGGTCTTTTGGATGCCGCGGAGCCAGGTATTATTAATGTTAGTCTCGTCCGAAGAGTCTCCGTTACCGCTTGCGACGATACCGCTATATACGCCGGTAGCATTGCAATGCCACATCTCCACATAGACGTCGGGAACGGGCTCGCAGGTATTGACGTCGATTACCTGATAGTCGAGGATGGTGTCGAGTCCAGCCTGGTCCTCGATGATATTCTGTCGGACATACTCGCCACCGACGTCTTGATCCGGCATTAGTAATTATCACCCATTGGTACGAACTAGGGTACGTACAGTAAGGACCCTGAGTGACTTCGGGGGTTAAGAGGCAGGAATTATACCCAGAGAAAAGGGTGGCGGCGCTGGTGCAGGGCGTGTAGCCGAGGTCGGTAGCATTGTGGCTAGTAGCCAAGATAGAGCTGAGGTCGCGTTTTTTCAAGCCCCCTATAGGTAGGTAGTTAGCATTTCCAAGTCAGAATAGGCGCGCAAGACCCTTTATTTAGGTATCTACGTACTCTTGTCCCGGGCCTTTTCAAGCATAGCAGCTCGGCGCTGGACATTACGATTCGCGACACCGCGTGCTTTCAGCTGAGAAGCGCAGTGGCCTAGGCTAGTGCGCTTAACGGAGCCGAGAAATTCGCGACGCTCTTTAACTTCCTGGGAGATGTCGTGGCCGGGATGAGCAGCAGCAGAGCCGGCTAGCAAGGCTAAGCCAGAGACGATGGAGATGGAGAATCTCATTTTCGCTGGTCAATCGGTGGTAGATAAAGAATGATAAGTACTAGTAAACGAAGGGAGTATGACTGATAGTCTTTTCGATATAAGAGAGCGATGGATGTTGGTGCTGGTATTGTGTAGACAGACCCGGCATCGTCGCTCTCTTATACTGCCTCACTTCTACTCCATGATGATATCTCATTCTTCTCTTTGAGGTTCTCAAACAACCTGTGGGTCAAGATTCATCATCGTGAGATCTTGGCAGTTGAGGATTACGTATGTATTGGAGGTTTTATTATTGGTTGCTCCATGGGGCACAAGGGTGAATATTACGTAGATTTGATCAAGCCTATCCGACATGGCTCTATAATTGGTTACACTGTTCCCAAAACGGACCGAGCCCCTGATGAGCCCGGCATTCGATATCCTGCAACCGTAGGGCTAACAGCTAGACCGGGGGTTATCCCGGTGTTCTTACAACAACTGCCGCCGGGTTTCTACCAATAACAATTATTGTATATCAAAGTCGGTGGCAGGAAATAACCCACTTTCTACCTTGAGACCAGAAACCCGGTAGAAGCTGCGTAAGCCGATCTTAAGGCCTTTAAACCCACATTCATATACTAGCACTGACTTCTACTCTAGCTTCTTGTGCGAAATGTGGAAATATGGGGCATAGACGCGCGTAAATATCCTCTTACCAGGTCAACGTTGTCGCGTCAATCAGCCTCTCCGTCTTGAATGTCGAATGTTACATACGGTCCCGGCTACTCATTTCCCTCCAAGTATATACCATTCCCTAATGTACCAAGTCACGTATTAGATGAGGTGCTTATTACTGCATCATGATACTTAGTTGGTAGTTAAAAAGCGCTATACTAGAATAATCCTTAATAAAGCAATAGCATAAGTTGTGATATAATAATAAATACATCAGCAAGTTGAAAAGAAAAGCTCATAGATAGTTTAAAACAAGGAGCTTAACAATCTCTATCAATAGCATGCAGATCAACTTTACAGCAAGGGTTAATATCCATTTAGAAAGAATTATCAACTTCTCTCCTTTTCTTGCTTGCCTCAGTATTTCAGCTCTTCTTACGTTACCCGTGAAGGGATATGATAGTGCATTTATTCGTGACCAAACTGGTTTCCGGAAACTGCATTCAGAAATTAACGACCAGTTTTAATTCATCTTTGGACGCGTATTGTAGAGGTGTATACAGATAAAATGGTGCATTAAGGAGGGTCGACATACTCGTTCATCTTCTTTTAATATCAAATGTACTCCATGCCTTATTACTTACCAATGAAAACAATACTTCAACTGTACTTCGCTAAGCTATTATTATACCGTAGGCGTTACTTGTGCGTGATACGTGGCCGCTGCCGTCACGGTAAACGAAGACGAAAGCTGGGTAAGTCCTAAGGCCCAGTCCATCCAAGCTAAATTCGAGTGAAGGGACATTAGAGACAGTTCTCAAACTACTGTTAAAGCAGTATGCCATAAAACGGGCTTCGGAAACCTTCATGTCGCTCTCCACATGCTAACGTTAGCATAACAATACATTCGTCATCATTTCAGGAATACCTACACGCCCCATGACGCCTTCTCAAAATACCCTAGTTACCTAGGTACCTAACCTACGTGACGACACGTCCGATTGTAGAGCCGGATTGCCGATATGAACCAACAAAGATAGACACGCAGTAGATTGCTATTCGGTAAAACGCAGACGCATCCTTACAGCACATCGAAGCAAGAACCGTTATCATGTAGCCTTTCTCGCATGTATATAGCATGGGCAAACCCGAGGTGTGTCATTCTGGTACCTAAAACGTTTAAGTACAACTTCACTCCGTGTCACCTACTAATCTCTGTAGAACTGGGTAGGTTAAAATACGGGCACTCAAACAAATAGTTCCAGTTAGTTAATTATTTCGTGGTTGCCATATCTTAGTTTCCTTCATTAAATACCTACCTACCTAAGAGATGCTCAGGTATTCTTGCCTCGCAGAACGACATCATATGTTAGACATCTTATCGTTATGTTCGATTTTATACCCAGTCCTTTCCAGGCTATTTAGTAATCACGTATGTATAAACGCAAACGTTTAGCCTTGATCCAAGTTATTCAACCATGGTCCTCTTCGGTTACTTTTGTCCCGAAGGAATACTATGTCCGGTGGATACCAGGATTGTTCGTTCTGCCGCCAGGTGAGGAATTCTGCCGGGGTTTCCGCTCCCCTCGATAGGTCAGGATAACTGTACACGATTATTAGATATTTTCCTTATTTGGTTTGAGGAAGAAGGCACCTAGTGTTCCCGGATATTAGGGAATTTGATTTTACACGACAACATTTGTGCGATCTTTGAACGCATGCGCCGTAACAATACCGCCCCGGTTTAATTGCTATTATTACATGGCTTCAGGCATAAATCTAGGTATTGGGTAGGAAGTAGGGATTCGAGTATATATGAGTGTGCGAAGGGTTGGATATTGTGAGCATCAACATGCGCCTTAGATATATCTCTGTCTCTTTTCGGCATCTTAGTTGATACACCAGTCACAGTGTTAGGCGCATCCGCTGTTCTGGCCTTAGCATGCCTCAGCGGGGGTGCCCTCGCCGCGTTCGGGCTTACTACTACAAGTAACATATATAAGGTTTGCGAATTATTATTTAGGTATCTTACATTATACAATGCCCAGCTGATTATTGCTATACTAGGTTGACACAAATGGCGGATTGGTATTCGAGGTCGACAGGTCCTGACCACTACTCTGGTTATATGACCAGCCAAGCTAAACTATCATAGAGCCAATGGAGATATTACCAGTTTGGTATTCAACGGGGTCGAGTATCAAGGAAAGGGAAAGGCTTCGGCTATTAATTCAGGCCTCGGGACGTCGCAACTGTCCGCGGAGACGATAAGTAACAAGTATATCAAGATTACAGTGAAGGCCAATTCACTACCTGTAACACAGTACTATATAGCGAAGCCGGACGATCCGACTATCTACATGGCAACTTATATCACTGGGGAGGTTAGCCCGGGAGAACTTCGATGGCTTGGCCGCCTACGGCAGGAAAATTTGCCTACTGGTGTGCACGGGGACGTCGGCAACACCATCGGTTGCACCGCTTTTGAAGGCAAGGATACGTTTCGATGCCCAAATCAAGAAACTCGCTGCAAGATGTACACAAGCGATCGTTTTATCGACGACCAGATACATGGCGTCTCGGGATCTGTAAGCGTCTCGGCATAATCCATAACCTATGTAAAAAGCCGACTAACTTCGTACCTCCTGCAGAACGCGGCTGTATGGATGATCATGCCTGGTGTTGCGTATGAGACTTCGTCTGGGGGGCCATTCATGCGTGACATCAATAGCCAGACCGGTAGCAGCGATCAAGAACTATATTGGTACATGAACAGTGGACATGTTCGAACGGAGCCGTGGCGCTTTGGATTGATGGGACCATATGCCATGAAGTTTACGTAGGTTTCGAAACCTTCTATCCAAAAAGAAAAACCCATCTTATAAGCCTGACAATTTTACAGCAATAAGGCGGACAAGCCTTCTCCTAGCTTAGACACGTCCTTCTTTAGTACTCTCGATATTCAGGGCTACGTACCGGATAACCAGCGTGGCTCCGTCTCCGGTACAGCTTCCGGGGTTCCGAAAGATTTCGAAGCCGTCGTCCACTGGTACAATGATAAAGCGCAGTATTGGACCAAAGCCGCGAACGGAGCTTTCGAGTCCCCCTTGATGAAGCCGGGCACGTATACTATGAAGCTTTACAAGGGTGAGTACGAGGTAGCCAAAGACACAGTAACTGTTACGGCCGGGAGTGATACAGCCAAGAATATCGCTTCGGCAGAGCCAAATACTTCGGTCGTGTGGCGTATCGGAAATTTTGACGGACAACCCCTGGAGTTGAAGAATGGAGACAAGATTGAACGGATGCATCCCAGCGATGCTCGCATGGGATCTTGGGGAGGTACTTATACAGTTGGCCAATCCTCCGGGCGCGATTTCCCTATGGCCCTCTTCTCGAAGACCGGCGGCAATGTGAAGGTTAACTTCAACCTCGCCGCCAACCAAGTTCGAGATCTCACGTTGAGAGTAGGGACTACGCTTTCATTCAAGGGAGGTCGCCCATCGGTGGCCATTGGAAGCTGGACCGGAAAGGACCCAGGAGCTCCGGTAAGTCCACCCAGAGCGAGATTGCGCAGTGTTCTTTGCAAAGCTAAATGATATCTCAGAAACTAATCGATTCTCGCGGGGTTACTCGCGGAGCATATCGCGGGTATGGCGAAGTCTATACGTGGACAGTTCCTGCGAGTGCCTTGAAAACTGGGCAGAATACCCTTACACTTGGTGTATATGGCTCGGGTGATGCGGACTTCCTCAGTGCCAACTATATTCTTGATGCCATTGAGCTTCAAGGCCCGGCAGGTGCTGATTGAACCATCATTATGAGGCAGACAGCAAGTCAGCCATCCATTTAACTTTTTTATGTTCATTTCTAATAATCAGGAAACTAAAATGCGGAGTATGTGAAGATGAAAATTCTATCATATTTTTTATGCTCCCCTCGGTGAATGCTTAGTGCCACTTACAAGTTTATCCAGACAGGAAACTGGCCTTCAATTATATCCCGCGCGACGATAATTTAAATGGCTAATCCCGAATCTTTTAAAGTTATCATAGCAGGTGGAGGCATCCCTGGCTTAGTCTTAACCAATGCTTTGGAGAAGGCCGGTGTTGACTTTCTTCTGCTAGAAAAAAGAGAAATTGCTCAAACCGGGGCCTCTTATCATCATACAATGCCACACTGCGAGGATATTGGAGCAGTTGGGCATTTGGAAAGAAATATACGCGGCAATGTTTTCGCTCACGGGTCGCCTTCATTTCGATGAACAGGGAAATATGTTCGACAATTCACCCATTCTCAAGCTGGTAGAAGAAGCAACTAGACGGCCAATCGTGCTTATAGAACGTTGCTTCTATCTTGATACTCTATATAACGGTCTTAAGGACAAGTCTCAAATTCTCACGAACATCGGCGTAGCGTCTTTTCGGGGGGGCGAGTACGGTATAACAGTCATAACCGACCGCGGGGATAGTATCAGGGGTAGTATTCTCGTAGCAGCTGATGGTGTTCATAGCACAATCCGCAGTCTCTTAGCTAGCGCAGTATCTAAGGCTGATCCTGAGAGATGCTAATACCTTACCAAAGGTAAGTCAATTTGTTCTAGTAAGGAGGAGTCACCTTTAACATATCCCACAAGGGTTCACTTCTAGCTACAGGGCAGTCTTCGGTACGTTGACAAATGGGCCAAGTATTCATAAAGGAAGAAAATCACTCAACAACGCTCGACAGCCCGCGGTACACAGATACCGACACTACAGTAACTATTGAGAAGTATGGAAATTTATTTGCCTGTCCAGAGTACCCATTCCGCGACCTATGGGAGGCTAGATCTTATGCAGGCATGGTTTCCATGGAAGAGGGGGTGGTTCAAGGGCCTTGGAATAATGGCGGTCGGGTCGTACTTGTTGGAGACTCTATATGCAAGGTAAGACTCGGGCAACTCTTTAAGTCTACCTAACTAGTAGGTATCAAGTTGAAATTTGTTACAGACAACAATAAATTCCGGTTTTGGAGGTAACCTCGCTATTGAAGGGGTCTGCAATCTTGTTAACGGGCCAGTGTCACTGCTGCAAGGAAATCAAACGCCCACAACCAAAGATATCGTAGCTATCTGGTAACTTAGAGGTATCCAAGGAGAAAGTCACCGCAAGAATCGTAACCAAAGTAAGTCCATTAACTCATAAGGTGTGATGGAGTGTGATATCTTTACAGAAATATAGGCCCTCGGACGTTTTACTTGCTCGTATCTATCAAAGGTCAAAAGCTTTCTAATGGATCCAGCGCCTATTTTAGAATTTCTATCAGATTCCGACTCGAGCAGACCTTGACTCTGGCTAATTCATTTAATAAATATGAGTAGGAGTTTGAGATACATAACAGACCAAGACTCGAGAAGTTAACAAAGCCAACCTGCAAGAATCTACTCAGTTTGGAATGTTAAAGACCTCTTTGCTACAACTTATTTTCATGAGTTAGCGGATGCGCCATAAGTGAAATAACAAATTGTTATAATCACCAGCTCGGACTCCGGCTCACGTGGTCTTTCTTACAAGGACCCATTCATCTAGATGTCTAAGGAAAACATATTGAGCAATTACTTAATCTAACTAACCGATTTAACCACAAGATAAAGCATCCTTAACTGGGTATCAATTCCCATTCAGGATCTCTTGAAGACGGGCTCGTACCGTCTTTCCTTTGACATCTGGATATAACTCCTTGAAATCTAGGTATCCTAGATACGATGCGATCTCAGGAGTATTATCTCCTCGAAGTCCCCATGAATCTATGTATTGATTCAGCATGAGGCTAAACTTAGCATTCGGATCTCCTGGCTTCTTTTCTAGGGCAGATCGCGCCGAAGCGATGGCCTCGTGTACCTCGTCTGCGCTCATCTGGAGTAATGTTATATTAGCTTCACTATTCGTAGGGATCTTCTGGTTCTCAGCCATCCGACTTACATAATTTCTTGCGACCTTTTCTCCGCTAAGCTCCTCCAACAGGTCCCTCATTTGGATTGCACTGAGTGTTTCGGTATGCGCAAAAACCTTCTTGTTGAGGGTTCTTGGGTCGGCAATAATTTTCGCTACAAACGTTCCGATGTCTGGCAAGTTTGTATAGGCCATGGGTACCGATCCGTCGCCAGGAATTATGTCGAGCACTTTAATACTTACGTGATCTGTTCGGCCTGAAGGTATGGCCGGTACTGACTGGTCGATCCACCACCCAACATCTATCACAGTGTATGGCAAATACAGGCGTTGGATAGCCGCAAGGATATCATCTTTCTATGGCCATGGTAAGTTTCGCACCAAAACTACTGTTGGTATGGAAACTTACCTCGTCATGCATATCCATTACGCCTCTTGGTGCTGGCGTGCTAAAGTTGCATGGTACAAATCTCTTAACGCCAGCTTGTTTCGCTGCCTCGGCCAGGGGTATCTGATCACCCAGGCTAGAGAATACTATGCACGATATTATTATATCAATGCCTTTAACGGTTTTAACAAGGTCATCCTTCGGACCGGTCAAGTCTGCAGCTACGATGCGAATGCCGCGGCTTTTGAGTTCATTATTAGCCTCGCTATTGATAGATGTAGGTCGTGCAAGAACGGTAATATCCTAAGGACTCTAGTCAGCCAACTAGAAATGAATCATTGTATGAGGTATTCAAACAAATTGTGTCTCGGAAGCTAGCAACCCGTTCAATATTGAGCTTCCCGCTCGACCAGTGGCACCTACTATGCCAACCCTGATTGCCGTAGACATTTTTGCTGCGTTCGAATTCGATGGTGTTGGATAAGATGATAAGATGAGAAAAATAAATATCACGTATCAATATAATTCCAAGATTCTTTTCGATCCTCTCGGTCCTTTATATTCCGATACAGCCTCGACTTGGAGTTCTCAAGTCATTATTAATTGATGTCTTGCTTGTGTGTTAAGACGATGGAACTGTCGTATGCTAACCCCTTAATTGATAAGCAACACGAGAAATCTCACGCAGGGCATTTGTCAGCAAGACAATATAGGTTAGGTGACAAGCAGTGTATTTCAAATCGACAAAGTGATGGATGACAGAATAACGCCCGCATCCCCAACCATGATAAGCTAAATGAATGAGGAAGCGGTATGTAGTGGACAAGAGATCCCTGTCTAGTTCAAAAGCGATTCCTCCCAAACCCATATCACCGATTCATCAACGGCAAGATCAGATAATCATGTATTCCGAGTGCCTTAGAATAAATAGCATAGATTAAGCGTCAGCGAATTCCATGAATCATCTATGGAAAGGTCAATATCTCCGTCGTAAATAGTAACAATCATACCAGTATCGTTAACAGGTAGAGTAATTGCAAGAAGAGAAAACACCTACCTAAGAGGTTATACGGAGCAGCCAAGCTGTCCTCGTGAGGAATTCGTAATGTCCGACTGGTAAATCTAATACATGGCATAGCCCTACGCGAATGAATGGTCAGCACTAAATAAGACCCGGAATATAACGTAGGTAATAAGTCAACTTACTCCGGAGGCGCAGATTGTTTGGCCTGTAATCCAATCGCCATCCTTGCCGGCCAAACTCGCAACTATGTTTGCAACTTCAGGAACTGTTCCTATTCTGTTTTCGACCGCCGTCAGAGTCTTCTGGAGTTCCACGAGATCTTTTGGGATATTGTCTAGCATGTCGCTCTCGACGGGTCCCGGATTTACACAGTTGACCGTTGTTCCATTACCACCTAACTCGTGGGCCCATGTCCGAGTCAAACCCTCCAGTGCCGCCTTCGAAGAACCGTAGAGGCAAAATTTCTTGAAGCCGCCTCTTGAGGCGACGGAACCGATGTTGATAATACGTCCGTGGCTATTCAGATAAGGTAGAACAGCCTGAGTCAAGAGCAATGGACCGCGCACATTCAAGTTGTAGACGGCATTGTAATCGTCAACGGTTAGCTCAGCTAGGGTGGCCACATTTTCCACACCGGCATTATTAACGAGTATGTCGATCGCGAGATTTCGTTCGCTCCATACGAGAAGGTCGCTAATAAGGATTTGGGGGCCTTCAAGGGTACTAAGGTCGACTCGACAAGCGTGAGTGCGAGGCTTGTGCGGAAAAGATTCAATAGTTCGGCAAACTTCCTTCACGAGGACCTCGCTGCCTTGAGACACGTAGGTCAAAACTACCTTAACTCCAAATTAGTTATTATTTATTCTTTCAATAGACCATACTTCTGATAGATTCATACTGTTGCTCCTCGGCGCGCGAGCTCCACTGCGATTCCTTTCCCGATACCCCTAGATGCTCCGGTCACGATGGCAACTTTGTTAGAGAGCGGAAGACTAAATTCGGACATTTTAGGGACTCAGGATAGGTAGCTATGCTTCTAGGTTGATTTGGACTGTTTAGAGAAGGACCTGTGTCCTACATATATACTAAAGCTAACTTAGATTGCCCTCTTTTAAATATACGCTTTAGAAAAGATTGCCGTCATATTCCGATTCGGCTTTGATGCACTAAACGCCGATAAAGTTCCAATATCCGAACCATTGAAGTTTATTGTCAACATCCCTCGTTATCATGATCTAGAAGTTTCGTAGACTTGGAATAGGTGATAGTTGAACTTATCTCCGCGTAGCCACCATCGACCCATACCTAGTATTACATGACGTTATGCATTATGAACAGCAAAACCAACCTGCTAATTGACAACCATAAAAGAAAGTAGCAAGCAAGATCAACAAAATTATATTTAATTATTTCTCCACCTCACGATATATAGATGTATCTACTATCGTGTTTTCTGTGAGTACCGTACCTACTAGGTGGCCCACTAGGTGGTATTGCGAAGACGACGTAGATAGGTATGTAGAAAAAGGTGCTAGAGATAGAATTTTAAACATATCGCGGCACAGCACTGACTATCCCAATAGGGTCTCTAGATAGGTTACGAGAAAATAAATATACACAAGCTATGTTTACACACGTATATATATACATATACTCATTACGCCGGTCTTAAATCATCTATATATCCAAGCATATCCCGTTTCTCGTCACATACGCGTGCAAATTCGAGCAGTAGTCTCCAAACATAAAGCAACATGTCTTCCCTCCTGAGTACCTTTGAGCTCCAAGACCTACCTTCCTCAGCAATGAAGCGCGCGGAGACGTCGCCTTTTCTGTCCCGAGTAAAATAATCGAGGATGGCGTACAGATCCTGAAAGGTGTTATCCATAGGAGCAAAATGTAGCCACGGAACCAGGCGGTCATCATGCCACTCTGCGTATATGGTAGCCTTGAGCGGAAGGGATGTTGACAGCAGAAAACCTCTAAATCTCGCACTGAAACTATTCCCGTCGACATCGGGCATGAACTTATACTTATATTGCTCCTTCATGGGAACACTCTGCACTTCAGAGAAGTAAGGCCGGACATAGGTGCAGTTGGAATCCTCCGGAAAGCAGAGGAGATTGACAAAACCGGCGTTGGAGAACTCTTGCAACCAAGTGCCAACGGTCCCCTCGCGCCGTCGCGGGAAGTCGTACTTCTGCATTGGTGGCATCTCAAACGTCATGGCGCGGGAGCTGTGCTCCTCTATTCCCGATACAGTTGTTCCGTTTAGCATTTCTATAAGTCGATGCCGCTGGAAATGAAACCAGTTCTCTTTCTTATTTCGACCCCCAGATGCGACACCCCGCCATACGACGCCATTAGTCTTCCTCCTCCAAGACGGCCCGTGAGTATCTCCACCGGAATAGAAAGGGTCGTTTGTCAAGTACATAGCGCCGGGGATAAGTATCTCGTTATTTACAGGTAGCTTACATCCACCAAACAATGGGATAAGCTCCTTGCTCGTTGACATCGTCAGGGGCTCAACAAATGTGCCGTGCATGCCACGGAGGTGGGGCTGGACGCAGGGATCCGTGGCGGCCGTAAAGTTACGGACATATCCTTTGTACGAGTACTCAGGTTCCCAGTCTTCTGGGAACACAGGCGGCTCCTCCAAATTTTGAATTGGTGTCACATTACGTGACGGAGAATCGGGAGCGCAAGCCACTCGTGTAAGGTCCCAGTAACTTCCTCCAAGCCAATTCGGATTATAAGGTGAAGCATCGTCGGCCTTAGCATCAACCTGAGCAAGGCCGCTATATTTCGTCACCACCTCGCCGAGAGGCTTTGCCGAGCGGCTTGCCTGCTCTTTCTCCATAAGACTCGTCATGTCTTCCCAAGGAACAATCAGCCGAGATTCGTCCATATAATTAATAGGCATATCGACGTCCGGTAACCACGGCGCAGCCTCGGCCACCAAGCCAGTCCACAGTTGCAGCCAAGGAACCTTGCCTTGTGTGTTGCCTATACCGCTGGCGACGCCTCCGCGAACGCGTACGACATAATCCCACGACGCGGCTCGTTCGGCAGTCGTCCGGGGGTCGAGGCCCCAGAATGGCGAAATGTCAGCATATATCCTATCGAAGAAAGACTCGACAATTATCGCCTCGTGTTCTGTCGCATACTGGAACCAAGCATCAAACCCCGGAGGCGGATGTCGCCCTCGTCTCTCGCGATAGCGGGCTGCAGCCGTGGGAAGGTCGAAGCTTCGCTGCTTCAGCAAGTTCTCGTGGAAAGTGTGCGCATCGCTGATAAGTTGGTCGATGGGATGGTTCGCTGTGCGGTTCCAAAAGTATTCGAAGTAATGGGATCCGGTATTACGGAGGAAGCCCTCGGGACGGCGGAACAAGAAGATACCGGACAAGGTTATAGAGACTATAAAGGCGACGGCAGCATAGCGAAGCATAGATTGCCATCTCAGGGAACAGATGCGACTGTCTGGGAGGCTAGCTAGCCTGTCGCGAATATTATGGGCGCTTAACATCGAAACTTGTCGATATGGGAGAAGATTTTTTTTTCTTTCGTTTTTATTTCCCACTATCTCGACTAATTAATCAAAATAGGTATAGACCTAGCAGACCTCATGATGATGGCTACAGTTCGAAGCGAAGCGAAGCGAAGCAAATTAGCAAGCCGAAACAATGTACAAGATCGCTAGGAGTGAAAAGAATGGAATGAATATTTCATGTGGTGAATCAAGAGGAACAAAAATCTCAAGCTCTCATTAACGCGACTCATCGATGCCACCATACCACCCCTTACTCGCAATACTTATGCCTAACCCATCAGCCAAATTTCGCTATTGTGACTACACTACTAACAATGATGTTAGTCTAGCCCATGACAGACTTTCGAGCAGCACCAATCGAGCAGGAGCGTTGTGGTCTTGGCTGATTCCTTTACCCCAACTTCATGATAAAGAGGCATGTACTCACTACACTCGACGAGCTCAAAGCTGCCGATCATCGATCAGATAGAGAAGGACCATTAGGTACCCGGTACAAAACCATTGAATCGGGCGAAGCGAGAGGGATGGAAACCATGTTGAAGTAACCTATTTTAGGATTAGTCAATCGCCATCTCCGCAGGCTTCTCTCTTACATTCCTGGCTGCCTTGGCTGCCCAGCCAGTTGTATGCTGCCGTTTAGCTATCTGCTCTCCACTCTCTAGTCTAATCGTAGTGACGGAACAGGGGTCTTCGGGAAGAGCCCCCAGCCCCTTCATTCAAACATACATACCAGATGCTCGCAAATTAGGTCTTAGAAATGTATTTATGACCCTGCGGCATCATAAAGAACGAAGTATGACGGGACGCATATAAGGTACTTAATTCATATCACTTATTAGGCATTCAAAATACTCATTTCCTCAGTAACTATCCATTTGTGGTATGTTTGTTTTAAGTTTTAAGCCTCGTATAATAGACTGCCAGGAGTATTATTGGTAATAAGCTGCTAAGGTCTTAAGAAGTTCATCCGAACTCTCAACGCAAGACACAGTTTACGGATAACAAAAGTTAACTTAGTTAGTGAAGCTGTTAGATATACGTTAAATTTTTTAGCTATTAGACAGCCAAGCTAAAGGCCAGAATGTTAGGTCCTTACGCCTGTGATGCCCCTTTTCTTCCGTAAAAATTCGGTCTCTTTGTCTTTTCGCCATTGACAACTTTCCGCAAACTCACATGACCTACACTTATAAGTTTCTTCGATGGAGACGCCCTCAGCATCCCTCTCGCCGCGCCACCACTTGAGGTTCTGTCTGAGGTACCCCTCTAAAGCCTCAGGATCGTTAGGAAACGAATTATTACCGAGAATGCGACTATCCTCCCTATGGCGATACTGGACAGCGAGAAGTTCGCCGATAGTGGCGGCGCCCTGCGGGAAGGTTTCGCGCAGTTCGGACTGTAATAGCGGAAGTATCTGCGTAATGGATCGGTATCTGATCAGATCCTGAGGAAGCCGATTTGAAGACGGATCCGGCCAATCGGTATCACACCCACTACGCGTAGAATGCGACGACGAAGCACCCCCAACATCCGAATCCGCGTCGTAAAATATTTCATCGTGTAAGTCGCCTACCTGAGCCATAAAAGCATCAGAAAATAAGGCATCAGCTGTAAGGCCATATCGATCCAAAATAGCAGTAAAATCTACCACGCCGGAGGCCATTTCGCCCAAAAGTCGATGATACAAGAATAGCTGGACCCTGGCGGGCCTGAGCGCGGCGCCGGTAGGCAGTCTATCCGAACCTCTTGTCTTGACATCAGTCAAGTAAAACTTTTTACGGGGCGCTTCCAAAAAGTCTGTCATGGATGTCTGCTGCTTTGGGTAGCTTGTGGCGAAGCCCTTGGATGATTCGGATTGGCTGAGCTCTTGCTCAAAAGCGGCATTCGGACTATCATGGCTCACTTCGTCTATGATGCCGTTTACGACTTGACCTTCGATGATCCCCCATACCTCAAGCTCTCTAGTCATGCCAACATCCCGGAGCGTGCGGAGGCCCTGGATCACGTTCCATATTCGCAGTGCAAACGCCTCTTCTTTGGTGGTAATGCTGACTTGGACCGTGGTGTGTACCTGATCTTCCAAGGTTTGATGGACACGAGTGCCACCCCGCATCGCCGCCGTTCTCGTCTTCCTCCCTCCGGGTAGCAGGGTAAGCGTGTACCAGTACTGTAGCTCGCACCAAGCACCAGAAGCTAAGTCGGAGACCGTGAGCGGCTTTTTGGGAAAGGAACGAAAACGCTGCAGGGGAGAAGGGGCATCTTTCGGAGGCTCGACGGTTTCAAATTTGGACGTTGTATTAGATCTAGGATCGGATAGGATACGACTAACTAGACACTAGTAGTTAGTTAGACGTGCCATGTACTAAATACGAATATATAGGTATATATGTTGCTCAGAGAACTCACGATCTGGGTATTGAACGCCACCTAATAGCAAAGGCGATGTTACATACGGATTCGAGTTGGAGAATTCGTGAGCAGTCGTAGGCTCTTCGATCTTAGTAGGAAGAGTACCGGTAGGCCGAGTACACAAACTCGACGCATGGTGCTTATCATCTTGGGTAAGCGGCACGGGCGGGATAGACAAGCTACTAGCAGTCGTTGTAGTAGTAGTACTAGTAGGCGAGGCGATGGGAGAAACGACGGGCGAAACGACGGGCGAGACGAGTTGCGTAGAATTGAGAGCGGTAGTTGTAGTGTTGCTAAGCAATGGTGTATTATTCCCGAGGTCCTTTAGGAGTTTATTTACAATATCTTCCTCTCCTATCGAAAAGTCAGACCCGTAGTCGCTCTCGCCGTCGTCGTCGTCCAAGGTACGGCCAGCTGAGGGAGCCATGGATATCAGCTATTCGACCAGCAGACCATCACGCTGTATTCGAAGTAAAGGGATATATATGGAAGTTATTAGCTAGCGCGGTTATAGCATAGGAAGTCGAGTCATGATTGACTCATTGTTTTAGAATGTTGACGACAACACATTGATGATTTGATTGTTTTGATGATACTTTAGGTACCTAACCTTAGGTACATGTAGTACCTAGGGCTACATACGTACATTATGGGGCTGGGGGGGTCTATTGACATTATGTCAGCAATGGTGTCAGTATAATTACATAATTACAGGCCCCGACACTATGTCAAGACCATGTCAACAGGTCAACATAATGTCTGCAAGGCTTGTTGTACCGATTTCATTGCAGGTACTTACAAGTCAGTACTAATAGATAGTATGTCAAGGTATATATAATGTTAGCAATACTTTCCACTTCGTCGTAATTACCAGGCCTGTTGACGATGTCCAAATAGCCACTATGTCCACAACGATGTCAGGAATTTAACACGATGTCAGAGATTTAATACAATGTCAGCCCCGGGTATATACAGGTTAATTAAGGGCCTGGACTATGCATATATACTGCAATACGTCAAACTTTAATCATTCGTAATTCGTAATGACCTCGTAATGTAATGGTAAAACGCGTAGCCCGTAATCTCGTAATAGTAATTCAACGTAATCTTTTCAATTGACTTTTACATGTGCCTATGCCTTTTCTATACATATATAAGTATGTTGAACGCCCTGTATTAGATTACAGGGCCTTCTATTCTTTTATTTTTTATTAGATTACTTGGTCTAACATTATGTCCTGGCCTAACATAGTCTCGTACGTGACATATATCGATTAGGTGACCGTAACTGCCGTTGGTGACGATCTCTAAAAAGCTATTATTTCCCAATATATTAGTATTTTAAAAGTAATACTATTACAATAAGGTATAATCGTGTACGTACGGTAGCTATTTCAGACTTGGTCATCTTTATATTTTAGATACAATTACCCCCGAGGGTGACTATATTACACGTGCTAGCCAATCAGGTAGGGGACTGATTCTTAAGCGGCGCACCGCCGACATTATGTCCACACCTTATCACTATTGCTGACACCATGTCAATAGACCCCCCCCACCCCATAATGTACCTAGAGTGGTGGGGGTTAGGTACATACATAGGTACCTACCTGGTTAGAAAGCGATAAAATAGGTACCTAATGAGTACTCCGTATATTCCCCAGGCTCTCGACGCGCTAAAGCAGCCTAGTCAGTTGCGCAGTCGCGTCATCACATGGCCACTAGTAGGACCATGTAGGCAGCTGCTAGGCGATAGCCTACCTAAGGTACAGGGGGTTAGGGACCTCGGGATGAAATCGGGTACAAACCCGACTTGAAGCCACAGCAACAAGTTTAATCCAACTAATCCTCAACTCACTTATCCTTTAGAATAGTCTTGTTGCCTACCTATGTTACGTTGATGCCTAGTGATTATATCGCCACTTAAACTACACGTCCACTTGCGCATCGAGCCATGCTGGACTCTCAAACAAAATAGAGCTGAGCATTAACAGAGCTAAGCATTTAGGCAGCAGGATGATACAAAGCAACTGAAATTTCTCCTTCGCGTTCAGATGCAATAACCCTACCCAGGTAATCAGCAGTTTCATCAGGAGCGTTTTACAGTTGTCTTCATTTCGCTCCTTTTTTCATATTTTTCATCGTCAACCAGTTGGCTACCTGGGTCTATGGATATCCCTTGGCAGGCTTCTACTCCTATGGTCACTTAAACACGCCAGTCCGATAGTACATAACCCGACCTTGACAAGAGGATTACAACCCATCTAAACAATGGACATTATTCACCGTGGTCATATGTTTCAATTAGGCCTAGCTGGAAAACCTGTTACCATATCTCCCTCTGGCGGGGCAAGAAGCCTTGAAAGTTTACCACCAGAAATACATCTCCTGATCAGTCAACATCTCACGTATCCGGACGCCTTATCTCTAAAGCATGCCAGTAGATACTTCTACTGCCTTGTTGATACCGGGCTTAAGCTCAAGGTGGATTGGCTGATCGAGCGTCGGAGCTTGCACTTAGAGTGTCCAAACGATCGTCGCTGCGACCTGGGAAGCGACTTGAAGTTCTGCAGAGGTAGCGTCAGGTAAGGATTGTGCGGCGTACTTAGGGACGAATATGCCAAGGCAGCAGCCTCGTATTGTCCTGGGTGAATAAATGGCGTTACTAAATATTGATCTCAGGTTACTCATGCAGCGGCGCCGCGAACACGCAGAATGTGAATCCCGTCCCGGTTTAGGGTGCCTCGTATATGGGACGGCAAAATGTGCACATCGGCGCCAGCTAAAATGGCGCATCAAGCGATGGCTCCGTTCCCGTCTTACCATCGAACTCTGGTGGTGTCTAGTTCCCTTAGTTCCCGTTCTTTTAGGATGTCTATGGGTAGCAGAATTCGCAAGATGGCACGCCGAAGAATGAATTGGATTTAGCGGGTTAGGCATTATAATACCGAAATGACTATTTAGCCATCTTATATAATTTCACAGTCTTGACAGTTAAAGAGTTGACACGAACTGATATATATATACATTGCCCCTTTGATACTCTACACTAGACCTGAAGCTACCTCTGTATCTTAATATATGTTGAGTCGTCTCTAGATGTAACATTCGGGGACCAAAAGCGTAATAGATACTTGTCCTCGTGAATATCATAGAGAAATTATAGGTTGGTTGAGGGGTTTCCGATGGCTCATTATACAAGGCCACTCAAGTTGACTCAATGTCTTCATACATGTATCACTCACGTTCATGAATAGGGGATGCATTGCACAGTATAGATAAACAGTAAATATACTATCACGCACATGGCATATTTTCTAACCTATAATTTTAGATACAATCTTAACAACGTTCCCACTCAAACCTGCGATTTATACCTGAACTGATATACCTTTTTTGGTTTATATACAGTGACTTACACCTTTATTCCTTAGTAATTATATTGCCAATTATATTGCTAGCCACTCCAGGACCCTTGCCTGTTGTTCTATCATGTCTTCAACGAGGCACTGGTTGGACAAAGTCTACCTTGTGTATTTCCTCATCCATCTGCCCGTCTTGTTCTGTAAGTATATGATAAAGTATTTTCACTTCTTGTTTCTGTTAGATTATTTGAATAAAAAGCAAGGCTTTCCAAATGAATACTATGGTTTCAAGCAGCATGACAGCCGGATACCATGTGTTTCTCCAGCTTATGATCCTGTCATCTAACATTTGCAGGTGTTGACCTCGTACCCCTCTACCCAACATCTCTCTGGGTACCACCCTCGTCACCATTTCACTTTCTATACGAGTTGCGGGTCTATTATATAAATACATACAATGATCAGTTCTTCGCACCGCCGCCGGCAACCATCCCGAGCTTCTTCCCGCTATTCGCTTTCCTAGAGCTCGTTTTCCATCTACCGGTGTCGTTATGGGCAGTCCGTGCGCTCTTTAGTGGCGGACTGAACGGTAATGCCGAATTGCTGCTCCTTGTATACGGAATCGAGACGGCATTGACAACCGCGACCTGCATGTACGAGGCATTCCTCTGGGACCCAGCCGTGGTGACCGCTGAGCAGAAGGTGGTACTACTAGGTGGCCTATACGGAGGGTATCTTGCCATTGGTAAGTTCGATATGAATCAATTAGATGTGCCCAAGGCATACTAACTGTAGAGTAGCTGTCCTGTTGACTGTCGATATGTATACGCGCCTGCTGAAACGTGTCAACTCGCTTGATACTAGGAAGAAAATCCAGTAGGATTCCGTCCAAATTCGAAACGCGGAGATGCTAGTATCATGAGTGGACATTGCGGAATAGAGGATATGGGTATTGACGTTGTTTCATCGATTGTAGCTACCTTTTCCCCTTCGTTTGGTATCATTGCCGTAACTATATTTTAATACAACCGGTAGCCCCCAAGGTCATGCATAGCGACGCGCACAGTTCCTCGTCGTCTTCATAATATTTACAAGATTCCACAAGATTCCACGTCGAAGAGCTATGCTAAACGACTTTAATCCATTCTTTTTGAGTAACCCCATCCATTGCCTACGCCGTTTAGCCCGTAAGCTAAAGGCGTAGCACCACCGAGGCCGCGACTCTTCAGTCGCTTAGGCAGGATAATGCCAAAGAAATAAACGCCGGAAACCAGAACGCCGGCAATGAATGATACGAGGGCATAAAATACGGTGCTGGCGTAGATATGCCCACCCATACCCTGCCACTCGACTTTACCCTCGGTCTTGGGAAGTGCTGGGGTTGGGAACCACCTAACACTAAAACTTAGGGGTAGAGGATCGCCAATGACCAGCCTCTTGGTAAAGCTGCCATCCATATGGCTAAGCGGGCTCGTGCTATATGCGGCGCCGCTATCTAGAACGCCGCTATCGTGAGGATGGATGTGATGCTTTGGTGTGCTGTGCAGGAGGATATTGAGATGGGTGCTGATATGCAGATGGCTAAGCTGCAAAGTGCCGGCCAAGGCAAACACGAGCGGTATATACTCTTGCTCATACGGCTTCTCGCCGACCATCTCAATATGGGCAGGAGGCCGAGCAGGAAGACGACAAGCAAGGGGCGCGTCGCTGTGGATGTAGAATTCCAACAGATGGAAAAAAGGGTCGTCTATCATAGGGATAGTACAGTTCATCTCGTCTTCGACGCCGTAACCGAACTCGAGAGACTTGCCGGTCTCGTTGCAGGTTGGAAAAGGGATCCATTGGATCTCGTCCTTGGCATCCTGGATATGTTCGCCGGTCTCTCTGAGGACGTTGGGTCAGCAAGTGTCGGTTGGGTCGCGCGCAAATAAACTCACACGCTCCTATTCATGCATTCGACGGCGATCGGTGCGCCATAGTGGTAAGATGGTAGAATGCCTTCTTTGAGACTGGCGCTCGCTGTGGCTATGGAGATTATGGGGAAGAGGAGCGGCAACGCGCCTAAGATCAAGCGCGCAATTGAAGGCATAATTGATTGGCCTCGGTATTAATATTTTAACCGTCGAAAGGACATGTCGAGGTTTAGACTAACGGCTGTCTACGCCTATCGAGAGAATATAGAAATCATAGAAATGAACGAAGGACAAAGGGCTAACTTATGTATTAACCTTAGGTGTAGACGAGTAGACGACAGCCTGGTCAAATTGTTGATTGCGTTGCATTAAAACGAACGATCCGCTGCTACGGACAGGGAGCTACTTTGTACTACGACGAGTTTAATAGTCTTATCGATACCTAGATATCCATCCGCTTACACGCATACACTTTAGGGGGACTAATGCAGTATCTAAAGTAGTACGTACTCGAAAGTATGAAGATGAGGTCTTGTACAATGCCGTCTTATACGAAACAGTCCTTAGCAGCAATCAACTCTTCTATATTTTATTAGTACTGCCACAATTTTTCTAGCCAATCAGATCCTTAGAATCGCCCCGCAGTTGGCGACTTTTCCCTTTGCCATTCTATCGCATAAGGTCTGAAATACATGCAAATAGGATAGAAAGGTCATGCAAAACGCGCTCTATCTAACAATACCAATTATTAAAAGTTTTATACAATAGTATAGTAGGTCAATTGATTTTACAAAAAATTCATCGGACGTGCGCTGAGGTGTGGCTAGCCAATCAGAGGCCAGACTTATATGTGGCGTAAAAGGCACTCTTGAAAGTTGAAGCTACCTAGGCACTCCCCGTAAGCGCTTGCGCGAACGGGTAACGCAGCTAGTATATTACATATCCAAATCATACTATACCTAACTATCAATACTCTATAATCTCGCAATCCTACACCTCCTTTTCACGAACCCGGCTTCTGACAAGTAGCTAGAATCGCTGTCCAACTTAGGTCCCATCCCTCACCATTATACTTTTCTTTAAGATGGTTCACGATGTGCTCATCCAAAATGCCTTGCGCCTTCTGCTTGCTCTCTTCGCTCCAGTACGTATTGACCATCCAATCCTTCATCATTCTATAATTGTAGAGATAGTCCTCGGCACTATTCACGCGAACCACGTGAGGCACAGCTTTAACTTGAACATTCTCGAACCCATAGGCTTTCAGTTCTTCCTCTACACCCTCCGGATCCGTCCACTGGAGCTTCCCGTGAATTGCCATGGGTACCGGGTTAGGCATAGGTGCGTCGAATGGCAGCGCCTCGAAGCACGACCTCATATCAGGGCTCCATCCCTTGGTGTCTCTGTGCCAGGTGCTAAACGCTAACACGCCTCCTGGTTTAAGGATCCGCATCGTGTCTGGAAGTTTGTTAGAAACAATTCTCCCATGTTATCTTTACTAAGAACATACCTGCTAACACAGCCTCCGGCTTTGGGATTACGTGCATAGCAAAATTGAGGGTTACATGAGTGAAAGACTGTTCTAGAAAGTCCGAATGCTATTGGAATGGGTCAGGTATCAACTGTTACAGATACAGTCATGATTGAACAAACCTGAGCATCAACAACGGCCGTCTCAACATTCGTCCAGCCATATTTGGTAGCACGCCTCTTCAATATACTCACAAGGTTTTCATTGAAGTCAGCACAAACCACCTTGCTCTCTAGCAACAATTTAGAGTCAACGTGGTCTTGCAAGTGCGCCACGATAGGACCGGTTCCGCAAGCATTGTCGAGTAGTGTGAAAGGCTCGCTTGTCGACTCGTCGAGGCCCGCTTGTGTGAGCAGCAGCCCAGCAGGACCTCTCATGATTCGTTCCGAGCCTGCAATCGTCCGCTCCAAGTCTTCATCGGCAAGGCCTCCGGCGAAACTTCCGTGTAGCTTCTGTAGCTCTTTCTGTTCAGCACTAGTCATGATGAGCGACAGGTGGCTGGTGATAAGGAGAATTATATACGCTTTAAATACGGATAAGTAATATTATTAGCACAACAAGTCTACTTTGCTCCAAGTCATATTAACGACCGTTCCTCGTGTCTAATTTATAGACGCCAGCAAGCTACGTCTACCAGGACTAAGTCCCCGGAAAGTCTCCGAGTTGGGGCATTGGTAAAAGACCTTGAGGGCCAACAGCTAAAAGAGATTCCACATTGGGGTCCTAGGATTTTACGCGGTTGGGAGTAGGTACATACCGTTTAAAATTGTATCAATCCTAATTGTCCTTTGGAGCTATCCATGTCGTTTCAGCCCGAACGATATTATATACAGTAAACACTTGATATAACGAATTTATTATATAGCAAATTTAAAATATAACGAATTTAATCTTATATTTTTAAAAATTTGTATATATTTTAACGAATTTTTTTATATAATAAAATTCGTTAATTTTAATAATTAATTACCATTAAATTTATTATATAAAAAGTAAAGTTATACTTTTTTTAATTTAACATTTAATTATTTTAAAAAAAGTTTTATTTAATTTTACTTAAATTTATAATTATAAACCCGTGTTTAAACATTTTACTTTTTTAAAAAATATATTATTAATATATTTTTTTTATTTAATAATAAATTTAATATATAATAAATTTAAACCCATGTTTTTTACGATTTGTTATATCGAGTATTTATTATATAACAAATATAACCCATTAATAATAATATGTTTTTTTATTAATTACGTTACCCGTTTACGTAAACGTTTACGGGAAATGTTTAACTTTAAAAATACTTTTTACATACGTTACATATAAATTTAACCTTTTTAATTAATTAACCACACTTTAACGTACGTTTAATAAATTTTTTATAAAATTAATTAACTTATTATATTATTAAATAAATCTTTTAATAATTAATATTATTAAATAAAATTTATTTTATATAACTTTTTTATTTTATTTACATATATTTTAAACTTTATACGATAAAATGGTAAAAAAAAAAATCGTTAATTATAAAACGATTTTAAAAATTTAATTAACTGGAAAAATTATAACAATATTAATAAAATATAAAAAAGTTAATTATATTAATATTTTATATATTATTTACGTTTATTAATATAAACGAATATTTAAAGTTATAATCGTAACGTAAATAATTATTAAATAATTAAAAACATATTTAACTTATTTTATAATTATAAACGTTTTAAATCCTTTAAAATTATACCATAATAAAGCCATTAATTTATAAAAAAACATTTTAACAATCCCAACTCTAGTGAATATCTCACAACTTCATGCCTAAATTTGTTTAGATTTGCTTAAATTTGCCTAGATTTGCCTAAAATGTAATAGATTGCTGATCTTCTCAACCAGGAAACTTGAATCGATCACTTAGAGTTGAGTCGTGCGTGCCTCGCGGTATATTTGTCCATCCAGAGAACATGCTCCGCAGGATCCTGTATCTACTACCAATGCTGCCTACCCAACTCTCCATAGACACTAACCAGCGTCGTAATGCTGCTAATAGAATATCTGTCTCTTGTGATTCGAGTGCACCACCGACAACAACTCGCTTCGGCCAAACCAGGTCTGACCTTGCTAACACATTGAATGCACAGTATTCGTATACCAGAATGCCGAGACGCCTATTATCACTTTCTTTTTAACCCCATTGTATAGAGCCTTGCTATTCAAACACCCGGCACATATCAAGCCGCCTGATATCTCGAGCTTCCAAATTCTGAGTAATACGTCATACTAGAATTGCCCTTTCTCAATAGAAACCCATACTCCTATTAGCTATTGGTGATACGACGAAACCCTCCACAGCTCGTTTTATTTCTTTCACGCTCCGTGTGATATCTCTCATGTCTGCACCGCCCTCATTGCTAATTCGTAAGTTCGTAGACACCCAGCTTTCGCACTCCAGAATCAAGTCGTGAATCCAAGGTTCTAACCTCGCCTCCGGGCGACCATTCCTATTTAAATCGCGGATCCATTGACTGACAGCAAACGTAATCCATTCGACGATTCTTACGCGACCAGGGCCCCGAAAGGGTACTTCCTGTGCCTCGAACATTTGTTCAAGGACGCGAACCACCAGGTCGAAGCTCACTCCCAAATTGAGGAAGACTATTACCGGCCAGTTGACATCTGCGGCGATTCTTCTATCCTGCGCATTCTCAAAGGCGTAGCGACAGATCTCCGGTAAGAGAGTAGGGACGGGGAATATGAAAGAGTCGTTGGAAGAGCGGTGACAGATGTCTTGAATCTGGCCGACGAGCACTTCGTACGGTTGAGGAGGTGGATCTCCTGCCTGTGCTCCACGCTTGCGGCGCTCTACGTCATATGCTGACCACTGTTCCGCGACGTTCTCGTGAGTTTGCTGAATAAGGCTGCTCCACGTCTGAGCGATGGTGGTGGAGTTTCGGAAGTCGGCAACGTGGTAAATAAGAAGGCAGAGATCGTAGTAACCGGCTTGGTCGGCGTAGCCGTTGAAGAGCTAGTTAATAGATGTTAGCGACTCCGAAACCGATTTATAACTCTAAAATAACGCGCATATCTGCGCGTAGAAAAATACTCACTTCGGAGAGAGGTTGAATTTGGCCATCTAAGGTCTTCTCAATATCTGGGAGGCGTTCCGCAGGGATTCTGCTATCCACCCTCAGCCTCTCTAATAGGTCGTCCTGGATGTGAGCCACCTCGAGAAGCTCTGTCACCTTGTGGTTGAGGAGCTGCTGTTCTTGCCGGCTAACGCCAGCGGTCATAACACTGGCGTTGGTCTTCGCTTTGCTTAGCAGGGTAAGACGATCTTTAATAGAAATTGGGAAGTCGGATTGCGCGAGTTCAGCCTGGACCTTGGCAGCGTCGAAGTACTGCTTGCGCATAGTGTAAAACCTGCAAAGGAGGTCTGCATGCTCGACATCCTTGGAAGCTAGACGGCGGAGGAAGGTCGTGACATGCGGCGAGTCGATGCTAAGAAGGCGATCGGTCCACCCTTGCTGTATATACCAATCATATAGATCAAAATGGAAAACTTCGTCTGACGAGCTGCTGACGACATCATAAGCCTCTGCGCGCTTGGTTGCTATCAGTGTCGGTTTTCCGTCGATCATTTCGGGCTCCCGGCCGGAGGCGGCGTCGAGGTCCTGGAGAACGCGATGAATTAAGTCATAGCAGACTTTGCGCTGGTCAAAGAATTTTGCCCTGGGGTCACCGATGGGCTTACCATCGTTAACCCAAGAAAGTGCAGCGTTGCCCCGGTCCTTTTCGCTAGCAACGACAAGACAAAGCTGAATAGCTCCGGCGTAGTATCTCAAGCCGACATATTGCTCGATCGCATACTCGAGGTTTGCTTGCGTGAGGCTTTTCGCAACTTTCTGGAACAACCTCAAGCTCTCATGAAGAAGTGTACGGGAGGTGTTCGGATTGAGAGACGGTTCTGACGCCTTTTTTAGTTGCTCCTGGGCCTTGAATATGACTACGTCGTCGGGGCTGCAAAAACTGCCGCATTTGCGACGTAGCGCATCTGCTACGGTTTCGACATTGGACCCGTTCTCAATGTTCCGATTGACAATAGCCTTGACGAGGGTCTTGGCGAGTTCCTTTCCATTTTCTTGAGAGAATAGTTGCTCGTACGTAAGATCGCGAAGCTGCTGCCGCGACGTATCATCAAGACGAGCGAATATATCCGTAACTCGCTCATCGAACAGGGTCATAACGAAAGATATGCCTTCAGTAATACCCATCATCAACGTCTCCAGGGCACGCATAGCTTGATGCTCACCCTGGAAGCCAAGTTCCTCCTGCTTGCTTCCAGCTCTGCGTAAATCCGCGGGACCCGAGAGACCTTGGATAAACGACCGGTTCGCATCTAGGAAACTTCTTAGACCCTCTACGCTCGCCTGAACTTCCTTTAACTTATCGGTTGAAATGACGCTGGTTATCGCTAGCGCGCCGCTCGCATCGGTCCCCAATCCAACGACTCTCGAGTTCCATAATGATCGGACAAGCCGGCTAAGATACATAGTTAAGGCTGCGTGCCGAGTCGAAGGCTGGACCATTTCAACCGTCGCTGGTTGTCCATCCTGCTCGGGAAGCCTAGGATTTCCGCCGAAGTTGATATAGACTTGCTTTGCTCGGTCTTGGGTGGCTTGGTCGATCGCGCCACGGGCTATCCCAGGACGCCCATTATCTCCTTGGCGACACGCAACGGCTAATGCAGCCGTGATAGTCTCAACATGGCCATAAGCACTGCGAAACTTGCTCACCTCGGTTTTTACACCTTCATCCCCTGCAGCAGCCCTAATAGCCGAGGCGAAAATGTCTACCAGTCTTCTGCGACGCACCAAATGTATTCCCGTATTTGTCAGAATAGCAAACTCGCTACCGTTCGGATCATCAAATTGGACCGCTAATTCATTCCCAAAGCCTTGAGGTTGGTTGGTCGCAGCGAAAGGCTTGGTAACAAGACCGACATCTTCAGCTCTACTACCAATTTCGATCCAGTTGGCATGCTCATAGTACCGCATGTTCTGAGTCTGGCGCCCATGGTTGATCCGCCCGCTGTCTGGGGCCGACATAAACAAAAGATCAACGTTGGGTTGTTCCGTTTTAGATACAAAATCAAGAAAGTAGCCTGGAGGGAAGCGGATTCCTCGCCGACTCCCCTCGAGAGATTTCGCATGGATATCGACCTGGTCCGCAAGGCCCCCAAACCGGTCGACCCTAGACCTCCGTTGGTCAGTCGGAGGGAATTTGATGCATTGGAGCTGCATGCTCTGAGGCGCCTGGTTCGAAGAACCCAACATGTAGGAGGCAGCGCTAGTAGCGCTCATAAAGAGACGGCATCCCGTATTTGTCAGGGCCATAAGGTGAACCTTGAAATCTTCAATGGCAGAGATAGGACTAATCGACACGATATCGATGCGCTCGTTAAGCAGAGGCGACACAACGCTAAGCACGTGGGCGATATCGCGCAAAAAATCGTCCTTGGTCTTTTCGATAACTTTGGTGAGCTTGTTCGGCGGCTCCATGTGATAAGTGCGTACGGTCGACGTGTTAGAAAGGGAGTAGAGAAGACTTCTACTATCATCCACGACGATATCCACGATGTGCTCATTCGTAGCCTTGCCCCAAAGGATCTGTGACGGGTTAGGGACTGCTGCAGTCCATGGGCGATACGTGTGGTTGATCTTCTCCGTCCTGTTGGTAAACCATTTCTCTTCTTGCTGGTACTTAAGCTCATAAATATCGCTATCCGACAGGCCGGAGAAAAATATGCGGCCGTCTGCGGAACCGGCTATAACGCGCGCCTCTGTACCTTTTAGGGGTAACGACATCTTCGTACCATAGAGATCAATGCTCTTGGCGCCGCCTGGAGCATCTTTGGCCGCGACTCCTAAGAGGAATATCTCCGAGGTCGTAGCTACAACCAATATGTGTGTAATGACCTTATTGAACACGTCGGGCTTGGGGGCGACGAGTTTCACGGCGGTGATGCTATGCTGGCTGTCTTCGTAGCCAGTAAGCTCCGGGTTTGGGTGAGTGTAATCCCAAAGGTAGAGACAATTGTCAATCGTCACCCAGGCGTGGTTCAGCTCGGCGAACAGCCCCATCATCGTGGATACTTCGGCCCTGTTATACTGTTCGAGAACGTTTTGAGGAATGGGATACATATTTGTCTTCTGGAAAGGTGCCCAGGCGGAGTCGTCCCGAGTGACATCGTAGTCGGAGGATATTTCTGCGGTAGGTATGTTCTTTAGAACTAAACTTGTTAATAAGGATGTATAAGATATTACTCACGTCTACAGTAGGAATCAAGCTGTGGATAATCGCCATCTTTAGCCAGAGCATTGTTAATATAGGAAGCAGCCTTAGCTAATGGAGATTGAGGAGGCATGTTTTGAGCTTGTAGTCCTGCTCGTATGATCTGCTCTTCGGCAGGCTGGGTGGGAGCATTAAGCCCGAGACCGTGATCTTGACTGAATCTTGCGACTTCACCGCTAGGAGGAGCTGAATTATCCCGAAATAAGCGGCGACGAACCGGATCTTGCTGGGCGTTGAAGCGCGATGCAATAGCAGGAGTATGCAAGAAAGCGCCGGGCAGTGCATGAGACGGCGTCTGCGGAAAAGCCATGGCGACGATTCGTATGCGTATGCGTATGCGTATGCGCCTGAATATAACAAATCAGGCGCGGCAACGAGGAAGGAGGATGGGATTGGTCAATCAGTATTGAAAGGAGAGAGAGCCAATGCAGGCGGGCAAGGCACCGAGCTGCTATCGGATCATCAATGGCAACGTCGAAGCTTGGTTCCTTCTAGAATGCTAACAGACGAGAGCGCAGGAAGATGAGAGAAGGGAACCACGGTTATGCTCCCTCTTTATAAATTCCGACCCTAAGTCCCCAAAGTTCCCAAAGTCAAGAGGAGCTTATCTTGGAAAAAAAAAAGAGAGCTATCAGCTGTCAGCTTTGGACGGGACTTAGTTTTAAGATGAGGTATTAGTATTAGAGAGAGAAAAAGGCTGGAGTTGGAAATATGTTTAGCTTATTTTTTCGAAATTCGAAAGCGGGAGCTTTGACGACACGCGCTTCAAGTTTCGTTGCTTGGGTTGCTGAGGTTGTAGCTTTGTCCATTTTTTTCCCTTGTCGCGACTTAATCGTTCTAATCCCAATCAAGCTTCAAGCTGGGTTAATAAGTGGAACTACATGCTGAGTACTGCATACATGTACCCTACTTTATGCAGGTATCTAGGTATTCTCACAAGCAAACAGCAGCGTCATTGGCTCAAATCATTGGTTTAAATGCTCAAATCTTCTTTGACATTCACTTCAACTTTCCAAGCACAATGCTATTTAAGACATCAATAAAATACCTAACCAACCTCTAGGTACATTGTGTTACCATAACATATACCATAACATAAACTTCTGGCTGTGACTTGACAATTACCTAGGGTTAGGTAGTTAGTACTTACAATAGCTACCTATATAGTGACTACATACCTAAATACCTAATCATCTCGTGTTGAAAAATTGAAGGTTAGTACAGGCAGGTAATAAGTCATCGAATATGCATATTAATACGGTAATGACGTATTCGTTTCAATTGAACAAGCTTAGACGTAATAAACCATCTCTAAAACAAAAGAGCGAAAAATAATAATATCAAGTCAAATGTGAATTAGATACCTAAAGTACGACGCCAGTCATCTCTTTACCTCTATAAATACAGGCAGCTCCAACTGCAGCTTTTTCCATAGTTAACCAATATGAAGCCTACGGCTATTCCTTTTTAGTTCCTGGAGAGCTTTGCCTCGGGCTTAATTATTCCTTCTTGGCATTTCGGGCCGCCTTCTTCAGATAGCGGTCCCGGATATCCATTTCCATCTTCAAGTTGACCCAGATGCAAAGCCAGTGACCAACGCCAAGGGTATTCTCAATGACCCAGGCCATCAGCGCATGGCTCCAATGCGGTGTATAAGTATATGCCACGCTTTGCCAGCCTCCCAATCCCACCTTGCCTAGAGCAGCTCGCACAAATTGTTTCTGGCTAGGAATAAGTGCGCTAGCCCGTCGTACCTTACTCATTGCTGTCGTGACAAGGTAGCTGAGACAAAGTTGGACGTCGACGTTGCTCGGCTTGAGCTCGGCCGCAAGAGCAGAGGACCAATGCTGTAGGAATGCCTTGCTACCCGAGTAGGTGGCCAAATAAGGGGTTGGGATCCATCCGCCGAAGCTACCCATTGTGAGAATCAAACCACGCTTACGGGCCTGCATTCCCGGAGCGATGAGCTGTGTGACCTTGAGAGTGCCTAGGCAGTTGATAGTGACAATATCTTGAAGCTCCTTCGATTCGGTGAGCAGGAAAGGAACAGCGGTGTGGTGACTCTGACCGACATTGTTGATAAGAATGCCTATGTCGAGACCGGTGATCAGGTTGGCGAGACGAGCATAGTCGGCCTCGTCGTCAGCGGAGAAGTCCATGCCGAGCACCTTCGTCTGTAGTCCCGCATGCTTGGTTTCCAGCTCTTGCGATAGTGCTTCTAACTTGGATAAGGTACGGGACACCAGGACGAGGTTGAAGCCCTTGGCAGCGAGTTGAGCAGCAAATTCTTTTCCTAAGCCATCAGATGCGCCCGTTACAACAGCCCAGCTACCCTTCTTTCCATATTTCTTAAGCTAAATCGTGGGATTCCCAGGTGTTAGATGAAGATACAGCATACACGAGGGAGTAAAATAGTATATAAACAGAGACTTACGTTGGTCCCACTGAGGATGAATGTGTTTAAGAGTAAACGGAGAAAGCTCAACGCTTTGAATGTTGTAAAGAGAGCTCCCAGTCCCGCAAAGGTCAACAGCACGCTCTGCGGAATAGAAGCGAGACCATCGCTAACAAAATCCATATTGGATAGGATGAGATATGACAGGTACTTCCAATAGGCCGTCCTATAATTCGTGTTATCCTATCCAGTATATATGGAGGGAGTAAAAGTAGGAAGAAAGGTAAAATTTAGGTACTATCGATATTGTGTGCTGTTGTGCTGTTGGGGTTTTCCGAGTGCGAGTTACAAGTAAAAAGACCAATTGGAAGCTAAGGTGCAACATCAATACCTGATAGGTTAGCGACGGGCCTCGGAGCTTAGAACATTGAAGCTACCCAGTAGGAAAATTAACATATGCAACTTTATGTAATCACCTATAAACTGCCATACATATGTAGCACCTTGATGGCCTCTCTTTATATTTACCTAGATATATCAAGCATTCCCGTTTACCAACCAGAGTTTTAAGATCCACCAACGAATCAATCATCATGGATGTTCTTAAAGACTATCTTCCACCCGCCAAAGGCTATCTACCGTACTATATGATGCTGGTATGCGAAATTCGTCTTACCTTACCTTTCTAGCTAACCCCCTTTTTTTTATTACAGACCTCCATCCTCGCGGTTGGAAATGCCGTTCAGAATTATATAACATTACACTTTTCCCGACGCCTTTACAACGGCCAGTTCGTACCAAACCTCTCCCTATCTCCCAAGTCGGCTACCTTCGATCCGGAAGACTCGACTCGGAAACTTGTACCTGCGTCCGCAACGTCCAACCCCAAAGCCGGGCGCACTCAGGATCAGGTCACCCCCCTCGCTGCCAGATTATTCGGTACCTATACTACCGTTTCGGCTATCGTGCGCCTCTACGCTAGCTACAATCTGCATCTAGCTCCCGTCTACCAAATCACCCTGTGGACCTACGTCGTTGCACTTGCGCATTTCGGCTCCGAATTCGCCGTCTATAAAACGGCGCACATGGGTGCGATTGCGACAACCTTCTTCTTTGCCACCGTCGGTATCGTATGGATGACTAGCCAATATAATTTCTACGTCGAAGTATAGGCCTGAAGGAACAGGCTTTTCGCAGGGAGGGAGAGGTGTAATGGGTATAATATCATCAATAATATAAGTAATCAACATACACAATCGAAAAGTTTGATGTGGGACGCATTTATAATACCAAGGCCATGAAGTTCTGCCCATGTATGTTGCCAACTACTAGGCATAAATACCTAATCTATTGCTATAGTACCTTCGCCATTCGCTATACGCTCCCCCTATCATTGGAGCTTTTTCCGATATAGCTCTCCCGCGCAATCCCTCAACCTTGCCGAGGCTTGTTCGGGGGTAATATCTCGTTGCGGCTCGGCCATCAATTCGTATCCAACTAAGAATTTTCGCACGGTGGCCGACCGTAGTAGAGGTGGGTAAAAATGCATGTGGAACCAACTGTTTTCGATTTCCTCCTCTGTTCCGTCTAGCGGAGCCTGATGAATACCGGAGCTATACGGGAAGCTTGTCTCGAACAAGTTGTCATATCTCCTCGTTACCTCCTGGATCGCATCCGCAAACCTAAACCTCTCTTGTTCGGTCAGGTCTACTAACGCTCGCACATGCCGCTTGGCGATTATCATAACCTCAAATGGCCAGATCGCCCACCACGGACAGACCACTAAGAAGGACTCGTTCTGGTACACGATACGCTCCTGCTTCTCTAATTCTAGCTTGACATAATCCTCCAGCAGGTGTCGCCCTTGGTGCTCGGCTCTATATTTGGTCAACTGAACAATTTCTGCGGCTGGCTCTTCCGGCAGTGTACTGGTTGTCCAGATTTGGCAGTGCGGGTGAGGGTTTGAGCATCCCATTGCAGCGCCCTTATTCTCGAAAATCTGCATGTATCGCAACTGCTGCGAGGGCGGCGGCACGAGGGACTCGGGAGGTGCTTCGCGATTTAGGAGATCGAGCTTGGCGGCGACTTGGGAAAGGGGGTTATTCGGCGCAAGGTGGGCAGCATAAATCCTTGTCCACGTCTCGATAATTGGGAGAGTCTCGGCCGCGGGCATGTCGGCGAGGGTGAGGTTGTGCTTGGGTGAAAAGGTAAGGACAAAGCATTTGCCTTTGACACCCTCGGCGCGAAGTAGCAATGAGGCGAGATCTACTCGGATTAACTAGGCCCAACCATAAGTTAAGAGGCGGCTAGGGGCAAGCTCATTACCATGGCTTGAAGGCTCTGCCTCATAATCTTGCTGTTGTTCCTTTACGGCACTATAGTCGTTTACAAACACAAAGGTCTGACTATAATCAGGGTTCGCATCGCCTTGCGCTCGTGGGTTTCGAGGACAGAGGTAACACTTGACTCTGTTAGCGATCAACATCTCTGGTATTACGGGGAAGTGTCGCTTGCCTTCGGGTCGTATTCAGGCAGTGTGATGATTCCTGGGGCTTCTTGCTGACCCCTGGCCAAGAACCTGGTGAGCAACTCGTTTCCTCCTTATACAAAGCACAGATATATCACAGCACACTTACTGCCAAGGTCTCTTCGTCCTGTGGGGGGAAACTAAGAGCCATGATCCCCTCAGCGGATTGTAGCGCCGATGGGAGATATCGTCGAGGATTTTGTCAGGCATCGCGACGAGAGAAAAGACTGGGCTGGGCTATGAGGATGAAGTTTGATAGATGTATATAATGGATGAGAACGCCCTTGTAGCGCAGAAAGCGATGCGATTCGAAGCTTGAGCTAACACGATGAAGGAGTGAGGGTAGTTTCCTATTGGAAAGAGCAAGTATTTATCTCAAAGAACAAAGCAAGCAGATGTAAGGTTTGCGAAGATGTAAGGAGACGGATAGCTGCGGTGTATATTGCATTGTACCTGATTATCGGTCCACATGGCATAGGTAGGTATGTACATGTAGTTGAGTACCTCTTAGATACATCTCATATGTATGTGGTGGGTTGAGAAAGCACAACCCCGCCTGGGGTATTCTACCTACCTACATGTAGGTATGATGCAATTGGACAGGTGCGAGGTATCTCGGTGGTTACGTCGGCCGAATACCAGGAACGACTTTTAAAGCTAAAGCAGTTCAAGCTTACCTCATATTTTGGGTAAGGAAAAATACCGCGCCTTCTTCACTCGTACCTTCCATATAAGGGAAAGGAGAATTACGAGGTGACACAATAGATGTACACGTGCACCTAGAAATATTAAAGTTTTAATGTTTGCAACTGCCTTAGTTTAGGTAAAAATAAGTAAAGCTTATTCACGTGACTAAAGAACCTCAGCCTTTTTCGGGTTAAAGCAGGTGATACTTCGTACATCTATTTCTATTTGTCAAATCGTCGCGACGCATTCCGCATCTGCAACCTTTAACCTACCTAGGAGTACCTACATGTAACCGACCAGCAAACATATTGGAACCTTAGCTTATTATGGCATACGTACTATAGTAGGCATCCAACTGCTATCCGCTATCGCCGACTAACCTCCATTACTTGTCGCGCAACATCAAATCGACAATACTCTTCAAATACGACATCCTGTTGATCTCCCTCTACCGTATTCCTCCGTCGTCGGTCGGCGTGTCTTTATCAGTCCATCTCAACCATAATCTGATAATCGATTGCGAAGTCCTTCCAAATCGGACTTCGTAATCCCGAACTTCACACTGGACGACAACATGGGTGTCATCCGCAAGAAAACGGCTACGAGGGGTGGCGAGAGCGGTGTTAAATACGTTTGCGATGTTTGCTCGGCAGACATCACCTCTACAGTACGTCTTCATCGCGTCCCTACCTCTATTACTACTCCTCTCTTCGCCTATCTATCAGTGCTAATTGAACTCTGTTTCTACAGGTCCGAATAAGATGCGCCCACAGCGCATGCAACGAGTACGACCTTTGTGTTCAATGTTTCTCTATGGGTGCCGCGAGTGGCTCTCACCAGCCAGCTACCCATCCCTACAGGGTCATCGAACAAAATTCATTCCCTATTTTCGACAGAGACTGGGGTGCAGATGAGGAACTGCTGCTTCTCGAAGGCTGCGAGACTTACGGACTTGGATCATGGGCCGATATTGCAGATCACATCGGTGGCTACCGTCACAAGGATGAGGTTAGGGACCATTATCTCAAGGTGTATGTTGACTCGCCGTATTTTCCACTGCCGGAACGCTGCAAACCATCCGACATGGAACTAGCACAAGATGTATCCCGCGAAGAATTCCAAGCGCGCAAGAAGCGACGCATCGAAGATCGTAGAGAGGCTCAGAAGAACGCACCCCCGATGCCGCCCAAGACAAAGCCCACGGCCAGTGTACCTTCCTGTCACGAGATTCAAGGCTACATGCCCGGCCGACTCGAGTTTGAGACCGAGTATGCTAATGAGGCCGAGGAGGCAGTCCAACTGATGCAGTTCGACCCCGGTGACGGTATCAATCCCCATACAGGAAACCTAGAACCGGAAATGGAGCTCAAACTCACGGTCATGGACATCTATAACTGCCGGTTAACCCAGCGCGTGGAACGAAAGAAAGTGATTTTCGAGCACAACTTGCTGGAATACAGGGAAAATAGCAAGCAGGAAAAGAAGAGAACCAAGGAAGAACGAGACCTTCTGAGCAAAGCCAAGCCTTTTGCGCGCATGATGAACCATGATGACTTTGAGGCGTTCTGCCAAGGTTTAGTCGACGAGTTGAATCTACGGCAAGCAATTACGCAGCTGCAGGAGTGGAGGAACATGAAGATTGGTGATCTTCGTAGCGGAGAAAAGTACGAACAGGAGAAAAGCCAACGCATACAGAAGGCCATACCGATGGGTTCGATGGATCGCGAACGACTAGCTTCAGCGCAACGATCCAAGCAGAACATTCAACCGGAACCACCTAGTGGAGCTGCTCTGCTCGTAGCGCCCGAGCTCCCATTTAGACCTGCTACAGCTGGAACGGTATCTCAAGACGCCCCAGATACTTCAGCAAACGGCGAGCCGAAGCCGCTCGCAAATGGGCACACGAACGGAGTTACCAACGGAGTTACGACCAACGGGACACTTGCGCCGGGAAAGCAGAAGTTCATCTCACAGCCTATTTCGGGCGTACAGCCACTGGCGCTAACCCAAGACAACGCCCCAGACTTACATCTACTTACACCGGAGGAGGTAGAACTGTGTAAGGTTTGCCGAATACAACCGAAGCCGTATTTGATGATAAAAGAACAGGTATTCAAAGAAGGTCTAAAAGGCAACGGAGCTTTAAAGAAGAAGCAAGTGAAGGAGATTTCTCGATTAGATTCGCAGAAGGGGGGCAGGATATTCGATTTCTTTATTAACTCGGGTTGGATTGCTAAGGCCTAAGCTTTTCCGGTAGTAAGTTTAGGAATACCGTCAGATGCGATCGGTTCAATATCCTATAAATTCTTTGGGGATTTACCCTTACCTTGTCCCCTTACATTGCAAGCATATTGGAGTAAGGGATGTATATCTATCAACCCTGTCAAGAAAGAAGAATGAGAGAGAAGAGGGGGTGAGATGGCTGATAACATGCAGCACATTCATCGCTTCGGCCAAACAGGTTCTCCACAGTTAAACTTGAACCGCGGCAGAATCCGTAATTAATACAGTGGCCTTTGCATTCATATGGGCGATGATTTTAGTTAGACAGGCTCTTGGAGTCCGAGTCTTATCCCGAGTAACTTAATACGACGTACCACACGTTAGGTACCTACCTAGTTAACAATGTGATAGCAGCTAATGCAAGGTTATAAGTCTCTGTCTCTTCGCGATGTCTCAATATAGTTTCATTTTATGAGACAACTCGTGGTGCGTGTTAAGTACAGCAAGAAGTTACACCGACGCATAAGAATGCGGACATACCCGTGTTGATGTAGTTAGCCGGTGTAAGATAGACGGGATTATGCACATACTATGTACTAACATAATTCTGGTAAGCCGCAACCACAAGCCACAACTCTCCACCCGTCCCCCCCCCCCCAATTCTAATCGCGCCTAGGTTAGACCATTCCTATTTCTACCTGCCGGTCCGCGCCCTAGTGCGACCTTTCCCCCCCCTTCTTCCCACGATGGTAATTGGCTATCAAACAATCGTAGGCTTCATGCCGCGTCGAAACCTCCTCCTCCCGACCATTTGTATCGTCCTCCTTATTGCGGCATGGACATTCCGAACTCCGAGCCCCTCTATTGAAAGATGGCTTGACACATCTGCCATACGAGGTACTACGTCGCCGACAATACCACCGAACTCATCGCCGCCCCTCTCATCTTCTAACAGTCCTCCAAACCAACTCCACAGCGATGTCGACCTATCCTCTCCCGACGCTCCCTTTGTCGGCTGGCCGTTACAAAGGGTATGCAAGGAGGCCATGTGGGTGGAAGGGTTAGTTTACATATGCGACAACAATTCCGGTGGGATTGGTAATATACGAAATTACATCCAGACCTGCATACGGTATGGTCTCGAAGCTGGCGCCACGGGTCTCGTTGTGCCCAAGATTCGAAAACGCAATGAGACAGACCTAGCCGACCTCTTCACTGACTATCTACCACTCGATTACATGTTCGACGAGAAGCACTTCAAAGATGCCTTTACCCTCAACTGTCCCCAGATCACTCTCTACGACAATATCAAGGATATACCCGGCATAGGTAGCAAGCCTAATATCGAGCATATCACACCCAAGAAGTTTGGAAACCGCGAGGGCTGCGATTGGCGAGATCAGAATCGTCACACGGATCGTTTCGGTGATAGATTCCGCAAATGGTTGAACGATCCCAAGAATGGACAACTTCCACCGTCGAGGGATCACCCGCGGTTAATACGTTTTAATTGGGGTGTTCTCTGGGACTGGCAGATCTATCGTGACGGCCCCGAATTTGCGAATACGTTCGGTAACATCCTAAAACTCAATGACCAGCTACTCCGCTTAGGAGAGGTTACGTTACAAAAAATGCATGCGTATGCGAAGGCCAACGGAGTCGAGGATGGCAAGTTCCTCGGCGTACACTTGAGAACAGAGAGCGACGCCCTGAGTTTCTGGCCGACGTACACTACTCAGACAGAAGCCTATCTAAAACAAGCCACCAAGCGAGGCTTTGAAGCGGCGTACATAGCCACGGGAGACCCTCTCGAGGCGCAAAACTTTGCAGGGGCGGCCATCGAAATGGCACAGATGAGAGTGGTTAGCAAGACAGATCTGCTGGAGGACGAAGATCTGGAAGAGCTAGAGTCGTTGAGCTGGGATCAACAGGGCCTAATCGATCTAATCGTCCTCCTGGGAAGTGACTACTTTGTAGGCACAATGCCGAGTAGTTTCTCGATTTACATAGCGATGAAGCGGCACCTGAAGACGGAAGGTATCTATACGAGGCCTTATAAAGTCGGGTCGGAAGGAGATGGGCTGTCGTATCTCGTGGGCAACTATGAAAAGTACTGGGAAGGTTGGCTCTACATGTGGGATGGTATGTGGCCTTGAGACATGTCTTTAGTAGAGTAGCATCTCCTTAGATGCGAGTATCATAGCAATAGTATGTACTATAGAGTAGTAGGTATCTAAGATACCTACAACTTCTATGTGAAAAGAGTCCCTTACCTGCATGTGTATCCAAAATGGGTTCCTTTATGTGCATATGCCTACCTAAACTAATATCTATGCATTATTTAGGTGCCCACCCTAATGTAACCGTACTCTATTAAAGGCATATACATGTACCTAATCTTCAAGGTTCTAATAAGCAGAAACTCAAGCAAGAACTTAAGCAAGAACTTGAGCAAGAACTTGGGCAAGAACTCAAGTTCACAACCTCGACGTCAATTTTAGAATCGTCTTGACTAGCAAACTCATTTGGCTCCCGGTTCACTCCTTGGACAAATACTAAGCTACTCTACGCTGAGATAACTTTCTACTACGTTCAAAATGTCCATGGTAACCATCTCTAGCCTACAGCGCATCACGGCGTCAAAGCTAGCTGAGATGTTACTTGTCAGCGCGAACCCACCGTCTTCGGACGCAACCATAGCCATTGTGGACGTGCGAGATGACGGTATGTGTTACTCTCTCTTTTTAAGGCTTTGACCTTTTGATGAAACTAGAGGAATCGCCTGTTAACTAGATCTGGCTTGGTTTGGCCTAACCTCTCCTATCCTATTTATTATACCTAAGGACATACTAATATAACTTCTATACCGGCGCGCAGATCATATAGGCGGGCACATCAAGTCGTCGCTGCATTTCCCTAGCCGCAGCCTTGACGCTACCATGCCCACCCTATTGCGCAAGCTCGCCGACAAGGAGATAGTTATCTTCCACTGCGCCTTGAGCCAGCAGCGCGGTCCTAGCGCCGCCATTAGATACATCAGAGAAAAAGAAGCGGCAACCGCTGCGGTAAAGAGGGCTGCGGAGGAGAAAGAGGCTAAAAAGGAGGGTAATGCGGCCAAGCAACAGCAAGTCTACGTTCTAGATAGGGGCTTCGTCGGCTGGCAGGAAGTCTATGGCCCTGATGAGCGTCTCACAGAGGCGTATAGAAAGGAGTTATGGGAGAATGGGTATTAGACCAAGGCCACGACCAGGAAACCGTAGCATTAGAGATTGGCGTTTTAGTCAAGATGGACCAAGAAGCATGTCTATTTGGCGAGTGTGGTTGTGGTTTATATTCGGTAAGCCTGTTCTATCACCTTCCCTTGGTAACTTCTTCCACTCACAAATGCTTAGAGGGGGGGCCAATTCCTTGACGCCGCTGTGTGCAGCCCTTGGGATGGCGAAATCGAGTTCTGGACTTCAAGGTCAAGACGTGACATTCCATTGTAGATCGAGCATAGTTTATTTAGCCAAAGCTTTGTACCTCAGTCCCCATTGGCCCCTTTCAGGTTGAGCTTGGCCCTATACAGGATTTGGCTTATGTGATAGAACTATACTTTTGAACTTTAATACTCGCGGCTTTATACCCCGTGAGTCATTTACAGTACGGACATGCGCAGTGATTTTCTTTAAAAGAGTTGAGGAATAAGATTTGACATTACTCGGATGACTGAAGCAAATTTGAAATTCATTACGTTAGCGGATCGTAAGAAAATATATACATAAACGTTCTTTATATGGAGTTCTATATATTTTCCAAGTTGATGGGATACAAATTGTATCTAGAGTATATCAATAACTTTATAAGCAACCAGCCGAGGTTGTCTCACTGCATGAGTTCAGAATTTACGTAGGTCTCAATGTGTCTTAAGATCTACACGATAGGCTCATGCTTGCCGAGGGGCCAGAAGCTTTTAGCCAGAGAAGCCCCATTCTTAGATGTACAATAAAGACATGCTCAAGATAGATCGAGAGAATTTGAGTTCTCGCATTGACGCAAGGGGGAGTTCTGATATACTGGCAGACCTTTCTCCGATAGGGGATATACTAACATATATAGAGCAGCATTTGTATTTAGATATGCCATATACTTCTACCTAATAGCTGTTAGATAACCCGTTGCTCCCTTCCTGATCTAGCTTGAAAAATATCTCGATAGACTCCTCGCACTCGACATCTTGAATCTGCAGCCATGATTCGCTCACCTACCGATCGGGATGAACTACACCGTCACGTATCCATCAGTACGCTTCCAAGGTTAGCTCGAGCGGGTACATTCGAGATCGAAATACATTATTTCATGAAGCACCTCCGCTATCGAGCCCGGAAACTTGGGAAACTCTGCAAAAGGCTCGCTAGGGTTATCGGTAGAATCCTGAAATATCTCGCGTTCGCTCTATACCTTCCTTGTGTATGCTTCTTCATCCTTGCAGACGAATTCGGAATGTCTACGACACAAAAATCTACAGAAGAGCCTTTAGACGAAATTGTATATTTTCCACATCCGGAATCCTCTAGCGACGTCAATTTCAATGTGGTGATCATAGAGACACGGGAGGTTGAAGGCTGAATGGCGAAGCTTAAACCCTGAAGGAAACAGTCGGCTATCTTGAGCTTCAAGACAATGATATTCTCGCTCTAAGGGGCCTAACTAGGACCCAAATGAGGACTGGTACCGAGATTGATAAAGTTAGATATCGAAGATATATGTTTTATTTCGAGGGGTTAGGTACATTGTAAAGAGAGAATAAAGGTTTTAGATAATTACACTAGATCTACAATAAATCTAGCGTATATAATAGATGATAATGCTACTTACTTAATATTAATGTAGGTTAGCAGTGATTTGAAAAAGGCTTAAATTACTTCAATATTTTTATAAAAGCTCCAAGACAGTTCTCGTCGTGAAATAGCTCGTAGACTCGAATCATAGGTACTTGCAATCTATCCAATCTATAGCTTTCTGGTCCTTTAGATATTTATTAATTCTTACTAGCTAAGTTCCGTGTAATATTATTCATGAATGAAGGGGTAAATGAGTGATGAAAGGGGCTTCTTTCAAAACTGAACTATATAATAAACATCCGTTGATATAGATATTGCTATATGTAGAGGTTATGACAACAAGGGACGCGAGATTAGTTGCGCTCAAGTATATGCTGTTACGATCTTAATCTTATGGAGAAGAAACGATGTGCTAGAGCCTACGATATAGACACCGATAACTATTTCTCCAACTAAGCTTTGAAATTATTTGTAGTTGATCCGACTTTTCTTTCTTCATGTTCGATAATATCTGGTGGGATGGCTCAATCTGCTTTTCATCAAGCTCTAAGCAAGGTGGTACCAATAAGAACTGGTTAATATGTACAAGAATACCGCCAAACGAATAAAATATGTCTCCTTTTCAAAATGTCCCCCATGACCCCTATTTACTTCCAATGCTGAATAAACAATGTTAACCGCCTTCCCTGTCTCGACTCATATTTTTATATTTTCCACGTAACCCATCTCATCATCCAATGCTTACAGTTTCGAGAACGAAGTCGGCACGCTCCCGCCCATCTCGACCAACGTGCTCTTATTCCTAACCCACGCCTCGAGCCCTCTCTTCCCGTTTTCTACTCCGACACCGCTTAGCTTCCAGCCGCCGACTGCCATCTCGGCGGGACTCTCGCCCCATGTATTTACCCAGGTAATGCCGGCCTCGAGTTTCGAGATAACACTGTGGCATAGGTCGATATCGCGACCCACCACGCCGGCGGCAAGTCCCAGATCTGTCGCGTTGGCGCGCTGGACCGCCTCATCGACTGTGTCGTACGCTAGGATTGTCATCACAGGTCCGAAGATCTCTTCCTTCACGATGGTCATCTCATCAGTGCAGTCCGTAAATACTGTCGGTTGGACCCAGTAGCCCTCTTTTAATTCGGGAGGTATGTTGGCTGGCTGCTCTAACCCGCCGCTCAGTAACGTCGCCTTATCTTGCTCGATGCCCTGGCGTATGTACCGAATCACTTTGTCGTAATGGATCTTGCTACTAAGAGGCCCGAAGTTGGTTGTCGGATTGAAAAGGTCGCCCGCTCGGACGAATTTTATCTTCTCGAGCAAGGTGCGCTCAAATGACTTTTTTATCGAATTTGGGACAAATACCCGCGTGCCGTTTGTACAGACTTGGCCGGTACTGAAAAAATTTGCCATCATAGCTACGTCTACGGCTTGGTCCACCGCCGCGTCTGGGAGGATAACTAACGGGCTCTTGCCACCCAGCTCCATAGTCACGTACTTCATTCCCCCGGCAGCAGCGCCGGCTACCTTCATCCCGGTGCTGACCTGTCCAGTGAAACTGACCTTCGCGATGGCCGGGTGTCTCGTTAGATAGGATCCGACGTCGCCGCTGCCGTATACGACGTTGAAGACGCCGTCCGGAAGACCAGCCTTGCGGTAGAGATCAGCTAGGTATTCGGCGTGTAGTGGCGTGTACTCGCTCGGTTTGTAAACCATGCAATTTCCGGCAGCCAAACAAGGCGCGGACTTCCAGAGGGCGATTTGGATTGGGTAGTTCCAGGCCCCGATGCCGGCGCAAACGCCTAGAGGTTCTTTAGACGTGTATACCATAGCCGACGGCCGAAGGCGAAAGGATTCGCCATTTAATCCACCGCTGGCTACTAAGTTTGCATAATATTCGAGAACGTCCGCCCCCGTGGTGATATCCACTGTTGAAGTTTCCGAGAAAGGCTTCCCGGTGTCGATGGTTTCGACACGCGCGAGAGCATCGTTGTACTCACGCAGGAGAGCGACGGCTTGCTGTAGAATACGTGCTCTTTCTACAGCGGGAGTGCGAGACCAGGAGGGAAATGCTTCTTGGGCCGATTGGATTGCGGCATCGACAGATTTTGGCGAGGAGCTATGTATCTTGCAGACGGCCTTCCCGGTTGATGGGTCGACAGATTCAAAACTGCCCGAGGATGGTGCTAAAGGCCGCGGGTGTCCCGCGTAAAATGCGTATCGGTCTAAATCTCTGAACTCCATGATATATATAGCTACGCTACTGATTTGATAAGAAACAGTAGTGAAGTTGTAATCGCGGTTGAATCTCTAGGTAGTTAGTAGGTCGTCTTCTCTCCTACGAGTAAAATGTGAGGCTTGATATGAGTGGCTGGTGGTGATTGAGGGCTTGATTGAGGCCCGAGGGTAGGGTGTGTTCCTATCTTCAGTATCTTGAATATGAACAGGGAGCCCCTTGATACAATATATTGCTAGAATGAACTAAAGTGAATTCGGTGCGTAGATACGAAGCTATCGGTGTAACTCGGACTTGAAACACGAACTTCGGACGTGGATATTTATTGGGTCGGCTCCGGGTAAAATTCACGTCATCAAGTGGAGATGTCAAACGCGGTGTTGGCGGTATTGGTAGTATGTATTGGCAATATATGGCTCCCGAACGAGCCCCGCCAGTTTGTTCGAAGCTGACGCCTCGTGACGGTAGAAGGTTTATTAGTTATAGATAGCCTCCACTCGTTGAATCCCAAGTCTCAGCTGGACCTCATCTGTTTTCGTATCTAGCGTAGATTGCGCCTTTGATAGACTCGAGATAAGAATCGAGCAGTGGCAAGTATGTAAACGTTGGAGCGCGGGTAGGTTAACTTCTTAAGATATGTAAGTTGGTCATTAGCCAAGTGAAGTTGGTGGGCTGGCTGGGCTAAGAGGTTTATCTTTACCCAACTTAGGATAGCCCAAACCACCAGATCGACCTTGTTCTGCTTGTTCCGGTTTGTGCTCCCCACAGCGTATGTGTTCTTTGCCCGGCAGCCCGGCCACGATTCGGCGAGTCAGGTAAGTCAGGCCATCCAGTGCATTCACCGCTCTGCACATAAGATTTTTGCTGCACGTATAACAACTCATGTAACCGTGGACCGGCAATACTAGTGGGGTCGATTGTGAAGGATCAAGCTTGTCAAGGGTCCTTATCTCGAAATTTGTACAGCGCTTGACCGAGTCCCGAACCGCCTTGGCAACTTTGTTATGGAATTCGCCGAGGGGTTTGAAAGATTAATAGACCCTGACTGCCACATGGCAAAGTGCTGTCTCGCTGGCTTGTAACATCACAGGATCTGCAGCTAAATATACGTGTTTAGCTAATCTCCAGTTGTTCCAAGTCGTTCCAAGTAGAAAGAAACGTCCACAAGGGAAAAAACCACAAGAAAAAAAAATCTCCCCCAAACCAAGATGACCACTACGCAGCTCCCAATATCAGATTCCGACAAGTATGATTATGTAGTTGTTGGTGGGGGTACCGCGGGCTGCGTCGTTGCGGCGAGGCTGGCAGAGTATCTACCACACAAAAACATCCTTCTCATTGAGGCTGGCCCTAGTGATTTTATGGATGATCGCGTGCTCGACCTTAAGCAATGGTTAAAGCTGCTGGGTGGTGAGCTCGACTATGATTACGGCACTACCGAGCAGCCTATGGGTAAGTTCTTGTACTCTAAATTAAACTTGTCCCTTATCTTACCGTAACCTATAGGCAATTCTTATATTAGACATTCGCGAGCCAAGGTTCTGGGAGGCTGCTCTTCGCATAATACCTTGATCTCTTTCAGACCGTTTCAGTATGACTTGGATATCTGGCAGTCATTGGGAGCACGGGGCTGGACTTTTCCCATGTTCATGAAAGCGTTGGACAGACTGAAGAATACTATTCAGCCAGTTCATGCAAGACATCGCAACCAATTGTGTCAGGATTGGGTTGATTCGTGCAGCTCTGCCCTGGATATTCCCGTCATTGATGACTTCAATAAGCAAATTTCGCAAACTGGTTCCCTAAAACCTAGCGTTGGATTCTTTTCAGTGAGCTACAATCCAGACGACGGAAGACGATCCAGCGCTTCCGTCGCGTATATCCATCCCATCCTGAGGGGTGAAGAGAAGCGGCCAAACCTGACGATCCTGACGCATGCGTGGGTGTCGAAAATCAACGTTAGCGGAGATGCTGTTAGTGGAGTAGCTCTGACGTTGAAAGATGGCTCGTCGCGTACTATCAAGGCGAAGGCCGAGACGATATTGAGCGCAGGGGCTGTAGATACCCCTCGCCTTATGTTGTTATCAGGTCTTGGGCCTAAGAAGCAACTGTCAGATCTTAATATCCCCGTCGTCCGCGATATTCCGGGCGTCGGTGAGAACCTTCAGGATCACCCGGAAAGTATTATCATGTGGGAGCTGAAGAAGCCTGTACCGCAAAACCAGACAACGATGGATTCCGACGCGGGAATCTTCTTGCGTCGCGAAACACCTGGCGCCGGAGCTAAGAAGTCAGCTGCCAATCCACAGGGTCTTTCTGATGGAGATATTGCGGATGTCATGATGCATTGCTACCAGATCCCATTCACGCTCAATACCCTCCGATTAGGATATCCCGATATCCTAGACGGCTATGCTTTCTGCATGACGCCGAATATCCCGCGGCCGCGCTCCCGAGGTCGACTATATCTTACATCTGCGGATCCCAAGGTTAAACCGTCGCTTGATTTCCGATATTTCACAGACCCGGAAGGCTACGATGCGGCTACTTTGGTATACGGCATGCGAGCGGCACGCAAGGTAGCAGAGCAAGCACCGTTTAAAGACTGGATCAAGAAGGAGATTGCACCTGGACCGAAGGTTCAGTCAGATGAGGATCTTAGCCACTACGCGCGCAAAGCAGCGCACACGGTTTACCACCCATGCGGAACAACCAGGATGGGCGACACAACGAAAGATGAGATGGCTGTTGTTAACGAGAAGCTAAAGGTCAAAGGACTGAAGAAGCTGCGCATTGTCGATGCTGGAATATTCCCGACTATCCCTACTATCAATCCTATGTTGACGGTACTGGGTGTTGCTGAGAGGGCTGCTGAACTGATTGCCGAAGAAGCTGAATCCGAAAAGGAGAGGGCAAGGCTATGATCGGGTGTAAATGTTGGTTCATATAAGACGTAATTCCAGGGTTAAAAAGACCGTTGTAAGAAAATATATCCCCAATTTAGTTAATACCTTAGGTACCTAATTTGAAGGTTGAGAGAAGAAGTTCAATGCTCTTAATAATTTCCACGATCTCCCGAAATTTGATTTGACATGATGGTTCCATACAGCGATGATGGTTACAGGTACTTACATAGGCACAACCACCCCCTGTATTTCTTCTATTGGACTAGGTTAAGCCTCTGTGGCTGAAAGGCGGTCAAGACCTAGATAACGGAGCCAGTGGACCAAAACGCGCTAAACGTACGGAAGAGTCTAGGCAGAATCCCCGCCAAGTCCAATTTTTTCTTCCAAGATTTACAAGTTACAAGGTGCATCAAGTCCAACATTGAAGTTTAGATTTCTATTATAAGTCATCGGTAATTGAAAATCGCAATGCCTGCGGTTCGTGCTGGGAATCGTGCGCCACAAAAGCAGCAGTCACACAAAGAAAATACAAAGTCGTTAAAGAGGAAACGGGATCAGGAAGATGTCCAAAAACTACAAAATGCCGTAGACGAGCTTGTAAGTGATACTCTTCTTGAAATGTCGTTTCGAAGAATAGAGCTGACAGAATCTTTTTCTTCTTTCCTTTTCAGGACCTAAAGTCTGACGATACATCCAAGTTCTCAACGTTGCCACTTTCAAAACCAACTGCTTCTGGCCTCGAAGCGTCGCATTTCCAAAACTTAACCGATGTCCAGGCCCGAGCGATTCCCCTTGGCTTAAAGGGTCGCGATATTCTCGGCGCCGCGAAGACCGGTTCCGGAAAGACCCTTGCTTTCCTAGTTCCCGTCCTCGAGAAGCTTTACCGCGCGCAATGGACCGAGTACGACGGACTAGGAGCTCTGATTATCTCCCCTACGCGCGAGCTTGCCGTACAGATTTTTGAGGTGCTGCGCAAGATTGGAAGATACCATACCTTCTCCGCCGGTTTGGTCATCGGAGGCAAAAGTCTACGCGAAGAAGCTGAAAGGTTGGGGAGGATGAACATTCTAGTTTGTACCCCAGGCCGTATGTTACAACATCTAGATCAGACGGCCGGATTCGATGTCGACAATCTACAGATACTAGTCTTGGATGAGGCTGATCGAATAATGGATATGGGATTCCAATCTGCTGTGGATGCACTTGTAGAGCATCTTCCCAAATCGCGGCAGACGATGTTGTTCAGCGCTACGCAAAGCAAGAAGGTCTCGGATTTGGCAAGGCTAAGCTTAAAGGATCCCGAATACGTAGCTGTCCACGAAGCTGCCGCTGCCGCGACCCCTACGACGCTAACACAACACTACCTTATCACGCCCGTAGCAGAAAAGATGGAAACTCTATATGGCTTTATAAAAGCTAACCTCAAGAGTAAGATGATTGTATTCCTGTCGTCGGGAAAGCAAGTTCGTTTCGTATATGAGAGTTTTCGCCATCTACAACCTGGTATCCCGCTACTACATTTACATGGCAGGCAGAAGCAGGTGGCGCGGCTGGAGATTACGTCGAGATTTTCCGCGGCTAAATATTCCTGCCTTTTTGCTACGGATGTGGTCGCGCGTGGTGTGGACTTCCCTGCGGTTGACTGGGTAGTACAGATGGACTGTCCTGAAGATACTGACACCTACATTCATCGAGTTGGGCGGACTGCGCGTTACGAAAGAGATGGAAAGGCAGTACTATTTCTGGACCCGAGCGAGGAGAAAGGCATGCTCAAGCGATTAGAGCAGAGGAAAGTACCCATACAGAAAGTTAATGTACGGGATAAGAAGAAGCAGAGCATCAAGAACCAGATTCAGGATATGTGTTTCAAGAATCCGGATCTAAAGTACCTTGGGCAAAAAGCCTTTATCAGTTACACCCGTTCTGTTCACTTACAGAGAGACAAGGAAATCTTCAACCTGAAAAAACTAGATTTAGATGCGTATGCTGCTAGCTTGGGATTGCCTGGTGCGCCGCAAATCAGATTCCAGAAGGGTGAAGATGTGAAGAAGTTGAAGAATGCGCCTCGTGCTGGGTTGTCTAGCGACTCGGAGTCCGAATTCGACGAAGAAAGGAAAAAGCGAAAGAAGGGCGAAATCCGGACGAAGTACGACCGCATGTTTGAGAGGACGAACCAAGACGTATTAACAAGTCACTACAACAAAATGATTGGCGACGAGGGGCGAGGGGCGAGCGATGACAATGACGACGATCAAGACTTCCTTTCCGTAAAGCGAGTACTAGAAGGAAACGACTTGGATGAGGCCGAGGAGGGCAATGGACTGGCTCCCGGAAAGAAGATTATCACAGGTCTTGGCGGCGAAGAGCCATTCGTGGTGGATTCTAAGCGCAGGGAAAAGATGCTCAAGTCTAAGAAAAAGATGCTCAAATTCAAGGGCAAGGGAGATAAGGTGGTATTCGACGATGAGGGGGTGGCGCATCATCCGTACAGAATCAAGGGCGAAGAAGACTTTATACAAGACGGATCCGCAGAGGCTCAGCGACAGAAATTCGTGGAGAATGAAGCGGTTAAGGTCAAGGAAGCGGATATTAGCGATAAGCAGCTCGCTAAGGACAGGCGGCGGGAGAAGAAAGAGAAACGGAAAGCTCGGGAGGCAATGGAAAATGATGAGGCGATGGGTAGCATGCCCAGACTCTCGGGTGGCAACGACGGGGAAGATCCCCTCGCTCTCATGGCATCTCTACCGATGGTAGGAAAAGGGGAAGAGGAAAGGAGTGGTAGCGAAACGTCCGAAGAGAAGCGTCCGAAGAAGAAAGCGAAGAAGTGGTTCCAAGACGACTCAGAAGACGAGAGACAGAAGGCTAAGAGTAGAAAGGGCAAAGGAAAAGTTATCGAAGTTGGCGAAGCACCAGATACCCTGGAGGATTACGAGGCGTTGGCTGCAGGACTGCTCGAAGATTGAAGAGTTTGAAGGCTCGATTGATGTACCTATTAATGTATTTAGGTATAATTTAAATAGGACGATGCGATTGCAATTCCACGAAGTTGTTTGGGTTAGAGTAACTGCTTCTAGCGGTTTCAAAGGTTCTAAGGGTATCACAAGCTAAACTTGACCAGCGCAGTCATACATGTAATACATGTATGTAGCAGGAGGTGATTATCGATAAGCTCATAAAGCAGGTACCTAGGTAACACATGGATGTGGACATTTATACCATGCCGTAATGTAATCGGTACCAACCTTAGGTACCTAGGTACATACCTCCTTTTAGGTATATACTACCCCGCGACCCCTCCATGCCCCTTCTCACCTTCCCACCTACAAAAAGGAGGGGACCTTTAGCTGCCTTGACCCATAAAATTGTCAAGTCGTCTTACTGTAAGGAACGTCGCATTCAATCATCAACTCTCAACCCCCAGCTCTCGTCAGCCGCGACAACGAGGTCCCACCTTTAGTCTACCCTTACTCATATAATTTCGTCAGACCATAAGTTCTTTGCGTCCCCGTCGTCTCGGTCCGATATGAGAAAGACGACCTTTTCCTAAGGCTCCTAAGGCGTAGCATGGCAAGCGACATTCCATGAACAATAATCCTCCCGCCGTTCTCAGCCTCGAGGACATATAACTCTACCAACTGTCAAATTAGAGAGAATAGAATAGTAGATAACCGGAATATACTGAGACGGATATGGCGACGCTTGAGAACGGGTCGGCTCCGTCCCATCCCCGTACGAACGGCACGACGTCCAACGAGCTCGAGGTTCTATGTCACAGGTTCAAGGCTAAGGTGGACAGCTTTCTCGATACACCCACAGAGGATAATATCCTCAATTCCGTGAAGAACCAAATAATTATCGCAAGAGGTGTTATAGACGAAGCGTTACGGCGATATAGGTGCACAATCCCCCTTTTAATATTCTTTCTTTTCCTTTCTCTTCCAATTTCCCCGAGCTAACCGCAATGCGATAGACCCGAAGAGTTATCTATATCTTATAATGGCGGGAAAGACTGCCTCGTCCTATTAATACTAATTCTCGCCTCACTCCCCGCATCCATTTCATTACAGCCATCCTCGTCACAGTCCTCGGCAGCCGCCCAACCCGAATCTTCCTCGCCTCTGCCGTTCCCGCACCGACTACAAGCCCTTTATATTCGGCCGCCTCTCCCCTTTGCTGAGGTAGATGAATTCGTCACGACGACCTCGTCAGTTTACCACCTCGATCTCACCACGTCGAACCAGCCCATGAAGCCTGCCTTGACTGAATACCTGCGCGACCGCCCCGAGGTCAAAGCCGTGTTTGTCGGAACGAGGAGGACTGATCCACACGGCGCAGCCCTGACTTTCTTCGATGAGACAGATGACGATTGGCCTCGCTTCATGCGCGTACACCCCGTCATCGACTGGCATTATCGCGAGGTTTGGGGTGTAAGTTCTTCCCTTTGTTGTTTATTAGTTCTTCCTTCCATTCGGCAGTTTCCTTGGCTAGGATTTAAACCGGAATAATATAGTACACTAGTTAGCTTATGGACAAATACTAAAATGAGGGATTAGTTTATACGAGCTCTAGACATTCCATACTGCCCACTTTACGATATGGGATACACATCGCTAGGCGGCATAGACGATACGCACCCAAATCCGGCGCTAAAGGAGGGCGGGAAAGGGTCTAGCAGCAAAGTAGACGGGCAACACTTTCGACCGGCGTATGAGTTAACGGAAGATAGAGAAGAGAGGCTAGGTAGAGATCGATAGTGTTATCATGTTCTTATAAGGAGAATAAGTAGGTAAGCAAACATCGGGATGGCTGTCTCTTTTATGGTTTACAATTTAAAATAGCGGATAGCTCGCACGAAATCCTAGTGATGATAAACACGATTCGGTGGACTAAGGGCAGCATCTTTGGTATTATACACAGGCCTATGTCTATACATATGTACTCTTACACGGAGACAGGAAAGTTCGAAGATCCGAGCTGCTCGGACGGGTTGGTTAGATAAAGGGAGGATTGGTTACTCACCTACTTATTTGGTTTCCTCCTTATAGATATTTATCTCCGCTTACTTTCTCTAGAGTTACTGGGAGAAGCAATAGATAGGCAGATGCGCTCATTATGAGATTTGGTTGATTTAAACGTAATAGACGACTCTTATGTGTTATGGATCTAGTAGGTGTAGGGAATAGAGAGGCTTGTTAGTTACGGGTGATACAAGACGGGCTGCTGATTATATATGAGGGGTTGATCGGGACAGAATGAGAAATGATGTCCAACCTTAAAGGATCTTATGTAGCGGAATTAATATTCAAAGGCTTACTGTTAACCCCCCCTTCCGTCATAAATAACATGCTGTACTTGAAAACAGCCGCCGCCTTCAAGGGCGAAGTCATTCAAAGCAATCATGTGGATTTAAATAGATCAAGACAGCTACCTGTTTATAGTATTTGCTTAACCAGAGTATCAAAGTGCGTATGCACATCTCCATGATCGACGAGAGAAAACATCAAGGGAAAAAATAAAAGCTAAAATTGAGCAAAAGATTATCTACCTATTTACAGCTTGGTATCATCACATCAATCCCTCTGACCATCGTCAGCCCTTCTTCCCTGCCGTTCATGCGAAATACCAAGAATCGATACCAAAACTCCGTAAGCTTTCTTGTTGGGTCGTTGGTTAGATGAACTAACTTAACCCGTCTATTGTGACGGCGTGTCCGCCTTGTTCAGTTTCGCCTATGCGATCTCATCTCGTGATTGTGTTGCTGTTGCTGCCTCCTTTCCCCACGGGATGACTCCAAATTAAGTACCTAGGCACGTATCGAACGCCTTATTCTTGACGGCCCACCCCCCACGTCGCTTTTACGACCTCGCCATATAGTCTGAGGCGGTAGAAGCACGTATGGTCCGCGCCGTAGTTCGTTACCGCCTTGATGATGATGTGGCTGGTAGCGGCACGCATGCGCGTAAGCTCGCTGCTCATCTTAAAGATCTGAACGCCATCGCCGTAGTCCCTGTGTTCGTACGTGAAGTGGCCAATCTTGACAAAACCCTCCGGTCCCGTGGTAGCCTCGGTTGCGAGTGGGATGGGCATTTGACTCGCCGAGAAGGCGCGTACCTCGTCACGCAGCGTCACCTCTTCGATATACGCCCACACCTCGATATCCTTGGGCATCGCGCCCGGGTCTAGTGTTGAGCCGGGCAGGATATGCTCTACAACTAGGTGCTGTGGGATGATGGTGCGGCTTGTCATAACCCCAATCGCGTTGGCGATTTGCGGTACCCCCCTGACGGTCTTCCCGGCGCAGAAGCATTCGCCTTCTTCGCTCCAGGAGGTTACGGCAGACGATAGGGGCTGGGGCATGTAGCCGTCACGTTTGTACCACTTCTTAGTTCTTGACGAGTAGTCGCTGGGGGGTTCCCAGGGTGACGAGCTAGAATTCGGATCGATGACTGCGCCGGAGCCCATGCCGAAGAAGTTGACCTGGTTTATGAGCATATCATTCGCGTGGCCGCGTATACGGCCGCTGGCCAGGGCGTCGAGTTTAGCGTTCTCGATAGCTTTCCGTATTGCCCCATCGCAGATGGTTTTGACTTCCTTTTCGGTCAAACCTCCATGTGTATTCTTAGCAGAATTACGGAGCTTGGTCACGGTATCCACGAGCTCTTTGATCCGAGCATCCTGAGCTACGAGCTCCTTGCGGATTTCTTGCTGGTAAGATTTAATTTCGCCTCGGAATAGTTTTATGAACTCTTCCCTAGAGACGGCAACCCCACCCACCATTCTCTTCAATTCTTCCCGATTTTGACTCACCCAGTGGTCCCAGGACCGCAGGAACGATGCTTTATCAACTGGTGCTGCATGCTCTCCCGAGGAAGTGTTTGACCCAGTTTGTAACCCGAACCCGTCCTTGCTTAAACGTGATTTTATCGCGAGCCAGTGCGCGTTCGAGATTTCCGGGGCCGCCTTTTTGACATTTTCTAAAGTCAGAATGATATCATCTTCCCTAATCAAGTCTCGTAGAGCGTGCCAGAAATCTTGTGATATCTTAAACTTGCCCTTTCCGTCCTTCTCGACGAAAACTTGATCAGGGATTTTTGGTGTGAGGTTATTGACGAGTTTTGTTTGCGTATCCCCCGACTCGATATCAATATTATTTCCACCCCCACTGATCCTTGAAGGTATAATCTTACCAAGGTTATTCTTCATACTATCCCAACTAGGCCATCGTGCGCCGGTGTCAGAAAAGACATCATCTCGTGATGATGTAGAGGCTCCGCCAATAAGAGTTAATAGAAGCCAGGCCCAGAATAAAATGGTTAGAAATACGAAGACCGTGCTCACCCAGGCATTCGGGCCTCCAAGTGCCGTCCAGTTAAACAATGAGCGACGCTTCCGAGCGTAATTTCGTTCTGTACGACGCCTTCTAGGTCGATTTAAATCTGATTTGATAGGAGGAAAAAAATCCGAGCCTGAGTCGCTGGATGAATCATCCACGGCATCGTTGGTAAAAAATTGATTATCCCCGTCATTAACACGTCCGTCCTCGGCTACATCTTCATATTCACCAGCATTATTGGACTCGTTACCGAGAGGATTCAGGTCTTCCATCTCCTGGACCGGACGAGAACTCTCCTCGGAAATTTGACCACTATTAGTATTTATGTCAGTGTTTGTGACTGTGTTGTTATCAGCCGCATTGGAGGAATTTCCGTCGGGAATACTATTAACGGCAGGTTCATCGTGGATATTGTTTCTAACGTTGGAGTTGACTGAATGGTTATATTTGGCAACGTAATCTTTCCTCGACGCTTTTGCTTGCTGATCATGCTCGGCGCGCTTAGTAACTCTGTCAAACTCGGCCATGATTTTTGCCGTCGTCGCCTGATCGTTACCCATGTCCTGTATTAAGGCCCTTATCGCCCGGATTTCTCGCGGCGTCAGATGGTCTAATGTGTAAGCAGGAGCGGAAGCCGCGTCGAAATGTGGGTGCCGTGGCGACGTTCGCATGTCTCGGATGAGACTTTCCACCCTCTGCCATTGAGCTGGGGTCAAACCTGGCTCGTTAGGAGTTTCTTCAGGCCCTAAGGATGTAGGCTCATTGTTGTTAGCGGGAGGAGAGACGAAGGTCGTGAGATTGTTCCCATTCGGAATCTCTGTGTACCCCGTATTCTGGGCCGTAGAGTTGTCGCCCTCGCGAGAAATAGGCTTAGTTTCGTTTACCGAAAGTCCAGGCGCAGGTGCCTGGTCGACTCTGCTTAAGGGTGTCGTGAGCGTTGCGTCACTATACAATACATTCTCGGTAGTGAAGCTCCTTGACGAGTCAAGACGTATAGGAGCGCGTGCAGGAGCAACAAATGATGTAGAGGGAAAGGGGGCACCTCGCCCTGTTGGAACTCCGTAGAAAGAGCCTTCAGATGGAGACGGCGCCGATGTATGTGCATTGTGGATAAGAATTTCAGGATCAGGGGATCTATACTGAATAGGAGCATACGGTGGTTTCTGCTTGTCTTTCCCCTTGGCCGTGAACATCCGGCCCAGCTTAGTAACACCAGGACCCTTGTAGTCGTCGACACGTTGGGTGCGTGGTTTCCACCCGTGCTTTGGATCGTATTGGTATTTGTTGTATTGGTTTCCAATTTCGCCTTGATGATTGCCATCTCCTTCGTTCGGAAGTTGGGGCTGGGTCTGGGATTCATATCGAGCAGACTGCTGGACGCTCGGTTGAGTATTCGGTTGATAGGAATCATCCACAAGAGCCATACTTGACCTCAGCTCCGGTTCTTCAATATTCGTTCCCTCGTCGACTCCGTTGTCTTTTTCGGCTTCCTCGACGGTCTCCCCGACAATTCTTTTGAGATCATTCTCCATAGTAAAACGCTTACCGTCTTTACTATTCATTCGTCTGGTAAAGCGCTTATCTTCCTCATCCTCATTAACGAATCCAGGTTTGGCCTTTCTACCTCGACCCCTCTTCGCAGAGTCGAGGTTTATATGCGTATTGACGCCATACGATCCATCATGAACTGGATATAGACTAGGAAGATCTGCTGGTGGCGGTTCAGAATAGAACTTTTGGCGCGCAGTGTTAGGGGTGCTACTTGTGCCGGTAGCACGACTTCTCGCACGAGTGCTACGTCCAGACATGATAAATTAAACCGGAATGATCCCGGCGAGAATGCTAAGAAGGACCAGATTAGCAGAGTATAAGAAGGAAATAATGCGTGATACTTTATGTGTGAAGGAGTCAACGCGGCGAGTTCGAATGGGACGATGTGAAATATAACATGATTCACCACCTCGGCCCTCCTCATATAAGAAATGATAAGAACTCACAAGGTAGGATGAAAAATTGCGCTGCTAGAACGTACCTAAGCTCTCACCCCTACCCCGGAATTCAAAATATAGGTTAAGTCACTTCACAGATCATACGCAACTAGCCTATCGCGGAGACGGTTGGTTGATCTGAGGGATCACGATGAAAGATGAAGGAGTAATGTGATGTTGATGAATCCTTTTTTTGATGGAGGTAGATGTAGATGAATGGATCTGGATCTGGTCATTCTCCCGTTGTCCTAGCCACCTTGCCTAATACCTAAGACCTCGCGCGATGATGTGAAGCTGAAAGCGTCCGGGCGCAAAAGTAGTACTATGCTTTGTTAAGGGCTACTAGAGTTACTAGAGCTACTACAGCGCACAAGGGCGGGAGTCTACCGGGTCCGGCGACACTCTGTAGGTGTAGTACTGGATGCATAAAGGTTGCGGGCCGGAGTTGTTAAGCTAGGAAGAGACTTGATATGAAGTTTCCGAAGACGGCTTTGAGTAGACGGCTTTGAGCATGAGGTGCACAATGCTTTTCTTTGCTCTTTGTGTAGTATCTCTATTGGTGTGACTAGAATCGTCAAAGAGACGATTGGAATGGACTTGGCGTATTGGTCAAAATGCCGACGACATAATTCATAACTAATCGTATCGTATATTTCAAGATTGGGAATAGATTAGGAAGGGGATTGGGGTATCAGAATTCCAACATGCATAGAATTCCAAGCTTGAAGTTATCCGGTCGCGTCGCGCCGCGCATATGGAACAACCTATTTAGGTAACAATTTAATAATCGGGTACAGCGAAAAAGTTGGGCTTGATAATTCACGGCGCCACACGTAAACGCTAAACGCGTAAGCCACATTTGTATAGGTATTACCTTAGGTACCACTTAGCATTCCCGGCCGGATGGAGCAAGTGGGGTGAATTAGGTACATTAGGGACCTACCTGTATTCCATACCTACATGTAGGTACATGTACCTACCTGTGTAGTTCAATCATTGATCCTTGGTTTTTCATCTGATCCAGAGTCCAGACGAACGGTTTGGATTTCCCTTTACATTAATCCTAATAGCGTTAGAATTTATTTTTGGATCCTATCTCCTATTAGATTAACTGTATACGCCTGTTGGTGATAAGCGTATCTCATATCTCATATTAATTACCCACATAGTAGCTCCTAGATCGTCGACGCATCGTCATTACAAAAAGCTTATGCGGTATCAGTAAATTACCAGTCACATTATCCATGTTAATGGCGACACAATGTATAGCGTTGATCTGACCTGTTTGTGTGATAACTTCTAACAGACTACCGACTAACTAATGGTTAATAACCCATGTCCTCCAATGTCTTCATACTGTGCAACTCTAACCCGGCTACAGCATCTTCTACAGTCCCAATACGGTTCATTTACTGTAAATACATCTATGGGAAGGAGGGGCAAACCGCAACCCCTCCAATTTCGTTCCGATTTTAAAATGGAGATGGCTGTTGACCGCCGCATCCCCAAAAGTCGCGACTCTATCGCATATCAATCGCACACCCTCTTCTCCCCCCCCTCTATAAACAGGTGCCCCTCTATAAGCCTCGATTTGTATTGTGGTTCGTATCCTCTATCCTTTTCATCCCATCAATTGGTCTATTCAACTTTTAAAGATGGCTGTAGGAACCGTTCTGATTACCGGGTAAGTGAAGTTTATTTTGAATCTATTCACATACCTCTTCGCCCTTTTCGCGCACCTCCTTTATAATTATTACATCTTAGAACAAAGACAAGCCGTCAATTAAGCTATATGCTCATGCTAATAAACATGCGCACACAGTGGCACTGGCTACATTGGATCCTTCACCACGCTTGCCCTGCTTGAGCATGGTTACGAGGTCATCATTGTAGACAACCTATACAATTCGTCCGAGGTTGCTCTCGACCGCATCGAGCTCATTTCCGGCAAGAGACCAACTTTCTACAAGGTTGACCTTACAGAGCAGGATGAGCTCGACAAAGTCTTCGCTGCTCATCCCCAAATCGACAGCGTCATTCACTTTGCCGCGCTCAAGGCAAGCTCGCCAACTCTCCATCGCCCATGCCATGCCGCTGACTTACGAACCAGGCTGTCGGCGAATCTGCCGAGATCCCTCTCGAGTATTACCGCGTAAACGTTGGTGGTACTATCTCCCTCTTAGGTTCCATGAAGAAGCATGATGTTACCAACATAGTGTTTTCCTCCTCAGCAACGGTCTACGGTGACGCGACTCGTTTCGAGAACATGATTCCCATCCCCGAGCACTGCCCTATTGGGCCTACAAATACTTACGGAAGAACTAAGGCCATTGTCGAGAACATAATCGAGGACTTTATCGGTGCGCAGCGCCAAAACTTGAAGAAGGCCGACAAGCCGTTTGAGCAATGGAATGGCGCCAACCTGCGGTACTTCAACCCGTGCGGTGCACACCCCACCGGTATTATGGGCGAGGATCCTCAAGGCGTACCATATAACCTACTGCCGTTGCTGGGCAAAGTTGCGACTGGTGATCGACCGAAAATTCTGGTCTTCGGAGATGGTAAGCTAGGTTTAGTCCCAAAACTTTGATGATATAGAAGACGCTAATAAAAATGTTACGTAGACTATCCATCCCGAGACGGAACTGCCATCCGCGACTACATCCACGTCGTCGATCTTGCAAGGGGTCATTTAGTTGCGTTAAACTATCTTCGTGAACACAAGCCCGGCGTCAAGGCATGGAACCTGGGTTCTGGCAGAGGTAGCACGGTTTTCGAGATCATCAAGGCATTCAGCAAGGTTGTCGGTCGCGACCTACCATATGAGGTAGTGCCACGAAGACAGGGTGATGTGCTAGATCTTACTGCCAACCCGACGCGGGCGAACGAGGAACTGCAGTGGAAGACAGAGCTCACCATGGAGAAGGCATGCGAGGATCTATGGAGATGGGTGTCGAACAACCCGAAGGGATACCGACAGGAGCCTCCAGCCGAGCTGCTAGCCGGCGTCAAGGGTAAGACCTCTTGATACGTGAGCAGATAATTACCCCGAGTCGCATTATTGGTGAGAGTTGATTAGCAACTTAACTTGACTGGGCAATGCAATTTGATCCTTGCGCGTTTACCAATAGAATAGACGAAAGCTCCGCCTTGATACCGAAACGCGAACCGCCTCCCGTTGACAGGTTAGGTGAATAATGTTAAAGAGTCGAGATAGTGATGGAAGTATAGGTACCTACGTTAGTATTCAGACGAAGATTTTACGAGCGTCGTGCTCGAGCTGAACCACAACCACTAGATGATGATAACATCAAGCTGTATCGAACATGAATCATGCACTCCCATTCAGTCAAGGGTAACCCAGCTGTTTCCCGATTTGTCATACGTGGTGAATTGTGCCTTGTCGTCTATGATATCCCTGCAGTTTCGTTTATCCAAGACTTCTACAACCCACGATATTCTGGTTACGTACCTCAACCCGATAAATAGAGTATGCACAGCCACTCTACGCTTCGAGCTGCCTACCCATCTACCAAGACGCTTGTCTAGAAAGACGGTGTCGAATCAGCTGTTGAATCAACGTACTTGTCGTACTCGCTACCACCATGAGGAGGGTGATCGGTTGGGCAACATGAGCATAGTACGCAGCAAACTGCAGATTGCTACTACATGTACTAATAATTGTGTTACTGCCTGGACGCGACGGCAGCCCACATACTGCAGGTCGGCAGGCCGGTAAGCGAATCAGAGACCGAGGGATGCGTGGCAGTTCACGACAGCGCGAGGTTAGACGAGGTTAAACGAGGTTACTATTAGACGAGGTTAGATGGAGAAATGACGGAAATGTTTTTTAATCGCAGATTGACCAAGGCAGTGCAGGGATGGCAGGAAATATTATGATGGACCTCGTCTTCACAGCCACTATCTGTGGCATCTAAATCTCTAAGGTATACAGGTAGGTACTGAATAGGTAGGTACTGAATGTACCTATAAGAACCTTACTTTAGCAGCTTAGCTCCACATGTTTCCCGCTCCGTAGAAGTTAGAACCACTCAAGACCCCTGGATGTGGCTTAAGCTCTTTCTCTCCTGGGCCCTGGCGTGTCTCATACTTTCGAGGCGTACTGAAATATCCCATGTCTTTTCTTCTCTTTTAACTACTCGTATCTTTTTATTCTTAGTTATTCGACATCGCATTCGTTCTTATTATCACTCGTTTGCCTCGTTCTAGGTAAACAGGTAATAATCAATTATCTACATTGATTGAAGCATAGAATTGTATTTCCGCCACCTAATTTCGTTATCCGTCACATCGTTGGCCACGATTTATCAACTGCCTTCATCCTTCTCCTTTAGTGCAGAATAGCTACCAAGAGGCTATGAGATAGATATCTTCTAAATAGATATCTTCTAAATTTACTGGGGTGCATTTGCATTCATGACTAAGCTCGTAGCTTAATTCAACATTGACATCCTCAGGGAGTAGTGTTCTCCTGTGTCTCCCTAAAAGAAGATCTCACTCGTTTAATGCTACGTGCCTAGTCTCGTCTATAGCATGGAGCGCACTTATATTCAGGAAAATAAGCAAACGCGACTCCAAGCGCTGGGCGAAGAATGGGGTATAACTAGTCGATCTCCCCCGTCACCCTTGCCGAGGCCTGATCAGCCGCCATCCTACCGGACAGATAACGATGAGTTTATAGCAGAAGAACTACTTAAGAGACAGCGCATCAGCGAATCCCAAGGTCACCAGCCAAAGGGGAGTATCTCGCGTGCCTTCACAACAAAAAAGAAGACGTGGGAATACCGGGAAATTTACAACACCCTCGTGGCTCATATTACCAACCAAGGATCACCAGGCGTTGCCGAATGCCTAATACTCAAGTTAAATCTAGCCGGAGGGAACCTCAACTTGGCGCAGAAGAGTCGAACTAGTTTATTAAGCAGAAGAAAGAGTCTCGATCTGGCCGAACGCAGCCAAGTGCTCCAAATAGCCGTCAAGAACGGCCATTATGAAATGATCGAGGTTCTTTTGCCCTACGCCGATGCTTTAAGCCTAGATACCGCATTGCCTACTGCGATTCGTGATGGAAACGCGGCGATTGTCGCACTTCTCATAAGATATGGCGCGAGTGTAGCTCAGACTGCTGACGGACAGGATGCATTTCGACAGGTATGCGCCATTGGAGGCCAGCCCGATCTAGTCGCGCTTATTCTGGGATCCGACGGACGGCCGTCATTATCATGGATATCACAATCCATGGTTGAGGCAGCGAGGGTTGGGTGCCTGGGTACAGTAATGCACCTCGGCCAGTCGACAGCAGACGGCAACCACGATAGTGCCGCGGCGTTGAAAGCTGCTGTAGCTCTCGGCCGGAGAGATATCGCCCTCGCTATTGTTCTCGGTAATAAGCCACCAGCTCAACCCGGCCTTAATGAGGCGTTTGATCAGCTCATGAGTCACCAAAACATCAACCCCAACGAAAAGATAGCCATGGCGGAGATTTTGTTGTGCGCCGGGGCGGAAGGTGATCTGGTATCGAAAGCTCTGGTGCAATCGTGCGCCACTTACTTCCTCGAAATGGTGCATCTCTTAGTCTCTTATGGTGCATCAATCGAATACCAGGATGCGATCGCTGTTCGCAAAGCTGTCTCAAAGGGAAAGGTCGACTTGGTAGAGGTTATGTTAAGTGGGAAATCCAAATTCAGCTCTCATTACGCGTCTGAGTGCGTAGAGCTTCTGCCAAAAAAGTTGAGATTTGAAGAACGTCACTCGCTCCTTAATCTGCTACTTCGCAAAGGTGCATCCGGAGCGCCCTTGGACGAGGCGCTAATTGACGCAGTAGAAGCCGGCGATGTCGAGGCGGTTAAAATACTTCTCACGCCGCTGTTTCCCGAAGGTAAAATCGTCGGGGCTAAAGATATTCGGAAAGGTCCGCGAAGCATGGTATTTGAGAGACATGAGACTGCGTCGACAGACCATAAAGGTGCCCTAGCGTTGCAGATCGCCGTGAAGAAAGGGGACGTAGCTATTGCGAACTTGATTCTTTCGAATAAGCCGCCCAACCCCGTTGCTCTCGCTCAGATCTTCCCTAGCGTGCGGAATCTACCCCCCCTTGGGCGGTATCAGATCTCGGAGTTATTCTTAAGAGCTGGACTTACTGGACCGTCGGTTCATTCGGCCCTCGAGAACGCCATCGACGAGCAGCCACCACACCGAGATGAGAAGCTCATCGCACTCTTCCTCCGCTATAATGCAGACGTAAATTTTAACGAAGGCCACACTATTACGGCAGCTATTTCACAGAAGGATGTCCGACTCTTAGAACGATTGCTCAAAAGCAAGCCCACAATCCAGGTAGCAGCCAGAGCGATTCCTAGGGCTATGGATGTCGATGAAGGCTCGATACGTTTTCAGATGATCAACATGCTCTTAACAGCCGGCGCATCACAGGGGGGACCTGAAGTATCAGCAGCTGTCGAGGCAGCTATACAGATTGATCCGCCAGATAAACGACTACTTAAAATATTGCTGCAGCAAGGGAATGCGGATGTCAATGTTAATGAAGGGGTAGCTGTAGAGCGTGCCGCGCTACATTCCGACTCGGAAATTCTAGGAATGATTCTATGTCTGGGGCAGCCCAATGCTAGTAGCCTAGAACGGGGTCTAAAGAGCATAGGAAATCTTCCAATGTCCACAGGGAAAACCGAAAAGCTAGATGTGATATTACGCCGAACGCAGTCGAAGGATACGGCCACCAGGCTACTCTTACAAGAAGTGTTGGCTATTTTGAAAGTACCTTCGCACGAACAAAATTTCTCTTCAATAAAAGTCCTACTAGCAAACGGTGCTGATATCAATGCTATGAATGCCGAAGCGTTGTGTCGAGCAGTAGCCGCGGCAAACATGCAATTGGTAGAGCTTTTGTTCACAGCCACTCCGACCCCTACTTCGATGGCATTTGCTATGCCTCACGCCCTTCGCATTCGTGAATTGATGGATAGACTGACGTTCGCGCAAAAAATCCTAGAAGGCGGTATACCGGCAACCGAAGTGAATAGAGCTCTCGTATTTGCCGTCAGTACTTATCCAGACGACATACCGCTCATCAATACTCTCTTAGCCCGTGCAGATACCCGAGACGGCCTAGCTTTGATCGAGGCTGTTAAGGGAGAAAAGCAGGACGTCGTAGAGCTGATTCTAGGCAAGAAGACTTTCCCCGTTGAGATTCTCAACACAAGTTTTGCCCAGGCAACGAGGGGCAAGAACAAAAGATCGAGAAGCATGTCGTCTATCAGTTTACTAAAAGCTGGCGCATCGGGAGAAGTAGTATCGGATGCGCTATTAGCAGCCGCTTCCGATGGCGACGTAGAGTTCGGTACCATCTTAGTACAGAATGGAGGCAGCGTAGAACATAAGGACGGTCAGGCCATCATAGAAGCTTGCAAGGCAGGGGCAGTCGAGGTCCTCGCAATGCTGCTAGCAGGCGAATCAAGAGTCGCCCAAAAAACGCTACAGAGAGGATTTCAAGCCGCTACGCAAGTAGGAGACTTAAAGAAGCGAGCAGAGATCTTCAAATTGCTCTTGCAAGTGGGAGTCTCTGGAGAAGTGGTCGATGCTCAACTCGTATCAGCTGGGAGGTATGGAGACGACGGGAAAGATCTCGTCAGACTTCTGCTGGTGTACGGAGCGAGTCCCGATTACAATGATGGAGAGGCTGTCGAAAAAGCAGCGAGGAGCGCCTTTTTGGGTAGCTTGGAGATGTTATTAGGCATTGTTGAGGTTGGTGGGCGTCAGAAACGACCATCTTCCCACACCTTGGTCCGCGCGATGGATGCTTGCTGGGATCTAAGCAGAGACACGAGATTTGCCATTATGAATTGGGTTCTCCAAGCAGGAAGGCCTGTTCCCAGCGCTCTCCATTCTTCTCTGAACCGTGCTGTCAATGAAGAAGATCCCGATGAAAGACTTATCGAGCTGCTTGTGAACTACCGTGCTTCTGCTACCGCAGATGGTTGCCAGACTTTAATTGACGCGACTACAACGCTATCTCCGTCAGCATTTTCCAAGCTCTTAGATACTAAAATCGCTGTCGAGGACACCTCCTTGGTGTTTAGTAAGGCATTTGCACCCGATCGCGTTTCGTCGTGGCTATCTGGTCGAGGCTACGAGATTGCCAAATGCCTGCTAGAGAAAGGTGCTGCCGGCGATGGAGTTGGATCAGCATTCGCCACAGTACTTGGGTTATACATCGAGACACATACGCAATTAGCAAACGACTTTGTGGATTTACTTCTCAAACACGGCGCCGACGTCAACTACAACCACGGAGAGGCGTTGCAGAATGCGGCTGCGCAAGGAGACCCCAATCTTCTTAAAAGACTCCTAAGCGAGAATCCCAACCCCCAAGCGCTAACGTTTGCGTTACCACGTGTATTCGACGCCTCTGCATCTGAAGATGACATATATGATCTTATCACGCTATTCGTCGAATACGGTGATGGACAAAGCCGGATGGACGTTGCGTTCATCCAAACTGGTTCGGAGCCCATCCTCGTCAAAGCTCTAAACCAGTTCCCACGATCTACGAAGATTCTCGGGGCATTATTAGATGCCGGGTTCTATCATGACCAATTGACGACGTGCAGAGTAATGCAGGAGATAGAGGAAGAAGAGGCTGTTACTCTGCTCATGTGGGCCCTTATTCAACCTCAGAAGAAAATCAGTAGCGGAGTTATCAACTTACTGATCGAAAGGGGTGCTAAAGTTAACTTTGAAGCGCCTATCTCTCGTGTTACTCCTCTCATGCTAGCTATACAATGCCGTCGGCAAGACATTGTGAAGTCTCTACTACTGGCAGATGCTGAAGTTGACGTGACAGATGCGACAGGGAAATCCCCCTTGTCTATGGCATCTTCTATCGGCGGTGACTTGGCTATCACCATAATGTCCAATTTGCTAGCGGCAGGGGCTTCGAGAAATGATGGTTCACTTCACAATGCAGCACGAGAGCTTAACCTGCAAGCCATGCAAGTATTGGTCGAATATAGACACGACCCCGACTTTCCGAGCCCTCTGCATGGTGGACGCAGTGCACTTGGCGAGCTATGCCTACACGCAGCTGACTTCAGCGAGATGACACCCCGCCGAGAGAAGGCGATGGAAAAGGCGATAAATTTCCTCCTCCAGAGCGAATCTGATATCACGCTACAATCTGATGGGAAATCCGTCCTCCTTTTAGCTCTCGAATCAACTGACCCCTTAACCACAACGAAAACTCTGCTGCGGGCCGACATGTGGAGATATATCAATAAACCATTCAACTACTTTAACGACGGCAAATTCACTTACTCTCCCACCATGTATGTTCAACGCGTGCTACCAGATTCGGATCACAAACCACAGCTCTTAGCACTACTAAGGGCGAATCGGGGGACTGATGTATACTATTCCAACTCCGGTCCGCAGCCTGACGATGCTATCGGCATGCCGACTAACATCCAGCTCGAAGAGCAAGAACGTAAGGCGCGGTTAACCCGTCTCCGAAAGGATAACGAGGACCACACGCTCGCGATTCAGCGGAACAGGGAGTTAGCGGCAGTGCAGGCGCAAATCTGGGCTAACCAGGCGGAGCTAGAGGAGGCGCGCAAGAGGCGGGCGCACAGCGCAGACCTATCAGCGATACAGGACCGCGCGCGTGTCGAAGAAGAGCTATTCAACAACGCAATGCGGCAGCAACGCGCACGCCACGTGGCCGAGGTCAAGCACCAAGAGGCACTAACACACGCCGGGTTAACACGCGCGCAGGCCCTCGCCGATGCGGAGCTTGCCGTTGAAGCGCAGAAGCAAAGCCGTATGCTCCAGTGGGAGCGTGACGTGGGCAGCGAGCGCGTTGGCAACGCAAACCAGCTAAGCAGCATAAGACTCCGGGAGAGGGAGGAATTAGAGCGCCTGGACCAGGTAGCAGACGCAAGACTCAAGAGTAGAATACAGGAGCAACGGAAATTGGTTGATAGCCAGAGTACATTAGCTGCGAATATAGCAGGCGCAGGACCCAGGGCGCAGAGACAGATTGGGTATGTGAGTGGTGAGTTAGATTAATTACTACCTAAGGTAACTAGTCAACCACATCTGTATATCCCACATATATCCGTGGAGTCGGACTCGGTCCTGTCGGTTTGGATTAATTAGCACGTAAATGGACACTGGCTACCGCTTTGAGGTGGTTGGAGCAAATCATACAGTTTTCGGCACCGACGGCGTAAGGGTTATTCGATCAGAAAGCTGAGTTTTTATATACTCGGCATATTTTGGAAGAGTTATTCTAGTAATAGTAGCTGAAGATAATGCTACGGGTGGAGTTTATGAGTTCCCAAGATGTTGGGAATTCCCGTTAAGCCTCGGACCTCCGACTAAGACCGAGTAGGATCCGACGCCATTGACTTTAAAACCTAACCGGGTAGCAACTTACAAAGCCGTTACGCACTCGGAGTATCAATACGCGAGCGTGTGACTCCGAAATCTTGCAAACGAGTCTAATATGTTGATATTATCTTCTATCTCCCCTTTACAGTTTTCCATCTTCGTTTAGCAAGATACCCTAACATATTTTCCTTTTCTTTCTTGTTCGGTCTCTACCTAAGTACCTAGATTACTTTCACACTTGGATTACAAAATAAAAAAATAGAAAGTCGATCATTCGGCATACGCGTGCAAATAAAGTACTACCACTAGAACATATTCTTTAGACGCCTTTCCTCAGCTTAAGTTCACCCGCCGCAATTAAGCTACCATGCTACTTCCAACATCCGCGCTGCTCCGCAGCATATTCCGGCATCGCCTAGAGCACCTACGCGTCGGACACCTATCACGCTCAGCGCCCCGCCGCTTCCAATCCAGTACTCCCGGTCCGAAGCCCGGCAACGGAGGTGAGACCGCGAAACCAAAACCGCCAACCGGGGATCCGATCCCGGTGGGTAGCACACCAGTTCCTCCCGTACCTCTGTGGCAGAGACTCGGCCCCCTAACACGCGCCGGTGAAGCCTATGGTCGTGCCCAGCGGAAAAGACCCTGGGCTACGCAGATCGTCTCCGCGCTCGTCATCTATCTAGTCGCCGATATTAGCGCGCAGCGCATAGGCGGCAAGGACTACGTGCCTGAACGTACTGCTAGGAATCTAGTTATTGGTGGCGTATCTGCTGTGCCGAACTTCCTCTGGTGAGTTCTATTCATTTTCCTTGTCCTCCCCTTTGAGTTAGTTATGAATCTAGAGCGTTATCCCCCCATGTCTTGAGGTATATATTGGACAGCAATACATATGCATAATAGGTACCTACCTATACATAATAAGGCAAAGACAAACATCAGAACTGATACGCTATCTAGGTTCGTCTGGCTTTCCCGACACTTCAACTACCCATCCCACATCCTCTCACTTGGCGTCAAGATTGTTGTCAATCAACTCGTCTTCACGCCCACTTTCAACAGCTACTTCTTCGGCGCTCAGGCGCTGCTAGCCGGGGACTCTCTTGCCGAGACCTGGGACCGAATTCGCCGCACTGTTCCCGTTAGTTGGGTCAACGCTTGGAAGCTGTGGCCTGCCGTTACTGCCTTTACCTTCACTTTCATCCCTATTGAGTACCGCAGCGTCGTTTCGGGCGTCGTTGCCGTCGGCTGGCAGACCTACCTGAGCTACCTGAACCGCCAAGCTGAGATCGAGGAGGAAATGGCTCATAGAAGGACCGTAGCTGCTTTGCCTGCTGTTGAGGCGACGTCCTTGCAGCTCAATACCCAGAAACCTCGAATAACTGCATGAATTCAAGTTTCGTTTCTTTGCGGATTTCCCAAAAAATACGGATTCGGGAACGAGATAGACTACCTAGACTTATGGTTGGCGTTGTAGCATGCACGGCCTAATATCAACAAGGGGGTCATTAGCATGTACGGAGGTGAAATGGCATTCATATTAATCGGTTAATAAAAGCTTCCTTAATACTAGCATATCTTCTCTCCGTCACTAGATCTGCTGTCAGGGCTAGGATTCCCAAGATTGGTTATAAACTGTTGTTTATGTTAAAAACTAAAGGGAGGACTAGGCTACTACAAACTCACGTTATAGATTCACCATAATTACATAGATGTGCATAATATATATCTCTTTAATTATACGAAGTAGGTGTCCTTCAAGAAACTTGGACAGGGGCTAGAATTTCTGGTGTATCTTCGATTCCAATATGTAAAACTAACATTAACCCTGACATAATATATATAATTCTTAGTCCAGATAATTTAAACGATAAGTAGGTACTTCTAAGATTTAATTTAATATTGATCGAGGATATCTCTTCTAAATGTGCTTATATACTAAAATGGATTTAATTATTTAAAATTTTTATATTCGTACCAACCTAACGGCGGCGCCTCTCTTGTGGTCGTTGGCGGTGGTGTAGTGGTTTTCCCTGTTCCCGGGCTTTCTCATCGTTTCCCTGGCGCCTAGATAATGCGGTGTCTGACTCGATATCATGATCTTCTCCATTTTCCTTAATAGTATTAGCATTCTCATCCTTATCCTCTGGTCCTCGCTGTCTCGTCCCTAATATCCTGCGCTGTTTTAGCTCAGGCGGCGTTTCCTTCAGTCCGAACTTTGTTATAGCCCAGGACCACCAGCCTCTCTCGGGCGGTAGCCATTGTCCGATATCCATAGTATAATGTTTTTGGTCCTCTGGTAAGTTAAACCAGACGAGCTCCCTAGTATTATGAATGCGCCCTTCTATGACAAAGTCTCCGATGTCATCCGGGATTTCGAGCGCCTCTGCAATAAGTATAGGCTGGTAGGCTGGGATGAGGAGATGTAGGCGCACTGGCCGGGGCGGTTTCCCGTGCTTTTGAGAACGCGCATTCTTCTTTTCTATATACCTTCGTGTTGCAAGCATAAAGACAAAGACCGTGTCGATCTGGTTCGTGTAGCCGCAGAACCGGGGATCAAGTGGATTGGATTCGATAAGATGAAAGAACTTGGGATACCAATCGTTGTCTGGGTGGAAGACATAGAACCAGTGTTCGACCTCGGGATCTTGAGAGGTCTGGGCCAACCGCTCGCGGATCATATAATAAACCAATTCGGGAAACTCTCTTTGAGCCATGAGGGCAGTTTGCGCTGCAAGGGTATCTGAGATGTCCTTGAGCCTAGTGGCGATGAGGTTGAGCGCCTGGACTCCCTGGTAGGTCAAGATGATATTAGACCCGATACCAACAGTAGTTGCGATGGTACTGAAATAGCCAAAGAGCTTCAGACTGTCGCAAACTGACCGGCCCATCACCTGAATCGAAGGGACGAACTGATGTGCAGCTCCGACTAATTCCGTGGCCTTAGGGACTAATTCATTTATATGGCCGGCTGTCTCATGTGCCTTCTTGATCGTATTCCCTAATTGCATAATGCTGTACCCTGCTTGTATGGTCTTTACAACTGGATTAGCCTTGGCTGCTGCCCCTGCGGCCGCCCCGATAGTCCTCGTAAGAGCCTCGCGGATGACCCTTTTCTTCGTCTTGTTTCCGGGGATCCATGATGTGAGATCGGATGGCATAATGATACAATGATATTGTCGTTGTTCTAATGATAGTGACCAAAAAGGGTAACTTGTAGCAAGGGCCGCAGAGTGCGGGGCGGGAGTGCTTTTAACTAGAACGTGAGAGAGCTATGTAAGTATGAGAATGGTAAGGCATCTATGAAGCGTATATTATTCTGCTTAGTCCCCTATTGACGTGGCAGTTTAGCTGGCCATTAAACCTGGATCTCATTTGAAACTACCATTTTAGACGGTGTTCTCCTGCAAATGTTGATTGGGCTGATAGGCAGCTTGCGGTGAGAGGTTAGTTTTGGGAAGCCTGAAAACCAATAAAATCCATGGATATTGGTTAAGGGGTAAGGGATAGTTCCCGCTTGGCGGAGTCCGGACATACGTATATCCGTACCTCTTTAGATAGGTACCCAGTAACTAGGTAACTACCTAGATAGTAGAAGTACATACAACGTGAGGGTTGACATCATTACCTGTTATTGTAGGTATAGACAGTTATACGGTTCTTGAAACTTAAGTCTTCATACGAACATTACCTCCCAGGTACCTAATGTAATACAAATCTACTTCGTACCTTGATGCTTATTGGTACAACAAGGCAGAGAGAGGTGTGTGATCGGCATATCGTGCACGGATATCAAAAGAGCACATGCCAATTATTTTCACACGGCCTTAGCTTCGTAACATTCGCAAAAGACAATCACGGCACTGGTTTTCACCTAACATATCAAGCCGCCAAATAAATATTTGTGGAATTAACTATAACTAGTTGGGTACCTAACCTAAGACCCAGGTAGGTATACATGGGTAACTTAAAGACACTATTTCTGGGGCATCAGTATTCGATATGACGGACGTCGAAGAGGATACACTTACCTGAGAGTAGTATTCGTTCTGATACTTGCAAGTGTACGGCGCCGCGCACTGGAAGCTGCCCGTCCACTGCAGTCCGCCGCATTGAGCAAACTTCGGTTGTGCCTTAGGTGATGCCAAGGCGAGGATCTTTTCTGCGGCGTGTTCGGCAGCAATGACGATGTAAGAGGCGGGGTTGGTAGTGATATGACCTGGAAAGATGCTAGCATCAACGACGAACAAGTTGTCGGTACCATAAACCCTCGTATCGAGGTCAACTACGGCCGAGCCGCTGTTTGTCCGACCGTCGTCTGTTCCGAGCTTACTCGTTCCTGGGAATTATTATTAATCGTTGTATTGAGTGCTAATACGATGCTAGCCAACTTACCAATCCAGTGGTTTGATCTTCGGTTGGTGTATGAAACGAGCATCTACAATTATCAGCTTTGTTTTCTTATCGCATGATATAGCGCGACTAACATCATTGACAAAGTCTTCGACGGTGGTGTTCGATGGTGGGTAGGTCCACGTGAGGCCCTCAACATTTGCTAGAGCCGCTTGAAGGTTCTTAATGCCCTGAATAACAGCCTGGACATCATTCTTATCCTGTAAGTAAGGGAGCGTCGAGACTACAGTAGTTAATGCCTTCGTGATGGTCATTCGGCCCCTTGACTTTGCACCTCGTCCAAGGTACTGACTCATAGTCATAGCATCTACTTCTATTAACGAGTGCAAACCTCAAGGTATGAGGATAACCTACATCCATTCGGTGTTCCGGCACTCCCTTCGACCCTGGCGGTCCACTGGAGCTGTCGAACCACACCGTCGTCACCCTTGATTTCATCCCAGAACCTACACAGGATTAGAATACTGGTGGACTTAAAGGTTTAGCAACTTACATTGGGCCGATATTTGGCGCTGCTTGAGCCAGAATACCCGATCGGGAATCTGTGATTACAGGTCAGCTGCGGCCCTATTATATGATACAAGAACTAAACCTAGCTAACCTAGATATAAACTCTTGTCGGTGACATTAGGGTTATCCCAAGCTTCGTAGAAGTCGTAAAACACGACGTTGGGATGCGTGATAACAGTGTCAGTCTAAGTAGATGTAAGCATATTTAGAGGTACGACCATTTACAGGGTATCGAACGTTTGTGTGGTCTTCCAGATTATAACCGACAGGAAGATTGATCCAAGAGCTATTGGAAATCATGGTTGGACCATCGGTCGACGATTGGACAACAGATAGCTGATCCGACGGTCCGATTCCACCTAGGCAGGTAGTTAGTAACGTAGAGCATAGGAGGGCTTCTGAGATTGAAGTAACTTACTTCGTAATAGGATCTTGGCGGTCCCAAATGTTCCCGCAGACAAGATGACGCGACCGGTAACTGTAGTAACATTGACAACGCCGGTGTATCCTCCGTTTATGAACGGCTCGACCTCAATGCCGGTAACATGGCCACCATATCTAACAATTCTCTTTACTGCCGTACCCGTCCATAAATGGAAATTATTGCGCTTGCTAGCAGAGACCAAGTAAGTTGCCATAGGCCCGCCACGTTCGCCACCAGAAAACATGAACGGCGAGTGAGAGAATGTGTGATTCTTCTGGTTTGGCACGTCGTTAGCGGTAACTTCTGACCATCCACCGGCTTTTAAACCACTAGCTAGAACTTCGAAGCCTTGCTGGTAGTATCGTTTTCCGTCCATCGAAGGATGGTCAGTACCAGGAATGCGAGAGAATACCCTCTTGGTTGCAGCGGCCATATCTGAAGATTTCCATCCGTTGGGAAAGTTATAATCCCAGTCTAGAGTATATGGCTAAGTTTCACCATCAGTATCGCCGTATCTGTGAATGTATCATATGACATACCTTCCACCATAAACCAGCATTAACGGCGGTGCCTCCACCCAGCACGCAGCCAGCCATCTGATCAGTATCAGTGCAGGCAATGCCTGCGGAGTTGACCCAGATCTCGTTGCACAGACCGGGGACATCAAATCGAGTCAAGTTAGTGCCATCTAACCATTCCGGCTTAAGCGAGCCGCCCCATCGTCCTGAAGAAGGTGGCCCCTTTTCAATGAGCAATACACTCTTTCCAGCCTCGCTCAACTTGTCTGCCAAAGGGATTCCGCCAGCACCGGCACCAACAACAATGTAGTCATAAGTGCCGGTCGGGACTGGGATGCCAGTAGCAGTAGGAATTGACGTCGTAGTGGATGTGGTGGTCGTGGGTGTTGCTCCTCCGCAACTTCCGGTAACCGTAGCGGTAGCTTGGGCGGCCCATTCTGAATACGATGGGTTTGCTGCGTTTTCGTCTAGGGTGGCGCCCCAGATGCTTTGGCCGTTGCTGTGGAAGTCGATAGTAATATCCGCTGGGCAGGCCGGGTTCCCCGGAGATTTAAGTGAGCTAGCCCATCCTAGTACTAGGGAGCCGGCACTAGTCGACGCGGAACCTGATGCACCGTCTTGGTCCCATACTAAACAGTTCTGACATCTAAAGATCAGAGTATAGTAGTCCTTATCGATGGTAGACGAGATTTGAGTTAACTTGGCATTGCCTGTATATATGTCCGGGCTAGTATATCCACTGGCGAAGCGGAGCGATGTCAAGATTTGATCTTCGTATGGCCAGGCCATGAGAAGCAGGCTATTTGTCATCGGCCCCCCGAAAGAAAAACCGCACCATCCGTTCGTGGTTGTGCCGTTGGAGCCGCATTTCTGTTATAAGGATTAGGGTGCTGATAGATTGGATTTGAACTTGTTATACTGACCAGGTATCCTATGAACTCAGTAGCGTCAACGGTCAAGGCATTCTCTGGTAGCGCAACGCCGAAGGTTAGACCACCCCAGGCCGACACACTACCAGAACCGTCGGCCTTATCCGGTACGGTCCATATGTCGAATACGATGCCGGTTTTGCTGTCCTTGTACAGGGTTGGTGCGCTTGCCTGGCCGAGACATTTCTGGACATCTACGCCGTGTCAGTAAAATCATCGTCAGCGTATACCTAGGAAGCGTAGCTCACTTAAGCTGACTGCAAGAAGCAGTGATGCAAAAATACCGAGACGACCCATGATTTTATCAGCGTATCACGCTAAGTACTCGCGAGATAGGAACCGGAGGACTCGACATTGTGAAAAAAAAAAAAAAAAAAAAACTCGTCCAGAAGACTCTTATATATATATATATATATATATATATTAATGGATTATGAGGCTGCTGAGTACAAGTGGGCTGACGGGAACTCATTCCGAACGAGATCTGACTAGACACACTAGTAGATATATACATGATCGAATACGACCTAAGTAATAGGAGGAAAATTATTGATTCCATATCATGAACCGGCGGACACTCGTAGGGAATATTGGCCTAGGGAACCGATCAACCGTGAAGCGCAATAGTAAAGTGGAGCGCGGGTAGGAGAACCTGGAAGCTGGGCGCGGCTCCGATTCCCAGGAACAGAATCATAGTCCTGTATGAGAGGTTCTGGACCTTCGATGCAATCCCGCGGCGTAACGGCGGGCGCGCTCTACCCTGCTCTTGAGTCTTACTTGCTTTACACTATTTCACCCTGCTTCCCTGCTTCCCTGCATGCTGACAAAGGTGCAAAGGAGCATCTCCGTTTGGACGAGGTCTAGTGACAGGTGATAAGAGCTATTCCCCTCCAGGCCTCAGGAATAACCAGCAGCATTGGAGGTAGTATGGCTGGAGGAACATGGCCATGAGGGTTAGACCGAGGACGTCTTGGCCTCGAGCGACTTGCCTCTTCTGTCAACGGAGTGTCGTAAAACGGAGGGACGCCTTTCTGCTTTACGGGCCGAAATTAGCGACTGTAGCTGTAGCTGTGTAGCTGAAAAGCTGGAGAGCTTGTTTCCCTTTTTTTACCCCCAGCTGTTCCCCGCCAAAAAAAAAAGCCCTCTAGAATCCACATCGTGAAGAACGCCATTCGGGGTGAACGCCATTCGGGGTTGGGGAATTTGTAATGTTACCTTGGCTCGTCTATGGGCGGGTCTAGACTTGTAGCAGCTCAAGCCTCAGGTGGCGTAAGGTACAACTACAGGATTCATAGGTACGGATTACCTAAGCCACAATTCATAAATCACAATTCATTAGGTACCTAAGCCACCAGCTAGCTATCTTTCAAGCCACATTGAAACAGGTACCTTAGATTAGGTACCTAACCTACCTCCAAGGTTCAGTTCAAATCGTTGCGTCTTCCACCATCAAAACGCTCAAACTTTACCTTTCATAAGTTACCTGTACCTAACCCGATGTTGAAACCGTAATATAATTCCTTTTTTATTCTTGTCAAATGGTTATCTCTAAAGATATGAACCGGAAGTATTCAACTTCAATAGATACACGGCCTCATTGCTTCTCAACATGGCTACGCATTATCCCCTCAACGGTATCGACCTGGATTTTACCAAATATGAGCATAGGTCTATATCCGATCGCGAGGTCATAGTCAATCGGATTATGCAGGAATATATGTCACCAGAGAGTGTGAAAGCAGCTGTCTATAACAAGAGATATCAAGATGCCAAATTCAATCAAATCAAAAGTCGCGATCGAGAACTCGGCCTTGATATGTATCTTCTATATAGGATGCTTAGGACTGATAGCAGCTCGTCCTTCGTCGGAGCAGAACTACAGCGCCTCTACTTGCCCTCTGCTGGCATATTCATTGACGCTCTAAATTACTACCCGTTACCCGAACCTGAGGTCACTATTGGCAAGGTTACGTTGGGGCTTATAGAACAGTATTATCTCGAATCCGAACCTTCTATGCGCGCTTGGCTTGGCCATCACTACCGTTCTCACCCAGACTTAGTACCCAAACACAAGTCCGGCTGGACAAAAGATATGAAAGAGCACGTCAAAAGTTACAGGCCATTTTCAAGAACACATTACCGTTATTCTTTGTTTTCCGGCGGCCACCACCTAAGAATCAGCACCTCTTCTAATGTCGAATTTTCTATCGATCCTCAGTTTATTAGCACGCGGTGGCTCGGCGTTCTAATAAGTCGGCATTCCTCTAACCCATCACGAGCATGCAACCACTCTAAAAGTCCGGCCAAACCCTTTCATTCCGTCAATACATTATGTGTGCGTCGAGGGAAGCCTCAACGGTCTAGCAGTCTACCTCCACCTGATTCGTGGAAGACGGTAGCTTTAAATACCAAAGACTGGAAGAGGGACCTCGAAGATGGATGGATCATCTACTTCCCTCGACGCCCTCTGTCTGAACTTGATAAACTATCACGCCGTAGAAGCTTAAGCCGAACTCACATCCGAGCAATGTTCACTAATAAACCCAAAGTGTTTGAGAAGAAGTCTACGCAGAAACGGGTCCAGGGGCAGATTAGGAATCCGTGTGCTAACTGTTCCCAGCATAGTAGTCATCGCTCTTCAGCCTGCCCCTTAGCATGTGGTTATTGCAACTCGTCGTTCCACAAGGCATATGCTTGCCCAACCAAGGCGAGCAACCGATGTAAATGCATGCCCTTCCCACAATACCACACAGTTTTCGAGTGTCAAATTAAGTGCAGCCGAAAGTGTGGATGTCCAAATTTCCCAGGTTCAGGCCATCACAAGAACGCCATGCTTTGCTCCTATCGTTGCTGCATGTGCGGTGCCAAGGGTCACTCAGGAAGAAAATGCTCCTTGAAGAAATGTCCGTGCGGAGGGGATCATCTCACTCAAGACTGTCGATGGAAGGTTGAGTGTCCCGCCAAAGATTGCAATTTCTACCTATGTCATCTTCATTGCAGAGAATGCGGAAAGAAGAAGGATAAAACTTCAAAAGAACACTTTGTCGGCAGAACCTGTCAAGACTGCTTGAGGAATGGTAAGCCAGTCTTGGAAAAGGTCGCATCAGAGTAACAAAATTGGCTCGGCAAACGTTGCGACTACACCTCAAACCCTTAGAGAGTCCGGAATGATTATCCGCTGGCGATAGTTGATATCGTAAGGGTAAGCGAAGTGACTATGTTTCTACGCAACCTACTAGTATATAAACACAAGCGAATATAACTCCTCTAGCGGTATATCAGTATTGGAATAATCTGCAGAGTAAGATAGTATAAGTACCAGGTTATATATGCTCAGAATTGCGCTAGAGTGTTGCAACCAAGACTGGAACAAATCCTATGGCAGTGCGTTGTTAAAGAGGCCTCCATATTTCAAGTATATAAACATAACTTAAGCGTATACTCCATTATGTATTGCTCATGCTGCGAATATAGGTAAAAAACCCCCTCGAGGACCGGGAAAGTCGAGTGTCGTGGAGCGGCCCGGCCCGCGGCTAATATATCCGACCCGGCCAAGTGGAACGAAAGATCTGACTGAATTGCATTCATGACGCCTCTTCGACGTCATAGAGGGACAGGATTACCAAGATAACTTGAAGAAGATTGTTGAAATAACTACAATTAAATATTTCATACATATCCTTGAAAATATTTTGGAATTGGTTAACTCTTTACACTAAGGGATTAATGGTGTGATTATTAGTTGAGGCGTCTTATGTTAAAGGCCAGAATCCGCGGCAAACTCTGTCGACATCTTACTACTTATCCCTAGCACTCATATTTCATCTAAGTACCAATCTTTGAAACTCATAACCTCGCATCATCTATCTACCAAGTCAACAACCCCAAGAAAAACAAGGCAAAATAGTAAAATCATGACTCCACTTCCAGGGGGTTGTTACTGCGGTCTAATAAAATACATCATCACACTCGAGGACCCGGAGTCGCAAGCACGCACGAGCATCTGCCACTGCGGTAACTGCAAGAAGTTTGGGGGCGGCGAGCACGGCATCACAACTAAGATCCCCAAGTCAGCATTCAAGATTACTCAAGGGACGGATCATATAAAAATACACGAAGCGGACAACGGGAGCGGCGTATTGCTACATCGCGAGTTCTGCGATACGTGTGGCGGGCCGCTTTTGGAATACGGTGTATGTATTTCTCTTTGATTGTATTTGATGAGTTCGGAAGGTTACTCGAGCTTCTCGCCCCTATCATTTGACTTCCATATTTTTAAAGAACCTCTTGCGGCTGTCCTCGGACGTCATAATGATGAGAATTGTTTGCAGGGAAATGCGGGAGATAATATATACATCTTCTACGGTACGATGGAGGACCACGCCCGCGGTCAGGTTGAGCCTAAGGGCGAGTTCTTCTGCAAGCTACGGGATCCGTGGATGCCTAGCGTCGAAGGTTAGTTAGTACATGCCCAAGATCCTTTTCGTTGCTATGATAACAAGGATTACTTACCCAATGTCTCAGGGTTATTCCAAAAGCAGGAAATCAAGCAGTAATAAGAGAGATATCGCTAGTCCCAACAGGACTGGGTAGTAATGTACTATTCGGGTAGGCTCTATTGTAGCATGATGGACTAAATTCATGTAAACGTGGATGAGAGAAAGGGGGTTAGGGGGTTAGGGACGTACAAGTCTGAAGGATAAACGTGGAAACATAATAGTAATAGGAAGTAGGTATTTAGGTATGTATACTAATTAAATAACATGGTATATTAAGTTCTGCAACGATACTTCATTCCGTCCCAGACTCTGTAACACATTAATCGGGCGATACAGACGGTTCGTTGGGGGGTTGGTAGACTGCAAGAGCCCCTTCTCCTACTTCTGGCTCTAGCTCGCCCGTATGTCGGTATCTTTCTACCGAATCAGTACGTCTTCGGCCATGACGCCTCGAGTTATGGTTCCTAGAGTGATGGCCCCTAGAGCGATGGTGCCTGGAGTGATGGTGATTTCCTAAGTGGTGACGCCCTGAGTGGTGATGTCCTGAATGATGGTGTCCCGAACGATGGCGATCCGAGCGATGTCCAGAGTGATAGTATCCCGAGTGGTTGCGACTGGGCTGGCCAAAGCAGTTGCCCATCTTATCTTCGTCGTTGGGATGGAATTTGACAGAAGCTGTAAGGTATGACGCTTGATTTCGTTGGAGATGACCACAAATTCATTTCAGTCCTTTCATTAACATAGGAATAAATGCAGTAAGATGAAATCTCCGAGAGAAACGGTCGTAGGGGTTGGAATCATATAGGTAGGCTGTCCACAAACTCGATAATCATGTAGCATGTTTTCGCGTAGAGAACTCGTGTTCTGACTCGAACACCTGACAAGGAAATGACTAGTAGAACACGTACATTAAGGTGGCTAAAATGAAAAGGAGTGTAACTGAAGAAAGTATGCATCATGAAATTATGATCTAATGAGATTTGGTAGTATATGATAGAAATAGAAGGAGGCCAAGAGGTTGAAGGCTTAAGAATTAGGGTTAGGTACCCAAGCACGAGGATAGTACCATGTATATTTAAATAAAAAAGGATTTCTACATTAAAGCAATCTCGACAACCCGTCATTCCAACTACGCAGTATCGACACCTTTGTTTCTCATCGTAAATGATACTAAGCTAGGATGTGATACGGCCACTCAAGATTATGATCATGCTAAGATTCTACGGCCAAGATACTCCTTTAATCTAGCCGATTTAATCAGTCCCCGGAGCTTATAGAGGGCCGTTTACCAGCAGTGCTTTCTGTCTTTGAAAAACGAAGTTGGTGGGTGACGCCGATATTAACCTTTAGATCCGGTGGTGATTGCCGGCAAACGTGTTTAGGTTAGATGGTATTGGAAGGTATAGGGAAGGCAAAAGTCCTAGTTAAAGATTAGGAGGAATTATATTCATATACTTTATCCTGCCCGTGAAGGGTCTCTTGCTAATAAGAGTAGCACCTAAGGACGGTTCTCTAGTATGGTATTGGTGGTCTGACTCGAATGCCTGACAAGGGAGTGACTGGCAAACGCGTGGGTTAATGAAAGGGGTGTAAAAGGAAAAACATTGACTCGTGGAATTGTAATTACCTTTCGAATAACATTAGGTACTGCGTGAGTATGAAGCTGGTATCGTTATTTGATCTGATCTTCTTGCTACCTAGCTGGTACCTTGTCTACTGGAGGACTCCTATCTTATTATATTATAACGGTGCCTTATAGACCGATTTTCCTCCTTCCCTGCCGAGTTTTCACGATTAAAATTTCATAGAGTACACATTTACAATGTACCGTGGCTTTTGGCCCGTGTCCAATTGAAATATTGTAACCCGTGAATTCTGACATGTAGTCACCGGGAGACATCTCACAGGGGTTATCAGCAAAGACTACAAACACTTCCACTCTCCACACCACCAATACTGAAGGGGACAATCAAACCTTCGAGAGCAAAATACACAGATCAGCTAACCTCTTAGAGGCTGTATTGAATTTCCTTTTTAGATGAGTACCTATATTACATTGATTAGGTATTTATCGACACATGAGTCTAAGGATTACCCCGTTAGTTATCCAAGAAACGGATTTAAATTTCATCTAAGCTACGAAGTAACATCATTCTCTAAAAAATCTACGCTGAAACAAGCATCTCATCGTTCCTAAACCCCGATCCTAGCGTCGTGTAGCAAAATGCGGCCCACGATTCTGATCTGTGATCTCCACGACGGCGATGACTATGCGGTGGCCACGCCTACGAATAGGCGAGTACGTGAATGAGGCTCGGGATGGTTGGCAAAAAATATGGTCTCGTCGCTCTTGCCCAACAACAAATACACGGCGACACGCACGTCGAGATCTACGCTTGTGGATATGCTTGCTGAGAAGCTGACCCATTGCCTCTGTGATATCCTTACCGCTATTGTACTTCTTACTCGAAGAAGTCGAGGTAAATAGAGAGATAGTTGTTTGGTAGGTAAGTGTGGATCTTACTAGATCTTTGTGATGCGGGATTGAGGTATGGGCGACGTTGTGAGCTTAGGAGAAAACGTCTTCAGCACCGTAGAACTATGTAGATCAATAATTCATGAACATGAAGAAGGAGTATGCGGAAGACGGCGAGGGCCCAACGATAGAACCTGGGAAATATTAAATAACTATATTAATATTAATTTATAAAGGGTATGTTAAGTCTCAGTCACTGGATAAGCTTTTGGGGCCTAATTACATACTTTCAAGCAATGTTTTTACTTGGTCAGGGGAAAACCGGATGGGACTTCTATTAGTCAATCTCTACCCCTTGGGAGATGGTAATAGTCATGAACAAAGTTATTTATATCAGTTTGGCACAGAAAAACTGACTGGGATGAATATATAACACGGTTCATAGCTCTTCTATCAAGAACTCACCACTTGAGGAGCATAAAGAGGATCAATACCTTCGAATAATCTTAGTAGGCGGACCGGGTTCAAGCCCAGGTAGTCTGGGTCATTAATGGTCACTAACAAATACATGAGGGGGCGTGACGAAGAATAGGGGCAATTGCATACACGCAGCTATCCTACAACATACGGATTCCGAGGTCCTTGGTGACAGGTTGATGACATCAGGCATTTATTCAGTAGTTCGTAATGTGATCATTATGAATTTGTACAAATGATCCTCCTATACCCTAGACCTGTGACCATATCTAAATAGGTGCTGTAATCCCAGCAGAAGCAGAAAACATGAAACTGGTATCAAGTTGGGGTTGAATCATTGCACCCAAAACAGAAACAGAAAATATCCCTAAACGCCCTTTTATTGGACTTGAGCCACGCCATCGGTTTTGTAGCCATGTCCATAGTTGTGATTGAAAAAAAGAGGAAAATCGTTGAACTATCGCGCTTTACCTCGTCATTTATGCGTCTTCCCAAGTATCCACACCCTCCATATCGTCATGTATCTCGACATCCACTTTTGTCCCGAGTGCCTCCTTTCCTTGGCGGATCATATCCCTCAACCGAGCGTTGAAGTCATTCATCCGCATGTCAGTTTCCATTTCTTCCTGGAGTCTCTTAGTAGCCAGGTTCTTCGCCTCGTCATCTAGTCGAGGGCTATAGTCTTTAAGCTCCTGCGTTGAATCACCTCTTCTTATCCTGATAGAGGACGTACCAGATGCCGCTGATGCCGTACTATGGTTTCTCCCGTGACTACGCCTCGGGTGAATACTAGGACTAGGAATAAGAGAAGCTGGTTGTGGAATACGAGAGGCCGAGAAAACGCTAGGTGATTGCGGTTGGCTTGGGACGGGGATTCTACTAGGAGTATGCAATGATACGGCTGGCGATTGAGCTCGAGGAGAGGCAAAGCTTGCCGGCCCAATATTGGATATAGGCGTGGTTCCGACATGGCTTATCCTGTTAGACTGGCGTCGGGTGTGGCTAGGTGTGTTTACGCGGCTCACAGGTCGACTAATACGTCGACGAAGAACGGGCGGAAACGTTTGCTGTTGAGATGTACGGACTGTTGAGGCTGGAGAAGCTCTGCTCTGCGGTCGTGTCTTTTCGGGAGATTCCCGGACCATGACCCAATTCCGGCGCAGTTCATCTCCAGGAGCTCCGGTATCGATCTGTCGCCGTTTTGCCGCAGGAGGGGGCGAGGATTCCGGCGATTCTTGTCTGTAATTAGATGGGAAATAGTGCGACTGAGGAATTTCGATTGGTACTGTGCTAGAGCCGAAATCTGGAAGGGTGGGAATATCATGCTCGTTACACCAAACCTGACCGTTTGTAGTTGACGGTTGCCTAGGTGGTGTCTTCATCCCGTATCCCGTACCTCCACCTGCATAGAATCCGCGGAACACGCCCGTTTTACAGAATTGAAATACTTTTCCAACGACTCCGCCTATAGTGCTCAAAGCAATGGAACCCCATCCGTTCGTTTGCCGTGTTCGAGAGGGTGATGATGATGATGATGATAATAATATAGTAGATGTAGCATTAATAGCGGACGGTTCGATCTTCGCGGGCGCACATTTAGGGCCTAAGGCGCGCCTGTAATCGACGTCGGAATAAATGCTGTCTTCCATCGCATCCATGAAGGCTCCAGGAGCCACTCCATTCGGAGCTTCGATTTGACCGGCTAGAACATACTTCCTCCCCTCCCCCGCAAACAGCCTGTTGACTTCGGCCTCTTCCTGATGTTTATTATCGGTATTAGATGCTGCATCACCTCTGTTCGTACCCCAGCTATTGAATGGTCTAGACTCGCGAGCCACCCTCCGTTTCCTCTTCGCATTAAGGCCTAATGTTGATGCATCCGAGTGTAAGCTGTTGGTAGATTTACCTAGATATAGGGAGCTCGAAGCGGAGGGTGATATAGGAGGTCGAAACATTCCTGGATGAACACCAGACAAGGAGCTACCGTCGTTAAGAGTTTCGAAGTGGAATGCGCCCGGCATAAGGACCCGCGGCCCGAATGACATGTTGGGACGCACGCAAAGGAGTCGAAACGAATGCGACCGAGGTGAAAACAGGTGAAAACGAGTGTTGAAACTATTAAGTTGGAGCCGATATTTGATCGTAGGGAATAGCGAGTGTAGTAGACGGAAATATATCAATAGAGAAAGATAGGCGTAACTTTGTATCGTCGGAGCTCTTTGAAAGATGAGACAGCAAGACAATCCGTTTGTTATCTCACCATTACAAAATTTCCCAACAATGCGTTGCCTCGCTTTGTTTAAAGATACTCAAAAAAATACTTATTAATAAGAGCTATCGGTGCCTTTGTCGATACCGGACGAGTCTTACTCTTAAAATCCCCTTGATGCAGCTTGTACATCTGTTGTTTTCGAAGGTTATCTCAGAGTACGCGAAGCAGGAAAAAAGGTATGATATGATGTAAGAAGGGTGGGATGGATTTTGGTGCTCGTGATCATAAGCCTTTTTTTTATTTTTTATCTTCTTCTCGTTAGAGTTCGCGTGGTGTCGCTGGCACGCGGTTGGGGACTTGGACTTGGGGACTTTGGGACCTAGCGACCAATAGGGTCAGCTCTTAACTCTACAGCTCATTAGCTCATTGACCCCTGTCTAATTTTTAAGGTTCCATATCCGTATCTGCCTAGGCGGCTGGAAAATGGCTTAGCTACCTCCTAACTTTAATAAGTACAGCTTGGACATGTTGGCAAGACTTACATCTTGTAGAATAATAGAATAAGTGTTTGAGTGCTGCACCCTTAATTCTAACTACAAAAGTTGTAATTGTTGAGTTTGATCACCACACCCGTTGCTGGGTCAGAATCATTTGTCAGTAAAGCCAAGAAAAACAGCCAGGCCGCCAAGGAGCCAACCCCGGGTGCCAGTCCCGGGTACAGGATTCAATATAGCGGGTCCCCAGCTAAATGTACATTTACATTCAATGTGCTGTTCTGTTTTAATGAATTTTTTTTTTTTTTTTTTCTCCGCGCATCCTCACCGTTAAAATAAAACAAGCGGTCGGCAGCGTTGCAATATTCTATCATTATTGGTCATAACCATATGCTCCATTCTCTAATGAGGTATGTATGCCATCCCGAACCCCTATTCCCATTCTACCTACCATGATAATGTGATGATGTGATAATGTGATCATGCTCCATACCTGACATAAAGCAAAAAGCGTAAACGACGACCAAGAATCTTTCAATATCGGCGCAAGACTGCAATACCGCAATATGCTTCGCTTACCGCCATAGCAACCTATCTCCTGTTTAGCTCTCCTCTTTAGAGTAGTAGGCATCTTGATCCTGTGTCGTCGTCTTTTTCACACCGCCATTCACACCGGCTTCGCCATGAACATGCGGTGCCGAACCCCAGAACTCGTCGCGTTCCTTAAGGATGTCCTTTGCCCACTCCTGCGTTTCCGGAAGTACAACCCTAGTTGCAACGTAAGCGAATTCGCCCAAGTCCAGGCGCTTATCTGCCCGCTTCTCGTACTCCACCATCTGCAACAATAATTCCATCTTGTCCACGTCATGGACAAAGAGGCTTTCGGGCGTTTTGGAGTCCTCGTATTCCTGCCAGATCGCTCGGATCTCCTGTCCGGCAACCCCTCCATACACCTTGCCCAATAAATTCTTAGAAATATAGTCCATCGTCTCGGCCTCGCGACGGCTTTTCTCCGGTTTCGGGACACCATCTACCGGCGTAATGTCCCCGACGATCGATTCGGCCATATCGTGAATGAGGCACATCTTCATGCATTTGTTAAGATCGAGCTTGGATGCAAGCGAAGGGGGGCATAGGATGGTCATTAAGGACATGCGATACATATGATCCGCGATCGATTCGCCTCTAGCCTTTTTGTAAGCGACCAGTCTCTTATCTAGTTCGGAGAGAGGAATACTCTACCTGTTGATACCGAACCGCCGCCATCCTTCTCGCTTGCCCGTCTTTAACCGCTCGAGGATATGAAAGAAAGGAACTGGTGAGCTCGACCCCTCGGCAGGGGTTTCGGGGTGAATTTGTGCCAGCACCTTCTCGACCGTCCATGGTTCAGAGACCTTGGGAGTTGTTACAACACCAGGTTCTGCGAATGTAGCCTGTTTAGTCGAACCTGCTTCGCCTAATGTTCTACAAGATGCTTCACTTACCAGTGCCTTCCTGGTTATTGGAGGACATCCTGCCTTTAAGTACTGACAGGATAGCTCGTACTTGAAGGGGATGTTCGTGACCGCGGCTGGTATTTGTATGGGGTGGTAAACTCTGGAGATGTAGTTGGGAATCGAAATGGGCAACACCATCAGTTAGAACTTGCTTCTGGATGAGGTGAAGAAATACCTAAGCCCGAAAGATGGCTTATGTGATAACGGTACAAACAAGAAGAGATGAAGAAACGTTTCAAACGACAAATCAAAAAAAGAAAAGACAGCTGCATAGAGAAAGCGCTAGAGGGTCCCCACGTGGCCGATAGACTGATAGACCCAAGCTCTCTAAATTCCGAGATTAGGTACCTACCCACCTAGTAATCTATTGGATACCAGCCGTGGGATGGGAGATCTCATGTGCCTAAACTTACCTAAGGTACCTAAGATCCGCCTCAAACTCCGGTAGTTTACGACCCCCCCCCCGTTATGTACTACCTATCAGACTTGTAGCTGACCGTAGCTACCTCTTTACCCCGTACATATGATGTCAGTCTTTCGTTTGCGGGTTACACAGCAGTACGCCACGTCAGATACATGTACTAGCGTCTGTGATTCCCCCTTTCTTGTTCTAGACCCTTATTCTAGATCCTTATTCTAGAATTCAGCCGCCTGCCCCGATACATACTTCTAAACAGGGACGAGCATTCCTCATCAGCAATGATGGTCCTTTGAGATCTTATACCATAAACGCAACCTCGGTAGTACCATCACTATGGGTCAACCAGTAATAGTTTCATCAAGGCCCCCGAGGAATAGATAACGTTGTGAAAATGTAGTGTATTTAACAGTTAATTGTGAATAACCCATCACATAACGGACAAGTTGACTACCTAGGTAGGCTTCTATCAATCGTCTAATCTATAGCAATCAAGCACAAAGATGAAAGGACACTACGTTATTCAGTCTTATTTCTCTAATAAATAAATACGTCAACTACCTAAGTTTAGGACTATTTATTTTACAAGGCCGTATTTTAATACCTGCCAAAATCTACTTAATTCATCTCTAATTTCAGAGGGAATCTTCATAATGGTCCACATTAGTTGTACTACAAACGAGCATGCTTGTCTCATCCTGCTTAGCCTATAATATGTATCATACAGGGAGCCCTTATTACCATGGCGGCACTTGAGTTTGATAGTATATACAACTGTATCGTCTTGCCATTTAATATCTAGTGCGTAGACTAATAAGCATCTATACACAATCGTAGAGGTTCTTCGATGGGTCTACTATATTACGGCTCGATGCTAAGCTGGGCGAAAACATTGAATAGGGTCATGCTTGACGAGGAACTATTCATTTTCACTTGATTCGGCCTAAAGCCGCGGTGATGAACACATGTGTGACTCTGTGATAGAATAGAGATACAAGTATTTAGACTTAGATTACTATTAAATATAGTCGTGCGGATACGCTAGTCACCATCTATCAAAGCATCACAATACTCCCTGGATTAAGCTGGCTAAACCGTACGAGCTCTTCTTTTTGAAGGAGAACTGGAAATCAAGATTTCTATCCCATAGCTTTATTCCTTCACGATAGTCTAACCCCTCTTTTTTCGATTTATCTATTTCGATCTAATTACGCCTAGGTAGAATCTGAGCCGGCAATATGAAGGTCGGTTTAATCATTCCTATAGTCACTTCGTTAGCGGCGGCTACGAGCCTGAGGGGACATGGTTTCATTGGATACGGTATATCTATGTACGATCCGATCTGCGCCTACGCCTGCCGCAATGCTATAAGTCTATATCAGCTTAGCTGCTCTGCTACTATAGACCATAACAGCATGAAAAGGCACTACAATCTGGGTTTTATGACTTCAGACGATTGCTACGCAACAGATGATAATTTCCTCCGCAGTATTGCCTACTGTATCAGTACTCACTGCTCTGGTACTCCTCTCTCCGATCTCGAACATTACTGGACCAACTTCCTCACAAGCCATAAGCCCGGCCAGAATAGCCCAAAGGAATCGTACTCTATTACTCTAGCTCATATTGATCCGCCACCGGCCGTCGTGGTTAACCCTACGTCGGTACTAAACCAAACTACACTGGTTGCCGAGGAAGAGTATCTGCGCGAATATGATCATGTCTTCTCCTTCCAGCAGGCAGAAACTAGGCAGACCGAGTTTGGGTTCGTCAATCACCAATATCTTCTTTCTTAAAATGTTTAGTGCTAACTCGTAGCAAAGACTAATTCTTCTGATCACTGGTGCGGCTATACCCATAGCATGCTCCCTACTCCGCTTCGTCCCATTCCCTAAGGAATTAACAAGCCGGTTTAACGCGTACTTCATTGATCCGCCAATATTCGGCCGCAGACATCGACAGCCATTTCACAATCTTGCCCTTGTGCCTACCCGTGGCCAAGCCTCGCTGATAGTGTACTTCATACTCATTAATGTGGTATTATTATGTATCGACTATCCACCAATGTCGAACGACGATGGAAATGACGAACTATTGCGATGTGTTGCTAATCGCATGGGGGTATTGAGCTTTGCCAACTTTGCGCTCCTTGTGTTGTATGCGGGCCGGAATAATATACTCTTGTCTATTACTGACTGGTCTTACTCGACATTCCTCCTTCTTCATCGCTGGGTCGCAATCATCTGCACGCTCGAAGCATGCATACATGCCTCTATATATTTAAAGGCATACATCGCCTTTGGCACATTTGCTGCCGAGAGCAAGAAGACTTATTGGATATGGGGAATCGTGGCGGTCTCATTAATGTCCATTTTACTTCCCACAAGCTCACTTCCCTTACGGCAGAAGTTCTATAGCCTCTTCCTCACTTCCCATTTCGCTTTCGCTTTTGTCGCTTTGATCGGCTGTTACTTCCACGTCTATCACCGATACATGAACCAGTGGGGGTACGAGACATGGGTGTATATCGCCTTCGCTTTCTGGGCTTTTGATAGGCTTATGCGTTTTGCTCGACTCGCGCGTAATGGAGTAAGAAAAGCCAAAGTCAATATTATAGACGAGGACTACATCCGCGTCGATATTCCAAATATTACCGGACAGGGCCATGCATATCTATATTTCCCTACTCTCACTTGGCTCGTATGGGAGAATCATCCATTCTCCGTGCTGGGAACCATGATGGCCGATGAGATACAAAAAGCATCTAGTGTGGCCACGTTCAGCGAAGATACTAGTATACCTTCAGGTGATATAGAGAAAGCACCAGCTCCCACGTCCACCACTGCCGCCGTCCATTCAGGCGGTTTAACCTCTCCACAAACCATGAGTCAGTCGTTCAAGCCAGGCTTAACGTTCTTTATTAATACTGCCGGAAAAGGTCTGACCGCCGCTCTCCGTAAAAAGAAGACATTACCCGTTCTGGTCGAGGCCTCTTACGCCGCTACGTCGCTCGACGAACTCCGCGTGGTCCCAAATTGCATCCTCATTGCCGGAGGTGTAGGAATCTCGGCCGTGGTCCCAGTGCTCCGTACCCGTACCGGCCGTGTGCGTCTTTTTTGGGGTGTGAGGAATAAATCGCTAGCTGAGGCGGTGACGACTTCCTTAGGCCCAGACATCCTAATACCAAATATAATAGGGGAGATTGCTGTAGGAAGGCGATTAGATCTACGGGCAATTCTAGAGCGCGAGGTCGTCGGGGACGGAGAGACAGCCGTCGTCGTCTGTGGGCCAAACAGCATGGCGGATGAAGTAAGAGCTATTGTCTCTGAGCTTGGGAGAAAAGGTAGAGTGGTGAAGTTAATTGATGAGGCGTTTAGTTGGTGAATAAGTTGGTAGAGATTACAGCGCAACTTATTTAATGGACATGTATTGGCAATTAATATAACGATTTTGCCCCTTTTCCTAACCAGGACATTCTACATCTGAATACCACCGTTTAGATAATTTTAGGCATTGGTAAAGCTAACCACAGCACTCGCACTATTTCGTCCATCATTATCCTTCAAAATGCGCAGGATCGCTTAGATTTAATAGGCCGTGGTAGGTTTGTTCCCGATTACCTAGTTAGACTCGCTACCGTCAATCTCGCTCCAGATCTCAATTTGATCGGTGTCAAACTCCAGTACCCAATCACCACGACTCGGGTTTGCCTTGTAAGTCACTTCTCCTGCTCGGCTACCTGTGCCCGAATCTATATCAACGTCGATGCCTCTACCCCGGTGTCTGACTTCCCCGCATGTTAAACCATCCCGAAGTATAAGGACTACTCCCCCCCTTTCCCCTTCAATATCGTCAATACTAGTAGCACGTCCAAATATGACATTCTCACTACCGTCGGCATCGACGGTGGTACTCCATCCCGCTGCCCCAGTGACCCCCTGGTATAAGTCCTGCCTGGGCGCAAGCTGGAATAACGTGCACTGTTGTTGCCCCTCGGCGTTAGGCCTGAAATCTGCACGAGCTAGGATATGGGAGCGGTCCTCTTTGGGCTTCGGACTGAAAAGTCCGAAGACGCAGAGTTCCCCCTTTGTCGGCCCGGGACCTGTAGTCTGGCCGGCAAATAGCACTATGGCCTCGTCGGGCACGTCTTGGATGGCTTGTGCGAGGAATTTTGGTGTAGGTAAGTTTGATGAGACATAGTATTTCATACGCCGTAAATCTGGGCCGTAGGCGGAATGAGCGAGGAATGTATTGAGCTGACTCGCTCGCGACCGAGTGAGCACCGCATCAGCTGGGATGCGAGGAATGGGTTCGGATGAATCAAGAATATCGAAAGTGCCCGGCTTATCCAGAAAAGCGAGTGTGAGCAGCCGGTAGAAGGGGTAGAGTAGGTACGGCGAAGATGTTTCTAGGGCTTGGTAATATGAGGGCCAGGTTATAACTCCAGATGCACCCGCGTTTAAGCCATGGGATTCGTCCTGGTCCTGTATAAAAGCGGCACAGATGCATCGTGCTGCATCTTCAAACTGTGATGGCTCAGCAGCATCCTGTTCAGAAGTGGCAGGCTCAAATTGTAGCGCCAACATGACCTTCACAAATGCCTCGAATCGTGGTACCGGGATCGAAAGAGTATGCAACTCTGGCAGTTTCTCGTCCAGTTTGATCTGCTTTGCGATAGGCCGGAACTTGTCCCGCGGTACGTTTGCTAGCCCTAGAGGTACCTCCTCCTGCGTCGAGTATATTACTTCTAATAGGTCATGGTAAATCTCGTCGCCATCAGCGTCGTTGTTCAGCCCGCAAAGATCATGATAGAACTCCTCAACATCGAAAAGGTTGCGGTGAGCGAGCTCGTTCACACGCCGCCGCACCTCATCTTGCATTGTGGCGGGAATAGTACTGTTGGCTAGGCTCTGAAATAGTAGGCGTTTGTGGTCCGATCGCGTTCGCATCCGCGAGTGGTTACTCTCATCAAAGATATACTTAGTCCTGTCCGACAGCGCCCAAGCCAAGGCTCGAGTGATCTGCGCTAAGGTGAGACCCCCTGGTTTAAGATGATGCGGTCGCGTAGGAAATGGTAGAGTGCTAAGGTAAGCAAGCATCTCATAGATAATTTTCCCAGCTTCGGCGCCTTCGGGGTTTCGGGGAAGGCCAGCCTTGGACTGTAGAAGAGAGATGAAGGCCGGCTCGGTCAAGATGTCGCTGTCGCCTGAGGGAGCGCGACTGGAAGCCGACGCGAAAGTAGCTTGAAGGGCCTGTTTGTCTTCTGAGCTAATTGCGTCCCTCTGGGCGATACTGTCGAGACGTGACATAATACGGTCTCTTGTCAGCTCACCTTGCGCAATCCACCCATCGATTTTTGCCAGGTCGTGGTCTCTCGCCATAGTGTGTATCGAATAGAACAAATAGGGGAATGGTTTCCTTAGGAGGGGAATGATAGGAATATAATTGAAAGTGGGAAGAATCAGGAGAGCTAATTATTTGTTTTTACAACTCCGTAACTTTGGTATTATATCTACGTGACCATTTCAGCTCAATGTACAGGTGTCTTTGTTTAGGTATGACGAGATGGTCCGCCAGATTAGAAATACTATATTCACTAATACAAGAGAGGATATAGACTTAATGCAAGCCACTATGTATAAGTGGGAGAAAGTAGTTTATTCGAGGCGATGTTGACCCGTGGTGTATAAGTGTCATTTAGTACCTAATGTAAGTTACTTAAGAGCTATGATCGGGAACAAAGCTCTACACATCGCACAAGCCAGCTCTGTAATGGTAAGGATTTAGGGGTTATTTTTAGTAAGCGTAGCACCCTTTTCCCAGATTAAGGACCCTTCATATCCCCAGATCCAATGATCGGCAGTAAGTTCAGCCCCAAATTCTTGGTTGGGAGTTCCCATTAAATGGCTCGACAGAGGACCTACGCAGATTGCCCAAAAAGGTAGGTAGATGAAGATGTTGCTTTGTACGCCACATGCCTTCGAGAGGCGCGGGCAGCCAAACATTGCGAACTAACCAACCAACAACAATAAAGGATATCTATGTTTAGAATAAATAGCTTAAGATAATTTCACACTTAACCCGTTTGAGAACATTGTGGGTGACTACAGAAAATGTTGGTGTCAGCAGATAATTATTCTGCTACCAACCCGACAAAATTATATGAACGTTTTGGATTTCATCGCGGGGTTCATCATGTAGGATCAGAACGATTGATCAAGCCAAAGCCGCCACAATGTTTCATTTCACTACAGAATTATGCGCTTCGTGCCGCAGATGCCTTTTTCCCTAACCCACCTATGTACTAGTAGTTAAACGAGAGGCACGCACTCCAGAATCGGAAATCCCCCCCTCAGTGGATACCCGTTGACGGCGATCAGCCCTAAACGCTACCTCTCTTTGGGTTGCTGTCTGTCTGCATTAGGTAGGTAGTTGAAAAAAGTCGTGAGGCTCCTTTTCGCTCATAGCACATGGAAACAATCCTTCTCGGCCCACTGGCCGTGTACTCGATCGACCCACGGTTAATCTTCAGCACATGCTTAAAATAGTACTCGTAGTTCTTTATCCGAATAGCATAGCTGAAACAGGCAGTTTTTCGTGGTTCAATCCTCAGCATACTGGCATAGTAGTCTGCTGATTCCTAGGATACTTCATATCATGTCCAAGTTGAGTAGGCGCAAGTGTATCAGTTATAGACCAAGCTGCCGATAATTCCGAGAGTGTGAACCGACAAGAGGAATGGAGGAATGAATATTTCAAAGATATAGTAGCTACCTACGTAGAGAGGAGGGAAGAGTACCTATATATATTCTCTATTACCTCCCCTCATTGTATAACTCAAATTAATATAGTATCACCACCATCGTCAACCTACTTCCATATAGACGAGCATTCATTTCCTCAGACACTCTTTACATTTTTCTGCTACGCTCATTTCAATCTACGATGAAGTTCGGTTACTTACTCTCTGCCTTCTTGGCTACGTTAGCCGCCGCTAGCCCTATTTCCACCATATCTGACCCGGCTGAGAACACAGAGCTCGTCACTCGCACTGATAATGCAGTAGAGAGCGCAGAGCTAGTTGCTCGTTCTCCGACTGTGATAGAGTCAAAGGAGTATGAGGCTATCAAAGCCAAACACTCGAATCTAAAGAAAGATCACTACTATTACTTTTACGTGACATGGCCGCGTGGGTCGTTGATCGATGGAGACCACGAGACGAAGGCTGAGGTAGAACAACTGAGAGACACTCTGGGCTTCGACCATATCGGGATTATAGTCGGCAAAGTAACCGAGAAAGAAGGCGGCACGAAAAAGAAGCCCACCCTCAAGAAGAACTTCGAAGCCAGATTATATCACATGGCCAAGGACGCTTCTGGCAAGTCCATACTCAAAATGAATACCTGGGATAAGAAGGACAGCGACCATAAGCCGATCCGCTTCGGTGGTGAGACAAACAAGAGAAAGCATGATGCGGTCCAAGGAAATGCGCGGGACTGGATTCATGATCACCCGACTTACAACGTCCAAACCAACAACTGCAACTCATTCGTTCACAATATTGTTGCATCACTTTAATGAATGAATCGATCTGTACCTACTCATAGATTAGAAATAGGTGGCCTACACCGGAGGTATTGCCTGGTGCTGACCGGGAAAAGCATACTTCTCATTCTTGCATATAAATTTTACATTGGATCTTGACGGGGATACTGGGACAGGAACAGGGACTTGGTGTCGGTAAATATAGGATTCGGTCGTACATAACACACTCGCTTCGTATTTGGTTTTCGGTTTATAAAATTTGATATATTACACTCAATCCTATTTGGCTTTGCCTTGTGAGATCCGATTAGCCACAATAGCAGGACATCTTAGGCACTTATATATGTGCGTCTATGTAATATCTTTAGAGTTGCGACATAACAAATAACTAGCTCTTATAATGTAATATTAGGTTAGATCTACCCTCTGCCAAAAACTTGAAAGTCTTACATGAGCGCGATATAATATGAAGCAAGCTTATTCTAGAGTCATAAGCCTATCATCGATTTTCCTCTCCTTTAACCTCAAATGCTACACGGGCTTGTTTACCGTAGGTTTGGACAGGTAGGTTGATAACTACGATGAGTAGCGGTAAATAATCTAGTATTCTGATTCTGGTCTATTGATAATGATTCGGTTCCGTTTTTTGCCGACCGGAATCAAGGAGAGAATTGACATATCCAAATGATACACCGGCCCACCAAAATAGACGAATGACGACTCGAGGAAGGGTTCACAAATGCCTATTAAAGAACAGTACTAGTAACTCCAGCCAATGAAATTCAATTAACATAACAGGTACTGCTCGAACGGTACTGTAAATTTAAGCGCGCCGGCTCCGATAATTCAGGTGTATTGCCAACTGCACTTCATATATATATATATATATAGAAATAAGTGTAGAAAATAGAAAAAGCCTTAAACCTCGATTCTTTACATGTGGTAGATGGCAAATTACTGGTTAAAACTCACTCTACTTATAATCGTATAATTTGACGCTGTTCAACCTCTCAAACGCACAGCCGATACATGTCTTCACCCATGACCGGCCCAATAGAGGGCCAAAGTCATGAAACTGACAAGGAACATGGGGATCATGATATCAGAGACAATGCGGCGTACACTGTTGAATCTTTGGCTCATCAACTACCTAACTCAACCTCAAATCCCCATAAAACCGACGATATTCCTCTAGAACCTTCACATGAGTCTTCAGATATAACTGAAGTTGATAAGAACAGCGCTGGAGGAAGCCATATCGCTCCTGAGGAGGATCCATCTGAACCTCCATATAGTGTTCTCAGTGAGCCTGCTAAGATCTCGATTATCATTACTGCTTCTTTCGCCGCCATCATTTCGCCAATATCTAGTAGCATCTATTTTCCAGCCCTAAACTCGCTTGCAAGCGACCTTCACGTGTCGGTGTCCTTAATCACATTAACGATTACTACATATATGGTAAGTAAAATAATCCCCAAGTCTCTTCTATTTTAGTAAAAAGTAACGCTTATACGATTTCCAGATTTTCCAAGGGATAGCTCCCTCTCTCATCGGAAATTTCTCAGATATAAGTGGGCGGCGCCCAGCCTATATCATCTGCTTTTCTATCTACATATGCGCCAATATCGGTCTGGCTTTACAAAATAGCTATGCTGCTCTGATGGTACTTCGTTGTCTTCAAAGTTCTGGCAGTAGCGCGACTATTGCCCTAGGCAGCGCAGTAGTTGCCGATGTATCGACGCGAGCACAGCGCGGTAAATATATTGGCTACGCATCTATGGGAGTGACGTTAGGCCCTGCTTTAGGCCCTATCATCGGAGGCCTTCTTGATTATTACCTTGGCTGGAGGTCTATATTCTGGTTTCTCACGATATTCGCGAGCGTTTTCTTTGCGATTGTCATCGTTGCCATGCCAGAGACCTGTCGGGCAGTTGTAGGTAATGGGTCTGTATCGCCACCTGTATGGCAGCTCTCGTTATGGCAATATTTTCGGCAACGAGGCAAAAGAGGAGAAAATCCGGATGCTGACGTACAAACCATGCAGAGAGGTCGGAAGCGTCCTAATCCTTTAACTTCAATAAAGATTGCGGCCCAGAAAGAAGCGGGTATGATCTTGTGGTATGGCGCACTGCTATATTCTGGCTACTTCGTAGTCTTAAGCACTCTATCAACACAACTACAGCAAAGATATGGATTCGACTCGCTGAAGATTGGACTATGTTACTTACCGTTTGGGGCGGGTAGCCTGACTTCTCGCTGGACGGTGGGCCGCATCCTTGATAAAAATTTCCACCGGCTTGCACGTCTTCGCGGCTTAACTATTATCAAAAACAGGCAACAAGATATTCGCAAGTTTCCCATAGAGTTCGCCCGACTACAGATATCTATCCCGCTCATATATGCAGCATGTCTCGCCATTATCGCATATTCCTGGGTTATGTATTATAAGACTAATCTGGCTGGTCCCCTCGTTATGCTCTTTTTCACGGGGCATTTAGTAACGGGCGCCTTCAGCTCGCTTAACACACTGGTAGTGGATATAAACAGAGAGACGCCGGCTACCGCTGTAGCAGCGAATAATTTGTTCCGCTGCCTCTTAGGCGCAGGCGCTACCGCCATCGCAAATCCTCTCATTGACCGCATCGGCATAGGTTGGACAGGCACGCTCGTTGCCTTCCTCTGGATTCTGTTTAGCCCTTTGCTCTGGGCCGTGATGATATTTGGGCCAAAATGGAGAGCTGAAGCGCATGCCAAGGCAAAGGCGAAAGCGGAAAGGAAGAAAGAGAAAAAGGCTGCGGCGGATCTTGAAGCTGGTATGAGGAAAGAACTTGGTCCCCCACAAGAGAATGGCGAAAAATCATAGTCTTACTAGTCTACTGCTCATATAGGGATAGATGGAGCCCGCGATTCGCTTTGTTATTCTGATTTGATAGATCAAAACGTCGTTCCTAAGGACATGGTATATCTATTAGTTCACATATGATAAAGTAAGAAATATTCGTTTATAATATAATAGTTGAAAGGGTTATTCTAGGTACTACCCGCCTTATCGAGAAAACGGAATGATAGACCGATCTATTTAGATACAATGATCAACCCGAATCCAAACCCATTATCCCATAGCCTCCTTTTCCTCTTACTGTTTTCCCAGTGATCAAAGCAGAGCATCGGTTCCGAGGGTAAATAAAAGATGTAATATTACCAGTACTATGACAATGGCCTCATCATTTCACTGGTGTATGTTTTGGGGCATCTTCGCCGCAATTGGGATATTCGCATGCTGAGAACGGACTTGCATGGCACTCGATACAGTTGCCTTTCCAGGTGTCCGAGTATTTTGTACCGCAGTGGTAACAGGGTATGATCTTCATTGTGAAGTGTAGTTTTATATTCAGGAGATACGATGCGATATTGAGGAACCTAATTTGGTTGGCGAAGTTATGTTAAAAGAGATGATGATGCTGTTGACAAGAGAAACACGATCAAGGGGGTAATTTCATATTTATAGTCAGTTCGAATTCTACCTAAGTAATGATGGTCCGTAAATAGCCCCAGCTATTGTCTAACCAGCCCAGTCAGCTTATTTCGTGTCACGTACTCGTCACTTATGACTGGTAACTGGTTTGTGGTATACGTAGAGCTACACGATATGGTTAGATTTATAAGTTCAGATAATTAAATCGCAAATATTCATGAACTACCTAGGTACCTAAGGTATCTACCTTATACTAAGATATGCTCGGTGTTCCGAATGCCTAGAACAGGAGGCGTTGGCTGATATAAAACTCAGAGAAGCGCGCTCCATTAATTGGTATAGCCAGCTTTCGCTAGTGCTCATCTTGTTTACTACTTGTTAATTACCTTCCAAGACAGGTATGTGACCCTTGGGGGTGAATTTTAGCCGTGTGTCCTGACAATTATGATTACAATTGTCGGACATCTTTCAATTAGGATGCAAAACTCTTGATCGCCTCAACACATCCAAAGCCACTGGTATTCTCTGACGAGCTGTTGAAATATTACGTTCAATGACAGGAGCCCCGTCTCATTTAGCCTTTTCCCTAACAACAATAGGTCGTCTTGCTGACAGCCAAAAAGTACCTATTCTATTAAGGTGAATATCCCACCGAAATTCGTTCATGTCCAGTTGGGCAACATCTTGTTATCAGTCATTGTGATATCTCTCGCTTACGACTAGGTCAAACTTCTTAGTGAATAGAACTAGTAATTGAATGACTTGTTTTCCTAGACTTTCGGCAATTTGATGAAATAAGAAAGATTAGTTCGTTTCCACGGATGTGACCGTGTTTTCCTCGGCCTCCTGAATACTCTACTTACCTTAAGCACCCCTATGTTCCAAGACGATGAAACTTGATCGATGCGGTTAGATCGATCCGCGCATGGAGCGCGGCTAGGATATTACATACATATTCGTATCCTCCCGCCATGGCGTCGCGGGGCAGGGGGGTAAATCGTCTCATCATCTTGCGAGCTAACCAGGGATGAGGCAGGCAATCTCCACGTGCTAAGAATTCACTCCCTGCTTCACACGCATCGTGAGACGTCGCCTACCCAAAATCGGCCTGGGAAAACTCGTAGCAAGCTAAGATGAGACGAGCTTAACAAACTGGCTAAAAGAGTCTTCTCCGTTGTGCCTGGCGATCTAAAACCCGAAGCCATGGATACATCTTACTCCACTATCATGGTGATCATTTGTATAAATAATAGTTCATATCAATCTCTACAACCCAGCGCTTCATCTGTATCATTCAGTTCTTGACGGACATTTGTTTCAATCTTCTCTTTATAATTTGCTTCTTCTTGGCTGGGCCATATCATTTTCTTTACTATCTCTAATAACCTCTTTACCACCAACAAGTTACATCTATCCGTTCACTATGAAGTTCATCAACGTACTTTTTCTCGCTACTTCCGTGTCAGCTATTGCTATTGATCGCATGCATGTCGGTTCTGCGAGATCCACCGACCTAGAAGAGGCATCATCCTTACTAGCCAGACACGATGCAGGCCGGCCAGCAAACAGCCAGGGTAACATAATTGGAAATGGGAAAGCTAGCAAGGCAAAGCAAGGAGGCAACTCTAACGCAGGCGCCGCGACTGGCAATGCAAATAATGGTGCTACTACTGGTGTCGCTACCGGCAATACCCTCGTGCTAAAAGAAGTCAACGGCGTACCGGGCAACGAATGTCTCACCTTCCGCAATAATGGTATGCTTTCCATCATGCATAGTTATTTCTAGCGAGCAGATACAATTGCCCTTTTTCTTTTTGCCCTACTTACTTACGGACTACTATAGGTGAGATTGTCGATGCCGCTTGTGTCAATACCGCAGCCGACCGACAGATTACACCAACGACGCTAAACGGCAACTCCGTCCTAAGCGTACAGCGTAGCTTCACAGCTGGGTTCCGCCCGGACCTTGTCGGCGTTAATGCCTGCGTCGGTTTTAACGGCACACACTTCCGAGCTGAGGACTGCGCCGCCTCAAACATCGAGCTTGTGCAATTTGACGGCACGGCACTACGGGCTCCCAGCGGCGCTTGTGCTCAGGGCCATGACGGTGCCGCTCAGATGGTTGTCGATACCACAGGTGCTAGCTGCGCAACTTTCCAGAGCACAACTGTTACGCCCACGCCTCCGTAAAGGATGGGGAGGAAAACCTGTTAGGCTAGCGATAATGTAATTAGATATGGTGCTTATTTAATTATGTTTTCTACGGGGCATCTTATAAGATGCTATTTTTATAGAAGAGGGCGTATGCAGCGCACATTTAGAAGGTCATATAAGTTATCGACATTGATGTGTAAAATAGGTAACAGATATAATGGGTAGGATCTACTAGAGACAATTCGTAATGGTAAATATTTGTATGAAGCTATTCGTTGACGTCATGGCGAGACAATATAATAGCAATATGCATGCGCCTTTGAGTACTCTTTACCAGAATTGCTATCTACATAATTACTATCCGCCAATGGCTATATCTCCCTACCTCTTAAAGGGCTAAGTTTGTGGCGGTATGATCATGGCTGGTGGCGCCATGAGACAGACTTTCCGTTTTTAGGGGCCAAAGAAAGGGATTCGTAAGGAAGGATACAAGTTGAAGATATACTGCAGTTAACTAGCTACTTTATTTACTATATGTACTTCGATTTATATAATGATTTATTCCTTGCCCTTCAATCCTTATTTTCGGGCGGCGGTGACACATCAGTAACGGTTATATGTTACAAAGCAATGCTCATTCTCCAGGCCATCGCGGGCTCCGATAAGTGGGTCATCCGGTCGGAGACTTTACGGGCTAGCGGCGGAAATATTTGAGGGCCCCGCCCGGTCGCTAAGCCGAATCGGCGGGTAAGACAGAGCCGGGATGTGGTGACATCCGGGGACTATCCGTGGACTTTCTGTACATGCCAGACTGAATGGGGATCTAACTACGGGAGTTTTAATAATATCATTAGCGCAAAATATGCGAGTCCTAAAGTGCCCAAGCCAAAAGTCGCCGATATATATGTCCGATAAAATACCACCGTTAATAGCAAACAAACAGGTAATCCAAGTGCCATGAAGTAAATCAAAAGGCACCTTTTCGGAACCATTTGTCTCGGTTGATAGTATAAAGCTCGCTTCATACAAGCCTTCTCAAGCAATACCACATTATTTCAGCGACTCAATCTCAACATTTCCCACTCATCTACCCCTTATGTTAGCAATTTAAAAAACCAACATAATATAAAGTGTACGAATAAAACAAGCCTAAAGATAGCCATGACTACTGCGCCCATAGTCGACGTTCTAATCCTCGGCAGCGGGCCCGCAGGGATCGCTTGTGCCGGAGCGATAGCGCGACAGCTACACAGCGCTATAATCTTCAGCAACAACACATTTCGTAACGCACGTGCGCGGCACATGCACAATGTAACCGGGTGGGACCACGCGGACCCGGCGGCATTCCGTGCTCGGGCTCGTACCGATCTGATTGAGCGGTATGCAGGCCCTGCGGGTATCCAGTTCCGCGACATTGGTGTCTCGAGCGTGCGGAAACTGGATGACGATGAGCGAGGAGGGACCAGGTTCGAGGCCGTAGATATCGAGGGGACCAAGTATCTAGGAAGAAAGGTTGTCCTAGCGATGGGTGTGAAGGACATTATGCCTATGACGCCCGAGGGGTACGCGGACGTGTGGGGTTATGGCATGTAAGCCTACCTTTCTCCTTCGCTCTGATCCGGATCGTATATACCCCTATATCTTGACTTGCGACTAATCAAGAAGATTAGCTTCCACTGTCTTTTCTGCCACGGCTTCGAGGAACGGGGTTCCGAATCCGCAGGTGTTCTGGCGACGGGTCCTTTTCTCGGAGGCGGAGGTGACAACGGCGCGCCACTAATGGCGCCCGTCATTTCGCGCATGGCCTCTCGGCTCGCAGGCCATGCCACCATATATACCGATGGTAATAGAGAGTAAAGTGCGCGTATCCGAGCACAGCTCAAGAGCACCCAGAAATTCAATATTGAAAACCGTCGCCTCGCACGCATAGCTAAAGATCCAGATGGAAAAGGCGAGGCAGGTGTGCTTGTTACGCTAGAGGATGGGAGTGTCAATAGGGAAGGGTTCTTGGTACGATTTAGCCTCTTCCTTATTTTTATGTGTAAGCGCTATTAACTAACGCAATTCTGAATAAACAGGCCCATGCTCCCGCCCTTGAGATAAACGGTCCGTTCGCGGCAGACTTGGGTGTGACACTGACACCACAGGGCCATATAGATGCACAGCCGCCGTTCTACAGCACTAATGTCCCCGGCGTCTACGCGGCCGGCAACTGTGCCACGATGATCAAAGCCGTACCAACAGCTACCATGATGGGAGCCTGCGTGGGTGCGGGCCTGGTCCACGCTCTACAGGCCGAGGATGATGTGGAGGATTAATACATGAGACAGCGAAGAAAATGGAAAGTTGAGGTCTCTTCTGCCCACCAGAGAAAAGGGCAAACGTATAAACTTATTTATCTCAGCTAGCTTAAACCAGTGATGCGAACTTTGTTATACCCCTCCCGCCACACCTTTTTTTAACCAATCACATCTCCAACTTATCCTTTCCACAAATTTCGCATCTTTGGTCTAAAACAACTCGGGTAATTTTTGGCATATTATTTTATTTAATATTAAAAATAATATTAAAAATAATAATTAAAATAAGTTTTAATTAATTTAAAACATTTATTAACTTTATTATTAATAAATATACGCGTTTTAAACGTTTAAATATATATATTTTAAACGTTTTAAACGTTTTAAAATAATAATTAACCGTAATACCGGTTATAATATTAATTGTAATATTAATTATAACGTTTTTAAAAATATATTACGTTAAAACTTATAATATTATAACATAATATTATATAAATATATAAAAAAAAATAAAAGGTTTAAAAAATTATTATATTAATTTTAAATTAAAAAAAAATATATATATTATACGTTATTATAAATATATATATAAATATAAATATTATTTTAACATATAATTACGTATTTTTAAACGTTAAAGTTTATAATATTATAATATAATACCGTATAAACATATAAAAAAAATAAAAAAGTAAAAAAAATAAAATATTAACTTTAAATTATAAAAATAAAAACTATTTTATATATTATTATTAAATATTAAATTATTATAAATATAAAGTTTAATCTTTAAAAAAACTTATTTTAACATGGTTAAAAACGTTTAAATTATTTTAAATTAAAATTTATTAAAACTTACATTTATAACTTATAAATATAATAATACGGGTTAAACGTTTATGTGGCGTTTATAACGCCAAGTGTTAACAAGCGTAATTAACCAATTTAATAAATTTTAGTTTAAATTTATTAAAATAAAAACTTATAAAATAAAACTTTTTCAAGTTTTATATAAAAGTTAATATAATAAAACTATTAATTATTTGTATAAAATTAAACTTAATTAATTTAAATTAAAATATATTTATTTATTATTTATTTATATTTATTTATTAATAACGTAATAAAAATAATATAAAAGATTTAAATATGTTTATATAAAAAACATTTATTTTAAAAATGTTTTTATGTATAAATAAAAAAGTTATAAATATTAATTTATGTTTTATTTTATAATAAAGTTTTATATAAATACGGAATTTTTTAAAATTTTAAATATATATATAATAATATATATAAATATTAACGCGTATTTATATTTTTTTATAATAATATTTTATTATAAATTAATAAAATTAAATATTAATTAAATTATTATAAATTTTATATTTATTAAAAAAGTTTTATATATTAAATAAAATAAATAAGTTTTAATAATTAAGTTAAAAGATATAAAATTTTAAAAATTAAATAAAAATAATTTAATAAATAACGTTTTTTAAAAATAAATAAAAAAAAGTTATAAAATGTTTGTAAAATTAAATTAATAAATAAAAAAATTTGTTTAATTATTTTATGTATAAATAATTAAAATTGTATTAAAAATTAAATAATTAATAAAAAAAATTTTGTAAATTATGTGTTAAAATAAATAAAAAAAGTTATTAATTAAATAATTATTTAATTAATTAAAAAAGTAATATGTTTATTAATAAAATTAAGTTTAATAAAATTATAAAAATGTTATAATAAATAAGTTATAATTAATAAATAATGTAATAAAATAATTAAAATTGTATAAACGCATTTTAAATATTATTAATTAATATAATGGTATTATAATAATTTTTAAACGTTTAAAATATACGGGGTTATTTACTGTTTATGCCGGGTGCGTTTTTAATTAATTTAAAAAGTTTTATTAAATAAATAATAAAAAGGAATAAATTAAAAGATTTGTTTAAATTAAAATTGTTTACGTTTTTTATATAATTGTTTAATTTAAAAAAACGAGTAATAAAATTAAATTACGTTAAAAGTAAAAAGTTTATTATATATTAAATTAAAGAAAAAAGTGCTTTAATTATAACGTAAAAAAAATCGGACTTTATTAAAAAAAAAAAAACAATAAACGTAAAAAAAAAAGAATTAATAAACGTAAAAATAAAAAGTTAAAAAAAGAAAAAGTTATTTTTAACGATTTAATTATTTTAAACGATAATTTAAATTTATTAAATTTATTAAATTTATTAAATTTATTAAAATTATTAAAATTAAAAAGATTTTTAAAGTTAAAAAAATTATTATTATTTAAATAATTGTTAAATTTAAATAAAAAATCAAAAAAAAACGTATAATATTAATATTTATTTTAAATAATATAACGTTAAAATAAAAACGTTTTAATTTTTTTATTAATAAAAATAATTATTTAAAAAATTAATTTAATTGGTAAATATATAAAAAAATAATTATATTAATTTTTAAAAAAATTAAATATATTAAAAAAATAAAGATTATATTAATAAATAAATTAAAAATATTTAAAATTATAAACAAAAAGTAAAGACTTTTATAAAATATAGCTTATTATTTTAACAACTTAATCTTTATAAAAAGCTTTAAATTATTAATAATAGTATTATATTTTAATTTATAAATATAAATTTAATTAATTAATAATTAAAAAATAAAAAGTAATAAAATAAAATCAATATAAATTAAAAATTAAAATAATTATTAATTAAAAAATAATTTAAAATAAAAATATATATATTTTTAATTAAAAAAATAAAATAATTTTAAAACTTTTATATAATTTATAAAGCTAAAATTATATAATAAAATATTTTATAACCAGGTTTAATAATATTATATTTATTTAATATTTTTTAAAATTAATAATATTAGTAATAATAAAGTAATTTTAATAAAAAAATAAATAAATATAAAAATTTTTAATTAAATTATTTTAATAATAATGTAATAGTTAATAATTAAAATTGTTTATATTTTTATCTTTTAATTTAATAACTTTTATTTATTTTTTAACTTTAATTTTAATTTATTTTATATAACTTTTTATTTAATTGATAACCTTTTTAAACTTTAACTTTATTTATTTAAATTATAATTTAAATTTATTTTAATTTAACTATTTTATTAAAAAATTAAGTTATAATTAACTAGCAGCAATTTTATATATATTAATAATTTATCAATATAGCGTAAGTTTTTTATATTTATATTAATCAATTTTATATAAATTAAAGTTGTAAAAATAATATTTATTTAAATTTATTATAAATAAAAAGTTTTTAATAAAGATATTATTATTATTAATAACAGTTTTAATTAAATATTTTAAGGTTTTAAATATATTTAAAAATTTAATTATTTATTTTTTAAGCATAAAAGGTTTAAAAAGTTTAATTTAAATAATAAAAATTTTAAATTAAGGTTTATTTTTAATCATTAAGCCTTTATTTTTTTAAAAAGATATTAATAATAATAAATTAACAGATAAATTATTAATTACCTTAATATTAATATATATTAAAATAGAAATAATATATTTATTTAATAATATGTATAAATTTATTTTATATTTAATTATATTAAGAAAAAATTTTAAGTATTATATAATTAAATATAAAATAAATTTATATTAATATTTATATAATTATTTATTTTATTAATTAATTATATTAAACGTAATTATTTTTTTAAGTTTAAAAATAAAATTTTAACTTTTTAAAGTTAATATTAACTATTTTTTAATATAATTAATTTATTATTTTAATTTATTATTAATTATGTTAAAAACGTAAATATATTATTATTTAAATATATAAATTGCAAAAAGATAATAATATAAATTATTAATTATTTTTTTTGTTTTTTTAAAGTTAATTAAATTAATATATATTAAAAATGCTATTATTTTAAGTTATTTTTCGAAAGTTATTTTTATTTTAATATTAAATCTTTTGGTAATATTATAATTAAATATTTAATTTAATATTTATTTATAATTTTTTATATAATTAAAAATATTTATTATTATTAGTTTTTATAAAGTTATAATTTATTTAATATAAAATAGTTTTTTTTTTTATACGATTAAAAAATGCAAATAAATTTAAAAAATAATTTATATTTTTATTTAATTTTATTAATTTTTAGGGGCAATATTTATATATTAAATAAATTAATAAATTTAATATTTAAAAATATAATCTTATTAATTATAATTATATAAAAAAGGTTAATATTAATATAATCTTTTTAATTTAATATAATAATATTATAAATAGCGTTTTTAAATATATAAATTATATTATATATATTTTATTATTTATTAAATATTTTAATTTTAATAAAAAAAAAATAAATATTTTAATAATTAAATAAAAAAAGGTATTATTAATAATAGTATAATATAATAATATGTTATAATAAAAAAGATTTAAATTAATTTTAAAGTAAAAAATAGCTTAATTAAAATAATAAAATATTTTAAATAATATTAAAGAAAAAAAAATTAAATAAATAAAAAATAATATAATAATTAATTTTTTTATATTATATTTTAAAAAGTTATTGTTAAAGATTAAGTTATTATAATTAATTAAAAAGATTAATTAAAAGATAATATATATATTTATATATATTAATGATTTTTTAATATAAAATAACTATTTTAATATATATAATTTATATAAATTGTTTTTTTTTCTTTTTTTCTTTTATATAATCTTCTTTTTCTTTTTTTTTTAATAATTTAATTTTAATTTTTACAATTATTTTAATTTAAATTAATATTATTTAACTAATTTATTTTATTTTTTTATTAATATATTAATATTATTATATTATTTTATATATTATAATTATTTAAAATCTTTATATTTATTTATATTATAATATTATCTTTTTTTATTTTTATTAATAATGCAATATTTAAAAAACTTATTATTATTTTATTATTTTATTAAACTTTTTTTTTAAATTTT